AACTTGAGTATAACTGTAAAGGGTGCAAAATTATTTCAAGATCTCGATGAATTAAAAGGAAAAGGAAAATAAGATCCATATACCATTATTTAATTAGGAACTTAAAAGTTTAAAACAAAATCTGCAACAAATTAAGGAAAATTTCCAATATGGAATGAAACATTTTAATTTCTTTATGATCTTAATAATTCTAACTTAAAAATTTCTGTTTATGATGTAGATCCATAGAAAAAAAATTCTGAAGAGCTAATTGGTGAAGCTATTCTTAATTTATAAAATGCAGAAACATCTTCTGAATGGTTAGTTTAGGTTCCTTTATACAAAAATAAAAATGATATTGGATCATTAGAATTGGAATTCGATTTTGTTGGAAAACAAAAACCAGTTACTAATAAAGACAAAAGTGAATTTGGATCAGAAAAATAATTAGATAAGTCTAATAATAATTCCATGTCTTTAAAATAAAACATAAAATAATCATAAGATGATAACTATGATTTTTAAGCCGTTAACATAGAAACACAATAAATAGAGTTAAATAAATGGATATAATAAATAAATGACAGAGAATATATAAATACTTTAAAATACTTAGAGGATTCAAGGTTGTAGACAGCTGTAGAGAGGGCTCTAAATGAAATTGCTGAAAAAAATCCTAAAGATTAAATTGATTATTTTGCTGATTGTTTATTAAAATTTAAGTGATAATGACAAGTATTTCGTATAATGCAAAAAAATTAAGGCCATTCAAAGTTTAAAGAGATGCCTTGATAAATGATCTTAAAAAATTATCATAAGAATATCAAGATGAAGAAAAACTAAATGATCTATATTTTGATGAAATTGGAAAAGCTGAAAAAGTATTTTTTCAAATTTATTTAGGAATATGATGCTCTTTTAAAATCACTTGAGCATTTTCAAAAATTACATTAGGATAAAACTACAGGTCCTGTCACATAAGAATCATAGGGCATAGATGCTATATTAGAACATGAAGTCATAAAAATGCTAAAATTATTTCTTTTAAATATAAGTAAGAAAGAAACTTTGGAAGTGATCTAAGAAAAAGAAATAGCAAAAAGATTATGTAGGAATCAAACTTTATAATTAACTCTCAATCCAAAATAAGATGAAGATAATACAAAAATTGATAAAGAGGAGTTAGATAATGGATATTATGTAACATTAAGATATTAATTTAATTCTGTTTAAGTAAAAGTACCTGGTACAATAAAAACATTCAGAGAATTGAAGTAAATTGTAAAATCATGCTTCATGGCAGAGGACAATGAAATATTTTATATGGATTAAATGGGCAATTTATTACAATTTGAAATGAATGTACTAAATGAATTATATCCCCCCATTTATGAATTACTCAAAAACTATGAACCTATTGTAGGTATTCTAATTATTAAATAAAAAAAACAAAAAGAAGAAAGAAACAATGTATCTAATTTAGAAGAGATTTTATTCACAGATGCTTATCCTGAAGGATTAACAAAAAATTTTAGATAAACAAGAAGATTAGAAAATAAAATTAATTGGTCTTTGTATCTAGGATATTTAAACAAAGTTAAATATTTTTTTGAATCTTGTCTCTTTATACTATTATTGTTTTTATTTATTCTTACAGAAATTAATCAAATCAAATTTGTTACTAATACTCAAATTTTAGCTTCATTTTAAAATTCATATCCTATTCAAAGATCTTACCCTTAACCTGTATTCAGTTTATCAGCCTTAATTAACCAAACTTTAGCAGAAGAAAATGATATTCATAATTTTTACAATTATCCTTTAAAATCTGGATTATTAATTTAAAAGTTAGTTTAAGAAGAAAATTTAGAGGATTGTCATATTTTGAATTAAAATTAAAAATAAATTTTCTTAACAAAAAAATAGAGCTGCCTTAATTTTAATGAATTATTTGTTGATGATTTAGAAGGAGATTATACTTAAACTGAATTCAATCCATCTAAATATGATAGCTATTATGGAGGATATGTTTGGGAACTAAATCTTACAGATTAAAATAGTTTCTAGAATAGTATTGAATAGATAAAATCTTAAAACTGGTTAAAATATAATATTAAATAATCTTAATTTATTTTAAATTATTTTAATAGTCCCACTTAGAGATTAATATAAGCAACAATCACTACTTTATACTTATTTAATGATGTAAAATAAATACAATATTTAGGAATTACTCAATTATAACACAATGTAAACACAGGCATTTGATTTGAATTCTTAAACAGATCAAGAAGTTCTTGCACATACTATCATGTTCTATGTAGCTATTCTTTTATTGGTTCCTTCATTTTTTGGTATTGGATTTATTTATTAATTTAAGATTTTTTTGGATTTTATTTTATAGGAACTTAGAATACTTTAGTCCTTATATATTTATAATATATGGAACTGTTAAACAGAAGAAAAAAGATGTAATCCAAAAAAAGAGATTTAGCACCACAAGAAGAAAGGGAATTTCAATAAAAAAAATTAATAGTAAGTGATTTTTTCATTCTCAATTTAAAAGTGCTTTATGTTGTAATTAAGATTCCACTTATATTCGATATTATTTGTAAATGAATTAACATATAATAGATATGTTAAGCAATGTTAGTATGTTAATAAGAAGTACAATATCGAAATCATATCAATATGAGTTAGGTTTAATTGATGTTGGATCTAATTCATATTAAGATATCTCAAAATTAATAACTCCACTCTATACAACTAGAATTTATGATGGAGTTCAAATGTTATTCTTAATGATAGCTATTAATAGATTTCTAGGTAATTGGAGTCCTTATCTAAAATGTTATGGATTAGTTATTATTAGGGTAATTATTATTTTGATTTATTTAAGTTTAACAAAGAGTCTTGGTTCTTACTTTTAGTGTTAATATTTATAATTAGCATTTGTGCAATGTCTTGGAGCATAACATTATAAGGGAAGTTAGTAGATCATGATTATTTCTTTTATTCATTTCTTGGTTTATTAAGATGCACCCTTAAATATGGTATGCATAATGATGTAGCAGAATAAGGTTTTTAGAATAATTATGTTAAGGAAATAAGTTATTCTTTTGATACAAGATATGTATTATATTATTATTACATTAGATTCAATATGTTATAGTTATGGTTTTAACAATGATTATGGTACCAATATTTATTTCTTTGATGACATAATAAGTACATAATACAAAAGAAGAAGCCAAATAAAAGATGATGGATTATAAAAAATGAAATATTGAATTAAATGCTAATGTACTTGTATTGATAATAAAAATGTCATTTTTTCTTTTATTCAACTTTTTTAACATAGAATTCTAATTCCTTTCCTTCAAGAATATAACCATCAGCTCTACCTGATTATCCTGGTCTAGATGTAACTCTTACTAAAAGTCTTTGATTTTAGAATTGTTCTGCTACTAAATTATCAATAACTCTATCTTTCATTCTTTATTCTAATTTCTTTTATAAAGATCTTGATTTCTTGACTTCTGGTTAAGCTGGTTAATCCTTATGGTTAATTTCAAAATTCTTACTTTTTTTTAAGTCTTTTTAGCACCCAAATCAACATTGTATTTCTTCAAATACCATTATTTGAATGGAGTTGCATCAACTTAAACAATAGCACCTCTTGTAAGTGTTTTTGTTCTGACTAATTCATTATTTGATGGATGATAAACAACTTCTACAATCTTTGCTTTTTTTGCAACACCTTCACTAGCCCATGAAAAATTGCCATCTGATAATCTAAGTGCTCTGAATTTGAAATTTCCTCCTCTAACTCTTAATCTTCTAACTCTCTTTTCACCAGATACTAATTTAGTCATAGCTGCTTGTCTTCCCTTCTCAAATGCTCTCTTCTTCTTATGAATTGGCATACGTCCACCTGTAAGTCTTCTCTTATGTCTGCTATCTCTTGAAATACCCATAAATAATAAAAAAAGATTTTATTTAATTTCAAATAACCACACAATTATGTTTATTATTGTATTATATTGATACCTGTAACAAAGAAACTTGCTCTTTTAACAACTAAATTTAAAGAATAAATTAAGATAATAGATCAAATTTATCCATAATTTAGCAGATATTCTCTGCTTGTTCAATGTTTATAACCCTCTAAGTTTAATGAAAAAAAAATTATATACAATATTGATATATATATATTTTATTAAATCATATTATATAGAATATTATTAAAATTATTGATTATGATATGATATACAATGAAATCTATACATAATATTTTAACATCTTAACTATTGTTTTAATTATTGATTTTTTTAGTTAATAATCTTATAAAATTTGATGAAATTTCATCATATTACAATTTTGAAACTTTTTTTTTAATGGTAATTGTAAGCACCTAGATTCAAAATAATTTTACTGTGAAAGATTATTTGTTCCGTATTATAAAATTTGATATACTGTATGAATATCATATATTTAGCAATAAAATTTAAATTAATTTGAACTATCAAAATTTAATATCAAGATGAAACATCTTTAAGGTCTTTATTATCAAAATTAAATTTCTCTATATCCATCTTTCAGGCAAACCTTAAGTCTTACAATATGCCTCTATAAACCTTGAAAATTTCCTTAAACCAATAAAGATTTTATAATAATTAAAATATACATAGAATAAAAAGAGATATAGAAAAATTATTTATAAAATATAAATATAGGTTAAATATGTTTGTCAAAAAATCAAATTATTTTATATCAAATTTAGTTTTCGTAATAAATATAAGATTTGGTTTGGTAAATTAAATTAAAAAAATTAATAAATAAAATAAATTTTTTAGTTTATAATTTAATACAATTTTTAATAAAATCAATTAAACAAAAAATCAGTTTAAAGAATATATTTAAAGTAAAATAAATTAAGGATTTATAATGAGAAAAAAATTTAAAGGAAAAAATGATATAAACCATATTATTAAAAGATAAACAAATTATAAATTATAAATATGAAATACATTCCATTAACATAACATTTTGAAACTGTAGCTGCTCTCTATGAAAAATGTGCTACTATGTCGGAATAATTAGAAGCCCTTCAAAAATAATCAACACTATCCAATGGATAATTGGAAAGTGAAGATACACAATAACCTTTAAAAAATTCGCCTAAACCAACTGAAAAATAAAAAATCAAATAATAAAAGAAGTAATTAGATAATATACAGATTGCAGATAGAAATGATAAAATGATTGAAGAAAAGTAAAAATCATAAAATACTGATAATAAAATTAAAAAATAAATTTAAAAGTAATAAACATAAATAGTATAATTTTCATGTGATCATTGCAATAAAACCTTTGAAACATAAAAAATTTATAATAAACATATTTATTAATTAAAATACAGAGAAAAATAACTCAAAAGAAAACAAAAGTAACAAGCAAAAGATGCAATATAAGTAGAATAACCTATAAAGAAAGGAAAAAAGGATAATAATAATAATAAAAAGACAGGAATTTCTATTGAATTGAGTTTATGATATTTAATCAATTATAATAAATTTTTATAAATAGCTAATATATTTAATTTTCTTTATAATTTCTTCTCTTAATTTTTATAAATAAAAAAATAAATATTTTTTTTTGATTAAAATTAATATAATAAAAATAAATGTCAGAATTTTAATAATAATAAGTCCATACATCCAAATTAGACCAAGAATCAGCTACCAATGCTAAAAATCATTTACTTTTAGTTAATGTAATTAGATTTTTAATTTTTTTAGAATATTACTGATCTGTCTAATGAATTGTTATAAAGCTATAAACATGAGATTGATCAATTAAAATAGGAGTTACATCTGATGAAATAGAGAATAACAAATAATAATGAAGAAATAAAGAATACAACATAGCCAACTCTTGATGCTATGCTAAGAGATTTAAGACAAGTATCAAATAACAATGATATAGGCAATAAATACATAAAAAGATGAGAATTCTAAATTGTAAAGTTAAATAACTGAATTAAAAAAAGAAAAAAGCTAAATTTAGCAGTTAATTTTAGCAGCAACATAAAAAGTAGCAGAACTCGAACATTAAGTAGGAAACTATACGTCATCATGATTTTATTATTATGCACATTCACAATCATTCAATTTGTCATTTAAGAATGAAATACAATCAGAATTCATTAACAAAACAATTCATTTAAATCATATTTTCTTAATAAATTTACTTATTTTCTAAAAAGGTTTTATAGGATTTATTGTAAAATAATATTTATCTAATAAGATTATAATCAAAATCATAATTAAATTAGTGTTGATTTTGAGTTTATTCAATCAAAGTAAAGCTTATTAAAGTAAAATTATAAATAAAATAATTAAGTTTTTCTTATCTTTTAATAATTATTTTTTTTAAAAACTTATTACATAAATATATTTGAAATAAGTCATTAAAAGTGTTCATATTAATTTTTTATTAATAATAAATACTACCAACTATTGTAGCTGTAATCTTTGCTAAATAACTATATTTAAAAGTAAAGCTTTATTTCTTTTATATTTCAGATTATTGATTCTACAGAATTTGATTCTAGTTGATTGAATAGATTTAATAGATTCATTTAATTTAAAAAATAAATTAATTTTATATATCATTTTTCATATTGATTTAGGTTTTCTTTGAGAATCTCAATTTCTTGAGCTAGAATTCAATTTTATTCATGATATTCATTATTGAAATAGCATCATAAAATTATCTTTTTTATTCTCATATCAAAGATATTATAAAATATACTATTGTTCTGCAGCTAACTTATATTCTATCTATAATTAAATTTCTCTTTATTTTTAAATTTATATTAATTTTCTATTTATTAGAGTAATTGTTTTTCCTATTCTAAATGGTTAAATTATTCAGAGTAATATTCATTTAAAATTTGTTTGACAAGTATATAAATTTACTACTTCCTTTTTCTATTATTATAACTATTCTTCTTCATCTTATAAATAATCTTGCTTTTATTATAGCTCTAGTTCCTATTCATTATTATTAATTTTGTTACACATCTTTTGTGTAGCATATTTACAATCTTCAAATTATTTAAGAGGGATTATATACTTTTTTGTCACTTCATTTTCTTCAATCCAAAAAGTGGATGTGTGTAATAAAATCTTGAGATAATTTTAGCAGATGATGGTGATTAAATATATTAATTTATATAAAATAGTTACATTATTGTCATAATAGTGTTGAAAAAATCAGAATATTAGAGTTAATTAATTATTTTAAATGGAAACAATTAAAGAATTTTGTTCATAAGAAACTATAGAGTATTAATCATTTTTAACTAGTTTAACAGAACTATTGGATAAGTTCCCTGATTCAAGTGAATATATTGATGATTTATCATTTCAATAGACTCAAAGATTCGTAAACATACCAATTTGCTTTAAATTAAATAAAATTGCTGAAATAAATTAAACACACAAAATTGTTTTAATAAAGGGAACAGTGATAAGAGCTGGGATGTATTAATAAAATTGTAATTTAGTGCTAAATCCATGTCGAAAATACTTTCTTATAGATGCAAAGAATGTAAATTTGTAACAGAAGTTTAATCATGTTCATCAAATTATTTTATGACTGAAAATTAATTGAAATGTCAAAATATAGTTATCAAATAACAAAAATATAATCCATTCTTCAAATAGAAATTTTAAGGATTTAAAAAGTAAAAGTGTAATTCTACAGCATTTGAAAAATTAGAAGATTCAAAATTAATTGATTATTAAGAAATTAAAATATAAGACACATATACTACAATTGAACCTGGAACTATATCAAATAATATTAGAGTAATGTTAGAAGGAGAATTTGTAAATAGTTGTAATTCTGGAGATGATGTAATAATTGGAGGTATAGTGACTTAAAGATGGAAGATGATTAAATAGATACCTTAAATAACTCTATGGATTGATTGTAAATACTTAAGATTATAAAATTAATTAAAGCTTCTTTAGAATATTGATAATGATTAATTAAATTGCACTTTTTAACATAGAAATTAAGTAATCAATTCATTCATACCTGAATTATGCAATTAATGGTAAGTTAAATTAGGAACACTCTTAAGTTTAATAGGAGGAGTAACAAAATCAAATAATGGAATTACAGTAAGAGGAGATTCTCATCTTTTATTAATAGGTGAACCTGGAACAGGTAAATCTACATTCCTTAGAAATGCATGTACAATTAGTGAAAAATCAATATATGTAAATGGTATTGGAACAACTTAAGCAGGATTAACACTTTCTTTTGTTAAAGAGGGATCAGATTGGATGATAGAGGCTGGTGCTTTAGTTATGGCTGATTAAGGTTTATGTTGCATAGATGAATTTAATCTATTAAATTAACAATCATAATAATCTATTTTAGAAGCATTGGAATAACAAACAATTAGTAGTAGCAAAGCTGGAATATCTACAAAATTAAATGCAAGAACTACTATTATTGCTGCTTGTAATCCAGTTGAGTAAGTATATAATAGTAAATTGTCAATATAATATAATTCTGGTTTATCTACACCTTTATTAAGTAGATTTGATCAAATATACATTTTAAAAGATCAACATGATTATGAATTAGACAAATAATTGTGTGATCACATTTTCAATCTTAATAACAATAAATAAAATTATACTCTTAAATAATTAAAATAATATATTATCTATGTTAAAAATACTTTTTAACCTATAATGAATGAAGATTGCTAATAAGTTATCTAAAAATACTTTACTTTTATCAGATAATCCACTTAATAAGTAACTGCAAGAAAACTAGAATCATTAATTAGATTATCTGAAGCTCATGCTAGATTGTGTTCAAAACGATTCATTGATGAATTTGATGTTGTTACTGTTATTGCACTTATAGAAAGTACTCAATTTACAGGGATCTATCCTGAATTTTAAGAGTGTTTAACAGAAACTGTTACTATTGATAAGATATAAGAAATGTGGAATCATTTGAAAAATATTTGACAACTTTATTAATTGATTTATTATATATAAAGATTTGTTTTAAAGTTTTAATTTATAGTATGATATATTATAATTGAAGAATAGTTATTATCAAAAATAAATAATTAATCATTAACATTTTCTTATATTTAAGGCTATGAATACTGATATATATAGAGTATAATTAAATAATTATTTTAGTATGAATTAAGATCAACTAAATTTTGATTTCTCACTAAAAGCATTATTCTTTTTTAATCCATTAGCTATTCCAACTGTACCTAAACCATCTGAATAAGTATTTAATATATTAATATATAGGATTAATAAGATGCAAAATTAATCTATTACTATCCACAAAATGCAAATATTGAAGAAAAAAGAATTTAAACAGGAATGGCTGAAGGTATCTTTCAATTTTTTACATAATTTAATCCAAATCCTAATATTTTAGAGTAGTAAGAAAATAAAAACAAAAATGAATCTTTGTAGTTTTAAACAATACATTTGGAATAACAAACCCATATAATATGTAGGGTTAAAGAAGATCTATTTCTATTTATGACTCTAGCTCATTAAAAAATATCAAAAATAAAAACTATTGTTGAGGATTATTTTTTTAGTGAATGCAATAAATTTCATTTTAGCTTATCAAAAAATTTATATACTAATATTGCTGAGAATTTTGTGATAAATTTTGAATTATTTTATGGATAAGATTTAACATAATTAGATTAATATACATAAAGATGGATTTTATGTAATGCAAGATCTGGTGCAATATTGAATTTATTTAATTTTTAATCTTTCTCATTAAAATATGCAAAGATTGATGCTGCTATATATATGCATTTATAATCTATATTAACTTTAGGAAGATAATAAGAGGAATAAATAACAGATTTTATTGTATTTTATGCTGGTTATTTCTTATTTTCAACTTTGCCACATTAAAAGGCTATTTTATTTAAAGAACATTATTATGGTAGTGGATTACCTTGGTCAAATTTTGAAGGCAAAATAAATTAAAAATTTCCACCTTATACAGATAATCAATCAGCATATTTAAATTTTTTTAATTTAAGAAATATTGTAAGAGAAGGATTTTCAGGTCAAATGGTTTATATAAATAAATAAAAGAAAAATATTTTTACATTTTTAGAGAAACAATTATTTATTATTGTTATTGCAAATCCATTAAAAGATTTATAAAATCTATAAAAACTTGTTAATGTCTTCTAAAAATCTATTGATAAATTAATATATAAGTTAGATATAATTATTGAATAGAATTAAAGATAAGATTTGGTTAAATTCATTTATTTTAATGGAGTTAATTTGGCTTATAGAGTATCTAGTTAATTAATTGTTGCTAAATTAAGTTCTGAAAATCTAAGAGTACTTTAATTAGTTTATGAAAAATTGAACACTTCTAATCAATATGTTATAAGGACGTAAAAATATAAAAATATATTAGAGCAGGAGTCTGGTTTTATGGTAGTAAAGTAACTGAAAGAAAGGTTGTATATATATTACCTGCAAATATACCATTAAGCAAAGTAGAAGAGGAAGTTAATAAAATTGCTGATTAAACATTCCCTAATTTGCTTTTGTGATTTTTTATTAATTTTAAACATTAATCATCTTTTATATCTTAATGTCTGTAAAAAAAGCAATACCAATTCAAACTCTATAACTTGAAGTTATGGCAAATAAATAATCACCTTAAATTAATAAGGATTAAGTTTAGAAAGCTGTTATTGGATCAGGAGGATTCAAAATTCCATAAACAGTTATTGAAGAGAAAAAAAAAATGTTTTCAACAAGTTAAAAGAAAGATGAACCAATTATAGATATGTAGGTATCTTAACTTGAGATATACTAAAAAATGGGGTTACAACCTTATAAAATGTAGAATGCAATTGAAGATAAAGAAAAAATAGTATTTTAAAATCTAAAAGATTAACCATTGGCTAAATCAAACTTCATTTATGAATAAAGAAGAGTCTTAGAAATTGAGTAAAAAGATATAGAGAATCGAATGAATTAATATGTTATTGAAGAGGAAGCTCCACTTTAAAATGAACAATTAGATTAAATATAAAGTGAAATTGATAAACATTATGAAAGATTGAATAAATTAGAATAATAATTTATGAAATAAGACTTAGTAGATAGTTATTAACCTGATGATAATGTATGGGAGAAAATCAAGTAATTAAGAGAGTATAGAAATAATATAAAAAAAGAATAAATGTAAGCTAGAGAAGAATATGAAGAAAGAAGAAGAAAGGATTAAGTATAAGTTAAAGTAACAGTAGTTGATAAATAACAATAATAGATTTTAAAAAAATAAAATAAGAAGGAAGAAAAAGATTAATTTATCTAATAATAAATAGATGATTATATAAAATAAAAGGAATAGAATAAAAATAGACCTAGATCAAAAGAAAAATATATTGAATAAGTAGTTATGAAATCACCTGAATAACAATTATATTAACATTAATTTTTAGAGTATTAAAAAGACAAAAATTTGAAAAAATAAATGGAAATAAAGGCTAAAGAATTTTAAGTTCCAGATTTTGAAAGATATCATCTTAAAGATGATAAAGATAAATAAAAACATTAAGTTGATATTACTGATAGAGCAATATTAAAAGTATAAACTATAGATGAATTACATCGTGTATAAGTATAAGCATATACAGAGAAATAACTTGATTAATTAGATGATGCAAGTAAAAAAGCAATATATAAATCTATTGTTACTGAAAAATAATAAGAAAAATAAATAGAGAGTGAAAAAAATGAATAATTTGTACTTAAATTTTCATTTTAATAAATTGATAAAGATCATGCTGGTGTTGTATCAAAAGGTGAAGTTCTTGAATTTTTATGTACTAATAAAGATATTTAAATTATTTTTGATTTAGATGTAAAAACTATAGAAAATGAACTTGATAAATTATAAACTCATCGTAAAGGATTACTTGATTTATAAGAATTTAGTAAGTTTGTCAAGAGATTATAATAAGATAGAATTAAATTGCTTTCTAAATTAAAATAGGATTCTAAATTATTTGAAGAAAATCAAGAAGAAAATTTAAGATTATAATATTCTAAACCTATTAAAGAAATTTTTAAAATATTAGATTATTAAGAATAAGGAGTTGTTAATAGATTAGATTTGATAAGGGCTATAAGGAATGATTTATCAAAAGGTAAGAGTTCTGTATTAAATTAACCAATAAGTCTTTAATAAGGAAGTCCTACAGTTAATTAAGTATTAGAAAAGGTATTGGCAGATTATAGACTTTCAAAAAATAGAAAATAGATGGAATTAATATCATTGAATCAACTTGAAGAATATTTTAAATTATCTTTACCTTATGAAGAAATTAGACTAATGTAGGCACGTATAATTTTGGCTCATTTTGGACCTGGTTCTATTGCATCAGAAGGTTATTATGAAAAAATGAAAGGAAGATGTCTATTAGATCATGAAGTAATCTAATAAATGTTAGAGATATTTATGAAATTAGATAAAGATTGTGAATTAATAGTAAGTAAAAAAGAATTAATTTAATAAATCAGAGAAACAGTAGATTGTAATTAAGAAGCAGCTATCCTTACAAAAATTGGAAAAAAATATACATTAGCAAGTATTTTGGAAATGATGGAAAGTACATTAAATTAATTAGAGGGTCATGCATCTAATTTTATTAGTTTATAATAATTTACAGAATATTTAACTAATTTCAATCCTTTACCTCCAAAAATACCAAAATTATTTTTTGTAAATGAATAGAAAGATCCTCCAAATGAAGAACATTTAGTTATTCAAATACCAAGTGTATATTTTTAAATTATTAATGATGTATTTGAAATGATTCCTACTATTTGTGCTCATTTTATTTTAAAAGAGGAATTTATAGCAACTATTAAAAATGATCCTCAATCAAAGAGTCTTCTTTCATAAATTGCAAAGATAGATCCAATAACCAAAAAACCTGAAACTATCAATTCAATTATTTCTAAAATTGCTAGAACTGAAATAGATTTTATTTAATGGGCTGATATAGTATACATTTTTTCAGATAAAGGTGAAATTCCAAAAGAAGATTTAGATAATAAATTAGATGTGAAACCTATTCCAAGAAGAGGTAGAAAAATTTATGAATAAATTATTAAAGGTTAAATATAAGAGGAAGAAGATGCCTTTGCTGAAATTGAAAATTTATCATTTGATGATGCTTAATAAAAAAGAATTGATAAAAAGGTATAATCTAAAATGCATTCAAGTTCACTTAATAAAATTACTGTTCCCAAAGAACCTAAATTTAATGAAAGAAAAAAGAAAACTATTAGATAATAAAGATTAGAATAAATGGTTAAAGAAATTTAAGAAAAAGAAGAATTTGAATTACAAAATAAATTTAAAGCAAATCCTATACCTCTATCCATGTTTGTTCCTGCTCATAATTTAGATAGGTTTTCACCTTCTAGAGTATAAAATGCCAATCCTCCAAGTTTTTATTAAAGGGATGTTTAAAAATTTATGGAAAGAAAATAAATAGCAGAAGAACGTTTATAAACTAAAGAAATCCCTAAAACTTTTAAAGCTAAAGAAATTCCAGTTGAATGTACTATGGAAGTATTAAAATAAAAAGAAATTGCAGAAAATCAAAGAAAAAAAGAATAAAGAGAAAAAAGAAAGGCAGAACTTTAGAGTACTAATTTGATGCCTAAAAGATTATAAGAGGATGAATTAAAGAGAAAAGAGAAAAAGAAAAAAATGGAAGAATTAAATCCATAAGATATTGATCCAGAATGTAAATTTAATCCAAAAATTAATAAAAACTTTGTTTCTAAAAGGGATAAAGATAAAAAGTCATAATAAAGCAAAGGAGGAATGGAATTGAATTATCTTGATGAAGATAATCAAAGAAATAAAAGAAAAGAATCATTTCATGATGAAGAATAATAATAATAAAATTAAACATAAAAATCTTAAACATAAAAGAGTTAAACTCAAAGATCATAATCTTAAAAATAATCAGTATAAAAATCTTAATAAAGTTAAAAGCAAGTTAGTTAATAAATCAGCAACAATTAATTAGAAGAATCATAATAAGAAAAATCAGTTAAATTATCATAAAAATAACAAAGTCAAAAATAAGAAGATATCAATCAAGATGATGGTGAAATTTCACCTGAACCTGAAGAAGACTATGAAGATCAATAATTTGAAGATTAAGCATAAGAGAAATAAAATGAAGATGAAAATAAAGACAATGATTAATAATAAAACTAAGAGAATCAGGATTAAGATGAATAAGATTTATAGGATTAAGAATAAATATAATAATAGGAAAATAAAACTATTGACTAAAAAACAGAATAAGAAATGTCTATCTAATAGTCTAAAAAGTCATAATAACTTTCTAAATAATCTGAAATCAAATAAGAAGAGGTTAAACCTTAAAAAAATGTTAAAATTGTTCCACCTCCACCTTAACCAGCTTAATAGAATGATGAAAAAAAAGAGAAAAAAAAGGTTGTAAGCAGTTAAGATAGAGAATTGTAAAGACTGCAAGAAGAGAAATAAAAAAAATTAGATGATAAAAAAAAATAAAAGGATAAGTTAAATCCAGAATATAGATAAAAAATATAAGATATGGAGAACCGAGTTTATTCTAGACCTTTAGTAAGAGATACTAAGTAGCATGGATCATCAACATTATAGAAATATCGATAAATGGCTAAAGAAGCTAGTTTAAAGAAAGATGAAAAAAATGAAGAGAAAATTCCAGAAGATTAAGAGCCTTAAAATGATGAAAATTGATTAATATATTATTTGTTTATAAAAAATTTCTCTTTTTCAGATAAAAATTGTTATTGAAAAAAGCAATTTTCAATTAACATAATTCATAATTTGACAGCTATCCATTTTAGCTTGATTTTATTTTGAATCATATGTTTCAATACTAATAAAATATTTAATAATCAATTACAATCAACACGTAATTTCATGAATATTAATTTATTAATGTGTAGAAAGAACTATTTAAAATTACTGAAATTTAATAACAAATTTATTGAAATTTTGGATTCCTATCATGGATTTAAGGCTATAGACATATTCGAAGATTGCAAAATCATTAATAGACGATTTGTTAGAAAGTATATGATGATTTCATATTATAAAATTTTTAAAATTTGTAATATCTTTTTTTTACATTAAATAAGAACATATTGGTAAAGAATAATGTGATTTACATATGATTTTTCACAATCGGATTGAGTATGAAGAAAATATATCGGGTTTAACTTTTTCATTCAAAGTATATTTCATAAATCATATTAACAACAATAATGAAAAATAAAATTTCTTGAAAAATTTCTATTCATTTATATTAGTATCTCAATATCCAATAAATCTTTAAAAATTTTGGTATTGTAATTGTTGATTCATGTAGGTTACCATCCAAAAATGTTGCAAGTAAGTCCAGTCATAATTATATTGCGGTAGGTGTTGTATGGTTAGGCCGTCGTTAACAGTAGTTTGGGGAGCTTAGTCTATTTTAAACTCCTCTTTGGTCTCTGTGTGTTCTTCTTTAAGAGATTTTTAAGTTTCCTTTTCTGAAATATTATTGTTTAAAAGCTTTCTTTGTCGTCTTTATTTTTTCCCAATCCTACCCTCGTGTCTATAAATTGATAAAATTGCTTTGGCTGTTGAAAATTTGATGCCAAATTGCTTTGCTGCTTATCTTATTGTACATTTCTTTTCAGATATCCTTTTTATAAAGGCCTATCTGACTTAATTTGATATTTTGGCGTATTTCATTAAATCTTGAATATTTATATATAAGCTCATTAATTTCTTAATTGATTATAATTAGTTAAAATAATAAGATACAGCATTTTAAATAATTATATAATACAATTTAGTAATTATATTGATGAGAGTAATATACAATGACATTTTAAAACTTTTGAAATTTATTTATTTTTATTAAGTTCAATGATATTTACTATCAATATAAGGATCTGGAAATGAATTGATTTCTAAATTTAATCCCTATTTTATTTAGTTTTTATGTTTTACATGTATTTTAATTTAAAAGATGATTAGTTGAATTTATTTATTTCACTTAAATTAATTATATTGGTTCATTGACAAAAAGGAATTGGATCTATTTATTGTTTGAAATCTAAAATATTCATTTCTAATATTTCAAAAGAAAATTCGCAGAATTATTTTCTTATAATTAAAAATTTAATGAATTTTATTTTAATTAACATCTTTATTCTAATCATATATTAATTTAGAATATATAGTTTCCTGAACACTTTTAATAAACCTTGTTATGCTTATGAAAATGTTAATCTACAAGCTTGGAATCTTTTTACTGGATGAGTAAAGGATTTCACTGGGACTTTACAAAAATTATTAATTATTGTTAGGATGAAGCAAATAATTATACTAATCAATTTTTACGAATTAGGAAGAAGCCTATAAAGAAATAAATCAATGAATTTTCAAAAAAAGGGTTTATTAATTGAAAGGTAAAATTTCAGAAAAAAATAAAAATATAATTAATTGAACATCAGAAATTAAATAAACTCTCATAGAAGAAATATCAAACTCATAAAGCAAATAGGATGATGGGAGAAGTGAGAAATAATTGTTTTTTTAGATGATTCAAGAAATCAAAAAGAAATTATAAATGACCTATAGTTATAGATTAAATATAACAATTATTTGTAGTTGCGTTACTTTTATTATAAAAATTTTATAAAGAAAGAAATCAAAAAATACTTATATTTAGTTTGAAATTTTTGGGTTATTAATAAATAAATAATTTAGAATTAGAAAACTATATTAATTCATTCTTCGTTTTTTTAAAGATTTCGTGAAACCACACCCATACCCATAACTTCATTATATTATGATTATTATTTATAAGGTTAAAACTAATTTATTTTACTTTCTTAAGTTAATTTTTACAATTTTTGATTAGCACTCAACATTGAGTCTTCATTAGGATTATTTCTAAATTAATAAAATAAATTACTTTTTGCTTGAATTTGATTATGATTACTAATTTTATTATTATTATTATCCAGCATTTTATAATGGTTATCTTTTAATGTTATTTTTATTTTATACAGTTCCTAAAGCAGGTAAATTTGTAGTATTTCTTTTAATAATTGTATTTTATTTAGTCAAATTATTAGGTTTATTATTTCCATTACCTCCATTCTAAAATTAAATATATATTAATACTTGCATAACTTAAGGTCCTTTAGATGAACTTCTCATTTATTTATCTTTTTCTTCTTTTTCTTTTTATCCTTTAGATCCAATTTCAATTGCTTTCGTTTGACTTTCTTAATATGTTTAAGCCAATCTGATAGCAGTAGATTTGGCAATCTTTTTTAATTATTATTGTCTATTATTAAAAGCACCTAAATAAGTAGTAAATGTGCTATTAATAGGTAATTTAATTGGATTGCCTTTGCAAATCAAATCAAATCCTCCAATTTATTCTTCATTACCTGTTAATACTTTCTCCAAATCAATTATTGTAAATACATCATCTAACAAACCACACTTCAATTCAAAATCTACAGGAGTATTGGAAGTCATAGAAGGACTAAAATTTTTTATTAGATTGAATACCTTGCATTTACTTCTAATAGCCATGGTTTTAGTTGAGCATCCAATAAAATATCAAATCCATATAATTCAAAACAATGTTTGTCATTAATAATAATCTTTTAAACTGCTTAAAGTGATCTTATCATAAGCATTTAAATATTATAAAAGGTTTCAGCAACCTTTTCTTAACCATATTTAGTCATTAAATATAGTTTTAATGTTTATAAATTCCATTTTCCACCTAATTTTTCATCATAATTGTCAGATGTCTTTTAAATTGCTACATTAGTTAAATGAACATCTTAAAAAATATTAAATATATCAATAATACATGTATTTGAAATATCTTCACTATCATAACGATGATGTGTAAATCTTGCAAATCCTGTTCTATATAAATATAATGTTAAAGGCTAGTAAGAAGTGCATAATAAATATATTCTCATATCGAATTTCTTGCCTCCAATAAGTAATGGATCTGCTATGTATTTTTAAACTATATAAGCTTCTGCTTATGGATTATCTTAATTATATCGTAAAGTGTTCTTCCATTAAGATATTTATTGAATTTTGTTGAAGATGAATATACCTTTACCTTAAGATTTACCAATCTTAAAAATAAATCAATATTAATACAGGCTTCATTATCCAAGCTGTTTTAGTATCACTATTGGTGGATTATCTTTTAAATTCCTCAAAAAATATTGGGTATTCACTAGGCAAGTGGAAAGTTAGAGGAAAGAAATTATAACTGTATTAATTAATGCATTAATTACTTATTTGCTTCTTCTTATTTTCCTTCTCTTTCTAAATTTTTCTTATACCTTTTAAAATTCTTTATCATTAGATCTTTTCTTGTTAACTAATTAATTAGTTTTGTTAATACCTCGTAATGATTTCTGAAATGATTTATTTTTTAATTAGATTAAAGATGTGTATGATCCAAGACTTCATGAATCCATTCTTTTTCAGCCCACATTATATCCCAATCATCCCCTTCTGTCTCTTTCCATAATCTTCTTTTAAAAGCCTGATTTAATAATTGTTAAATACTTCCAATATGCAATTTCTGAAAGATGTTTTAAATTTTAGATTTGAGCTATAATTTTATTATAAACTAATACTAATGATTAGCATAATGCTCTTTTTTGATATACTTTCTAAAATATTCCGACATATTAACAAAAAATAGTTTATATTAAATAATATTAAGTTTTATAATCAGTTGGAAATATCACAAACTTAATAAAATGCTTAATTAATTATATGGTTGTATATTTTTATAAATATTTAAATATGGTGGAAATCAATAAGGCTTGTTTTTATAACACAATATCTCTAATAATTAGATTATATAGAGATGGTTTGATGTATATAAATGTTAATGTATCGAAAGTAACTATAAAGTCTAATAATTGATATAAAAGACATTAACTATCTTTCGAATTTTATTTTAATTTAAATAATTTATCAAATTTTTTTGGTTTTGATATTTCATATTAAAATAAAACATCAATAAATTTTATTGTCAATATTAATATTAAAATGTACTCTTATGCTCCTTTAGGTGTTTCATATGCTTCTCCATTAGCAACATCAATAGCCAGACCAGTTCCAGGTAATACTTAATTAGACTAATTATTAGTTGGATATGGAGCCCCAGTCTCATATGTTTAACCAGTATAATATGCAGCTCCTGTTTCTTATGCTTCTCCAGCCTACTCTCCTATTAGAGGTGAATCAAGAGTTGAATATGTTCCATATCAAAAGCCAGTAGTAGAAATGGAAGAGGAAGTCAGAACTTTTTAAGTAAATAATAAATTAACACGTAGGTGCCAAGATAAAAATGGGTGACTGATTATTATCCAGTGGAATATTAAAAGGAATATATTCCTTAAGTTTCATATGAAAAATAAATCGATTATGTGCCAGTTGAAAAGAATGTACCAAGAGTTGATTATTTAGAATATGAAAGAGAAGTTCAATTTTTATTAATTCTTTATAGGTTAGAAGAGCTCCTCCTGCTTAAGTTTCATATGCATCACCACTTTCTTACAGTTATGCTGCACCTGTAGTACCAGTAGCTCCATTAAGAACTAGCTATGTTGCTCCAACAAGCTATGTTGCTCCAACATATGGATATGCCCCAAATTATAGCTATGTTGCACCAACATTTGGTTATGGATCAGTTTATAGATATTGAACTTAAATCAATATTATCATTTAATTTAATCTTCTTTAAATTAAATAACAAAAATAGTTATAAATTTTGTTCATTGCTATTTATGACGATTTTTGACAATTTCTGTTAGTCTATAATTTTCCTTGGTCAACAAACTTAATTTATCTTCTAGATTATTCATCTTTTGTTAGTCAATACCTATCATTTATTATAAGTATTGATTTTAACATTCCAATTCTTGAATTGTCTCTTTATATTTATCACTAAATTCAAATATATATATATATACTTATTATTATATTATAACTATTTATCATCTTATTGAGATATTTGATTATTATTTTAAATTAGTTATTATTTCAACTAATAGTTCTCTCTAGCCAATTATTCTAATTAATCATTCTGTTTTTTTATTTTTCTTTATAATTCTAAGCATTTTGATTCATCTCTATATAATGATATTATAAATTACTATTATTATTTCAATTTACTCTCTAATATTGAGCATTTACTTTTATATTTTTCGACATCAATCTTTAATTAATTTTCTGTAAATTAGAATCTTTCATTTAATTCGCTTAACTTTTAATTTTCATTTAATACAATTTAGACTTTTTCTTCTAAATCATTAACTACTTTTTTAGATATAATCAATTAATCATTAATTTATTTAAGATCTGTATTATTTGACTATTAATATTTATTCATTTTCTAAACATCTTCTAATTTTTTGATAATTTAATTTTTTGATTGTTACTATTCTTGTAGTGATTAATTTAATTGAATTTATTAATCCAAAACATGAGCCAATTTTTTATTTTCAGTAACATAGTTATTATTCTATGATTCTAATTGTTTTATTCTTTATTTCAAATATTAATTTTCATCAGCCTTAAATGAAAAATGCTTTCCAGATAATTAATTTTCTTTATTATTATTTTAACATGATTCACTGACATAAAGTTTTTTATAATTGTTGATATCTTTTAATGCTTGATTTGCATTGTTAGTTGTTGAATTAACTTATAAATCGAATGATAAATCTAATTAACATTTTGAAGGAGATGATCTAACAGCTAATGAATTTGATCTCACCTATTTCACTTCTGGAGCTTTTTAAAATACGATAGGTCTTATTCGTTCATATTAACTCATTTTTATTATTTTTAACGATATATATAAATATATATACTTCAAACAAATAAATACCTTGTTAAATCAAAGGCTGAATACTCCTCCTTATTTTAACCCTAAATTAATTAATATATTATTTCTGCACAACCATGACATTGACTCATTCCTCTAGACCCATGTCCAGCATTAATATAAACATTTCTATTTAACTACAATTTACTCAATATAATTTTATCATCTGGTGTTAAGGGTCTGCAACAATCTCTAACTGAAATACTTTATGGATCTAAATCAATATTAAACTACTCTTTCATCTATTTTATTAAAATCTAAGCTCCCCATTCATTAATAGGATCATCAGATTTATATTCTTAATCTATTAATTAACAACCTGATATTCTCAACTTATTATTAAGATTTGTAATAGATAATGTAGGTAATTTAAGCACCATTTTATCTAAAACAGATTCCTTTGCAAATTAAGGTAATTCAGATTCAATAACCCATCCTCTACAAGGCATTATTGGTAATGTTACTCCCAATTTTTTAGCTATGTATTTACTATGCAATCCAGCACAAATTATAAATTTATCTCCAAATATTACACTAATAATAATTTAATTTCATATACCCTTTATTAGTATTTATTCCTAAAACATATCTATTATAACTCATAATGAATTCTTGAAATTCTGTTCCATAAAGTATATTAAATTTATTAGGATAATGCTTTTAACAATATTTCAAGGTGTTTATTGATAATAATTTAGTATCTAAATTATTTTCTTTATCTAATTTAATAACATAAGGATAGTTTTCAAATAGTTTCCTATCTATTTCATGTTAATTAAAGTTAGTATTATCAACTTCTTAAAATTCAATACCTGCTGATTTAAATGATTAACTTATTCGTTTTCCATATTCTACAGATTTATAAAAACTCAATTCTCCTTAAGCAGTTAATTGATTTTCAAGAATACCCAACTTTTTGATTTTCTCAAATTCCTATTCTTAAATCTACCCTAACTTAGTCATATCTTAAATTGATTTATCAAATTTTTAATCTGATGTACTCAACCTTAATGCATTAATCAACCATATTATAGCTCCTGTTTCTAAAAGACATTTAAAACTGAATCTTTAAGTCGATGTATCAGTAGGGTTGATATAATTATCAAACATAGTTTTTATTGAATATTTAGATATTAATGGATTAAATAAGTAAGGATTGTAAATATTTCCATTAAAAGCACTACATTTAGTTGAAATAAATTATTCCTTTTCAATCATTATAACAGAATAACCTTTTTATAATAATTTTAATGCTTAACTTAATCCTATGATACCTCCTCCAATAATTACTATAGTTTCTGTATCTTAATTTCTTTTCATATTGATCTCATGATATTTTAATAATTTTTTGTCTACTTCTAATTGTTTATTTTTGCGAAAATCAGCTATTTCTTATTAATTTAAAAATATGTTAGACATATAGTCTCTATATTTAGTGTATTGATTTATAAATCCCAAACTGAATAAGAATAATAATATATTGCGTCCCTTATTTGATTTTGGGTTGTTTATTTTTGGTTGTACACAAAATTAATACAATTATGAATTGCATAATATTTTTTTTATCATTAAAATTATTGCTAACAAAATGAAAAATGAATTAAGAATATTATATAAACAAATACGAAAAGATATAAAAATATAACCTGAATTATATGCTCAGTAATTGAAAAACATTATCAAACCAGAATCATCTATTTCTATTTATTACCCTTTACTCAATGAATTAAATATTTTAAGTATTTTGCCTTATTTGAATACAAATAAAATTTTATTGCCGATATTATAAAAAGAAACAGAACCATTATTATTTTCACTTTTCATATAGAATAAAACTGAATTATAACTGAATAAATTTAAAATATTAGAACCAATTCAAAAAAACTATGAAATCCCATAATTTTGTATTGTAAACATAATTAATTAATTAATTAAGGTACCTTTGTTATGCTTTGATCCTTAAAATAAGCATAGAATTGGTTATGGTGGAGGATATTACGATAGAACCATATAATACTATAGATCTTAAAACTATAATACTAAATTTATAGGATTTGGACATGAATTGCTAAAAGTTAATAACATTCCTTACACAAATAATGATTAATAATTAGATTTCATTATAACTAATTAGAAAATATATTATTGAAAAAAATATGTTTTGTAGTAGGCTTACCTTATAAGTAGTATATTAATTATTTCATTCATTTTAAATAAATCTAATAATATTCAAAAATTAACTTATTTAATTTATAATTAACTAATTATTAAAAAAGTATAATGTATCTTCATATTGGTGGTCTTAAATTTTATTATGAATATAGTATATAAAATTAATTTGTTTTTAAATATTATAAATTTCATTAAATGAACTATTTAAATTACTAGTTTCCTCAATTATCTATTTTGAAAGCATTTTTAAGTCACAGATAGAAATAACACATAGTTTATTGCTAAAATACACCCTATTTGTTAACCTTAATCAGTTTCTCCTATTAGAATGATTTAATTATCGACAGATAAGATATAATAACCAAAAGAATTCAGTGAAGTACAATTGATTTATTTTTATTTTGTTGATGAATTCATTTTACAATATATAAATTAATTATATGACATCATGAAAAACCCTTATAATTAGTCTCTATATAAGATATGGAAAATAGATAAAAATAGAAATTATTATAATTAGTATAAATGATCAAAAGATTGCAGATTTAAAACTAAAGTTTAAATATTAATGAATAAAATCTAATTTTCTACAGATTATATAAACAGAATAAATGAATTAGAAGTTATGATTAAGAATTTTGAAGTTTAAGATGATGGATTAAAGAAGGAAATCTAAAGATTAAAATAGGTATTATTTGAATCTAAAGAAAGCTTTACTTTATTATAAAAAAAAAAATAATAGAATAAGAATAGCTATAATGAAGAAGTTAAGTAATTGAAAAAAATAAATATACTGATATGAAATTGATAAAAAGAAATATAAAAACATTTCAGTTATAAAGATAAAGATATAATAAAATTAAGAAATATTTTAAATGAAAAAGAAAATTGGATAGATTAATTGAATTATTAAATCTAAGAATTATAAATAATTTAAGAAAAATATTCAAGAGTTGAAACAACTGTTATGTCTTTATAAGGAGAAGTTGATGTTTGGAGATAGAAATGTAAAGAAAAAAATGAGGAGGCCTCAGAACTGAGTTAAAAGTTAATAATGGCAGAAATATCACTTTAAAATTTAAAAAATAGATAGATTACTTAAATCAAGGATGTTAATATTACAAAAAATAATAATAATAATTATTATTATTATTATAATAGGATCAAATCAGTTGATACTAAAAAAAGATTAAATAGAGGATCTCATTAATCTTAAAGATAATAAGTATGATTTATTTGTATTATTTATAATTTATTATTATATTAATTAATCAATTATTGTTATCTAAACTCTTTCCAAGTGTGTCAAAAGGAATAAAACAAGTAAAAATACTTCCTAAAAAGGAAGCTATGGAAAATAGAAGAAATGGAGCGATGATTGAATATTAGGATACAATCATACAAGACCAAGGCATCAATATGACACCTAGTCTACCTATAGCTACTGCTGTCCCTAATCCTGTAGTTCTTAATTTAGTAGGATAAAGTTCAGTAGTTAATTAATAACTAATTTAATATTAATATTATTATACCAGAAGATGTAATTCATTGATAAAAACATTTTTTATAAAATTGCTAAAATCGCAAAATGCTTTTCGTAATAATAAAGTTATAAAAATGAAAATATTGCTGCTATTAAGAACCCAATGATTAATGAGTTCTTTCTACCTAATCCTTTGATATCAATAATTAAAGTAGCCAAGATAGCACCTAGTATATCACTTAGACAAGCATAGACTAATTACTACAACTATGATTAATTATCTTTAAGTTAATATAATATTTAAGGCATAGTCATTAAATTACCATAATAAGAAAAACATAGTAAAAACCAAATACTCCATAAAACTATTGAAATATATAATCTGTCTCCATTGAGCAAACTTTTAAAGGAAGCATGTTCTGTTTTTTTAGCAATACTGTTCATATATAATGACCATATTACTAATTTATGTTCAATTTCAATAGATAAATTAATCTCTGTAGCTTTATTAGTCTTTATCATCAATCTTAAAGTTTAAAAAGCATCATAATACTTACCTTCTAATAGTAAGTATCTAGGAGATTCTTAAATATACATTAAAGACAGTATCAAAGCAATCAATCCTGGCAATGAACCTAAAAAAGTTAACCATCTCCAACTTCCATTTATTCCATCCAAAATTAATGAAGCCATGAAAAAACCGTACAATTAACCTATTGCAACACTTAAAGTAACAGTTCCTGTCATTTAACCTCTTAAGTTATTTGGAGTAATTTCTTATAATAAAGTTACACAACAAGGTGCAAAGAAACCTACAAAAACACCCATAAATCCTCTCATAATCAGTAGCTGATAAACATTTGTACAAAGAATAGTTGCAAAGCAAATCAAAACTGTAAACAATGAACTAAAAATGAAAGGTAATTTCCTTCCATACCTATCAGTAAATTAACCTGATAGCATAGATCCAACTAGAAATCCCATAAAAATAAAACTTGTTTATAAACTCACTATAGATTCTGATATATCCCATTCTTTTTTTAGTATTGGTATCATTAGAGTAAAAATTGTAATTTATGCTCCTTCCATAATTCCCAAAATTATTGATACTAGGTATTGCATTATTTAAAATCTTCCAAACCCTATTTGAGTTAAGGTATCATCAAAATTTATTATATTGTCTGACTTTATTATAGAATGATCTTCCTTCTGAGACACAACTTATATTTCTGATTTTAATTCATTTATAGTTGAATAATGTGATGCTTCTTATTGTTCTATTTCATTCATTTTGAATATATATATTAATTTATTAAAATGAATAGCAAAATTAAGATTTAGTACAGAATCTTATCAAAGAAACAATACTTTTTAAATCTAATTACAAATAACTAAAAAGAAAATTTCAGATTTGGGACATATTTTAAAACTTTAAAGTAGATATATAGCTAATAAATATATGACTCTTCTTTATTACTAAATCCCCTATTTAATAACAAAAACTAATAAAATAAATCAATACTTCTCAAAACTATAAACCATAACTATTTGAACCTTTTTAATAAAAAATCTATTCAAAACTAATTAAATAATTATAGAATCGAATTGATTAAATGAAGTTTAAGAATCCTATTATAAAAGAATAGCAATAAATTAATAAATATATATAAACAATTAAATTAGGAGAATATATAATTAAAATAATTGTATGAAGAATAAACCCACTCAATTCTTCATTAAATTAATTAATATGAATTAACAGTAACTGGATTAAATGAATAATATAAATTATAGCAGAATTATACTTAGCAATTAAAAGGACATTAAAAAACTCAAAATCTAATCCTAACTTTTCATTTCAAGGAAAACACAAAATAAATTTGATTTCAAAAGTATAACATCTAATAAGTTTTATTATAGATAATATATTTTGGATCCAATATTTTCTTAATTTATAGTTATATAGGGCATTAACGTTATTATAATCAGAGATTATTTATAACTAAATAACATTTAAAATTATAAGAAGATATTGAAATAAATTGGTTAAATCTAATTATTTATATGTTTATGTTATATTTAAAACAACAAATTTTCAACCTTATTACAATTGATTATAATAATAACATGCATTATTATATATAGTAGTATACTATTCTACTTCATCATCTGTTCTTTCTGGATCTGTCATAATGGCTTTAATGCATTCTGAACCAACTGCCAAATTGCCACATTTTACTTGATCTTAGGCAATTTTTAATTTTTATATGATATCCTTAAATATTTTATAATAATTAACATCTTTCGAAAATATTTATTCCATGGTTTATAATATAATGATAAATACAGTAGTCATTGGATCTTCNTTGTTCTATTTCATTCATTTTGAATATATATATTAATTTATTAAAATGAATAGCAAAATTAAGATTTAGTACAGAATCTTATCAAAGAAACAATACTTTTTAAATCTAATTACAAATAACTAAAAAGAAAATTTCAGATTTGGGACATATTTTAAAACTTTAAAGTAGATATATAGCTAATAAATATATGACTCTTCTTTATTACTAAATCCCCTATTTAATAACAAAAACTAATAAAATAAATCAATACTTCTCAAAACTATAAACCATAACTATTTGAACCTTTTTAATAAAAAATCTATTCAAAACTAATTAAATAATTATAGAATCGAATTGATTAAATGAAGTTTAAGAATCCTATTATAAAAGAATAGCAATAAATTAATAAATATATATAAACAATTAAATTAGGAGAATATATAATTAAAATAATTGTATGAAGAATAAACCCACTCAATTCTTCATTAAATTAATTAATATGAATTAACAGTAACTGGATTAAATGAATAATATAAATTATAGCAGAATTATACTTAGCAATTAAAAGGACATTAAAAAACTCAAAATCTAATCCTAACTTTTCATTTCAAGGAAAACACAAAATAAATTTGATTTCAAAAGTATAACATCTAATAAGTTTTATTATAGATAATATATTTTGGATCCAATATTTTCTTAATTTATAGTTATATAGGGCATTAACGTTATTATAATCAGAGATTATTTATAACTAAATAACATTTAAAATTATAAGAAGATATTGAAATAAATTGGTTAAATCTAATTATTTATATGTTTATGTTATATTTAAAACAACAAATTTTCAACCTTATTACAATTGATTATAATAATAACATGCATTATTATATATAGTAGTATACTATTCTACTTCATCATCTGTTCTTTCTGGATCTGTCATAATGGCTTTAATGCATTCTGAACCAACTGCCAAATTGCCACATTTTACTTGATCTTAGGCAATTTTTAATTTTTATATGATATCCTTAAATATTTTATAATAATTAACATCTTTCGAAAATATTTATTCCATGGTTTATAATATAATGATAAATACAGTAGTCATTGGATCTTCTTGCTTAATTTCTTATCTCATATCAACTTAAGGGTATTATGGTTGATATGGGTTTATCATATTTGGAATCATGGGTTGTTAAATATCGACATCTTGATGATATTTAAAATTTGAGTACCATGAGAATATTAGCAATTTTATCCATTTTTGCAATAATTTTAAGCATGATATTTACATGGAACTAACCTTAAAGTTATTTAATACTTTTAAAAGCAGGTTATTGAGGCATCATAGGTTTCATGATTTCTTAATATTATGAAGGGACTGCTAAAACTGTGATTAAAGCAGAAGGAATGGGATCTTATATATTTAGAAATATATAAATACCATTTATGGATCTCATTTCCTCTTGTCCATGAGCGAATTGGCATTTAGCTCCTATGGCGCATTATCTTGTAGCTAATAATCTTAATGATAATACCTTAATAATGTCTACAAAGTGTTGTTTTGTATTTGGCATTAGGCATCCCTGCTGAAAATTAATTACCAAAGGGATATGACATTTAATATTAATAATAATAGCAATAATCATAAATAATAAAGTCTTCTTATAGAGGAATAGTAACTCATTGCTTTTTCTCTAGAAATTTGCTAATCTAATTTAAATGATAAGGGACTATTTCGTTTCTTAGGAGTATCATCAGAAAGTGTTTCATGATATGTATATATTGGTTTATCACTATTAAAGGGTTGTCTTGGTGTCAATTTATCTAATACAGGTATCATCTTATCTGATTTAGGATAGATTACGGTATAATTTAGATCATAAATTTAACCATTCTTTTACTATCATTTTATCAAATTATATACTTACTTCTTTAAATTTCAATTTAGAAGAACTAGATCGTGGTCTAATTATTGGATTTGGAGATCTATGATATTATGATTAAGGGTATTGTTAGTATTCAAATCTATGTTCATTTGGTCCTTCTGGTAAAGGGAATCTATTTAGATCTGGTTAATATTCTTATGCTCTTAGCTTTCTTTCTTCTTACAGTTATTTTTTCTCTAAATATTCTTTACTAGTATCGCAATTATGTTTTAAAGTAGGTTTCTATATTTTAATAGATCTTTTAATAGTTTTTGAAGATAAAGATCGATCACTATTTAATTATCTAAAATGATCAGGTCCATCAGTTAAAGGAGACCTTTTCTATACTAAATGATATTTGGGATTATAAAATCCATATCTATCTAACTCCTTTTTAGATTCCACCCTCCCAACTTATTTAGAAAATGGTTAAACTTTGGTTTGAGAGGTTTCTCTTGGAGATGATTTAGTATTTTCTTTGAAACTTTTATAAGGTCTTTTACTATGAGGAATATCATCGAAAATTGAAATTTCATATGTTTTTTTTTTCTCTCCATTGATAATAGCATCTCTTTATTGTATCCAAGGAAATAGTTCAATTGAAATTTTACCAGCTTTGGAATACATCATTTTTTTTTTTAATAATAAAAATATAAAACAAAAAAAACAAAAACATTTTTATTTGTTTTTGTTGTTGTCAATATTTATATTAAATAAATATATATCTAAATTCACATTTTAATTATTTTATAGAGAGATCAAGATTAATAATAAAATTATAAATATTTATGTAAACGGAATAATTTTTTTTTGATTCAAGTAATTCGAATGAAAGGAATTAATGGGTAAAATTAAATTCAATTAAACGTCCAATATCCACTATTCGATTATTTGAAGGAACTTTATTTGTAAAAAGCAAGAAATATGATTTTTATAAACCAAAGTTTTTTAAGTTGTTTTCAGATAGACTGAACATTTATAATGTAACATATATAATAAGACATTTTTAGAATTGCAGAGAATAAAAGGAAGTAGCAGCATTATTTTTAACAAATGTCTATTTAGATCTCAATTCTTAAAATCAATTGGAAAAGGATAAACATCCTATTGTATTATAAGCAGGATCCAAAAAATATATATTTAATGCTAAATCATAAGAGTAAAGATAAAAATGGATTGAATAATTCAAAAAGACTTGTATTCTAAATAATTATCGAGATATTTACTTAAATCTTAAAGTAATAGGAAAAGGAACCTATGCAAAGGTAAGAAATTGAATAAATAAGGTTCTCTTAGCTTAAAGAAAATAAAATTAAAATAAATATGCAGTTAAGACCTTCTAAAAATCGGCATTAATGGACAAAAATAATAAATAAAGAGTAACATTATTACTGATATTAAAAAGTAAGGATTACTTAATGAAATCGATTTATTGCGTTCTTGTGATCATCCTAATATTATTAAATTATATGAAATTTATGAGAGTGGCGATTACATTTATTTAGTGATGGAATTATTAGAAGGAGGAGAATTATTTGATATAATACTAGAAACAAAATGTTTCTAAGAATCCAAAGTGGCTTTGATAATGTTCAAAATATTTGATGCTTTAGAATATTTACACACAAAAGTATAATTATTCATATTTATTAACTAAGAATATCATGCATAGAGATATAAAACCTGAGAATATACTATTAAAAGATAAATCTGAGAATTTTGATTTAAAAATTGCTGATTTTGGTTTAGCATCTTACACTGAAGTTGATCTACTTATTACTAGATGTGGGACTCCTGGTTATGTTGCTCCTGAAATTTTAGAAGATAAGAAATATAATGAAAAGGTTGATGTCTTTAGTGCAGGAATCATTCTCTATATATTGTATTTATAAGTGTAATATTAGACTATCTGGACAAGCTCCATTCTATGGAAATAGTCTTGATGAAATTATAGAGAAAAACAGAGATTGTTAAATAAATTATAAAGATTTGAAGGTTTCTGAAGATGCTTTGGATCTACTAAAGCGATCTTTAGAACCTAATCCAGATTATAGAATCTCTTCCTTAGAGGCTCTTTCTCATCCCTTCATATCCCGTTTATACAGAAGAGAATCTAATCATACTGATGAAATAAATTTAGATTAAAATTTAAATGAAAAATATAGTATCTTAGATAGTATGAAAAAGTTTGGATAAAATGATTTAAGATCTAAGATTTCCAAATGTAAATAAAATGAATTGATTTAATAAACACCATTTTTGGGTGTAAGAGAATACGATCCTATTAAAGCATCATCTGATAGTTGGTTAATGGAAAAGTCAAGCATTATAGATTCAAAATAGATATTTTGTTCACCCAATATAAAGTAATAATCATCTGATTCTGATTGTTCTATTCTAAGTACTCCTGAATCCAGAAAAGAAACCTAAAGATAAATATAATTTAGTGCACTTTAATAAATAGCTTTTCGACAATCTCCTAGTTAATCTATTTATTCACCTTAAAGTTAATAGAAACCTTAACTATAAATGAATCTTAAGAAAGCTAATTAAATTAGAGATTAACTCAAAAAATTAGGCTCATGACAATTATTATGAGAAGATTTTGATTGTATTTTATTATATATAATATATAATATCAAATTGAAAATAATGCAAGATTTATATCATGAGAAATAAACACTTATGTTATGTGGATTATGTGCTGTTAATAATTTATTGTAGAAATAACAGTATTATAAAAAATCTATGAATGAACTAGCTGAATAATTACCAAATGTATCAAATAGTTTATTCAATTAACATTCAAGGTAAATATGAATCTATATATATCAGTTTATTCAAAATTGGAAATTATTCAGCCGATCTTTTAATTACAGCATTAGAATTAGTTGGAAAAAAAGTAGTTTACTTTGATAAAAGAAAAATAGAAAATTTATAAATAATATTTACAGATCATAAAGTATTGGGTCTTTTACTTAATAGAGTATAAAAAAGTTTTTTTATAACAACCAATCATTGGTTTGCTATTTTATAAAAAAATTAAAAGTGGTATAATTTAGATGGAAAATTGAAAGAATATACAAGTTTTGATAGTTATAATTAATTGATGGATTTTATTAAAAAGGATCTATAAAATTTAAGTATTTTTATAGTCTATAATGATATGATTTAAGAACAAAATGCTTATTAATAAGTGGAAAATTTTTAATAGAATTCTGATAAAAAATAAATTAATATTGAATAGGAATTAATAGATGAGAAATTATAATAAGCAGATAATGAAATATTTAATTAATAAGAATAATAATAATAATAGGAATAATAATAATAATAATAATAATAATAATAATAATAATAATAATAATAATAATAATAATAATAATAATAATAATAATAATAATAATAATAATAATAATAACATTAATTAGATTATATTTAATAGATGAATAATCAAGAACATATAAATTTCAATGAATAAACTTAAAATTAAACTTTTAAAGAGACTTGATTGCTATTTTATATATATAATTTTGATTAATTATCTTTGAAAATTAAAATTAATAAAATTCAAATGGATTTAATCCACTTATGATCTTCTCCTCCAGTCTAAATTATTTTAAACTTATAATACTTAAATTTTAGTTAACAAATCGAATAATTCATGTGATAGTTCTCCTGCATTTAATTTTGTATCATATTTAACTTCATAAATTTTATCATTATAACCAATAGCTTCGATTGGCTATATACTAACAGCAGTTCCTGATCCAAACATTTCTATCATCTAAATTATTAAATTTTGTATATACTCTTCCTGATTCTATAGATTCTATGACTTCTTAAATATACAACTTCTTTTCTATGACTTTAAATTTACCCATTCCTCTAGTTATTTCCTTTAGATAAAATAAAATGTCTAACCAAAATAGAATCTCTCATTATTCCAGGTAGAATTGTTCCATCTAGCATAGGTGTAACTAATTCCTTTTCGCCTTTTTCATTTTTTTAGAAGAAAAACAAATTACAAACACCCATTTCTTACACTAATCCATCAGGTAACATCCATAAATTTTAATGAAATCCTATTTTCTAAACCTCCTTCAATGGTAACACTGTTGGTGCATAATTACCAGCCACTTTATACCCTCCAACTCCTCCTGGAGCTGAACGAATCTTGCTATAAATTTTTAAGAAATTACTGTTGACGTATTACAAAATACTCTAACAGGTTTAAGTCCAGATGGAAAATATGGGCCAACAGGACATAAAACAACAAATAATCTAGCTCTACTTGAAGCACGAACTCCTAATGCTTCTTCTGTAGCAATCAAAGTTGGTCTAATATAACAACTAAATCCTGGTCTGTCTGGAATCCAATCTCTATCTACTTTAAGCAATTATTCAATGCATCTTTATAATTCAGCTCCATCAAAGTCAGGCAAAGACAATCTCTTAGCAGATTGTTTCATCCTGTACATATTACAGTCTAATCTAAATGTTCTAATAGTGTTATTTGCACCTCTGTAAGCCTATAGTGTATTATAAATATATTTACTTTTGCTCCTTCAAAACATTCAATTGCATAATGAAGACAAGCAGCAAATGGATGGATACTAAAACTTTTAAATGGGACTATTTGGGGTCTGCTCCAACTTAAGATGTAACAACATTTTTTTACCCCATTTTTTCTGACCAATCAATTTCCAATAAATGATCTGTATGAAATGCTCCAAATGTCATAATCTTTGGATCACAAGGAGGTTTAGTAATATAATGCATTGTATGAGTAATTGTGAGATCTCTAGACTAATAAAGAATTCCAAAATATCAAATTACTTGAAATGATGGATGAGGACAACTGAGATCCAAATTAGCATAATAAGAGAAGGAGTAGATTTACTTAAAGTGAGTTTGAAATGTAGATACTTTTGAAATATTTCTTAGCATGATTTACTTATTCTTTGTGTATATTTAAAATTATTAGTATCATTCGAAATTATTACGCATTATTAATATAAAATATATATATACTATTAATTAAGTGCATTAACTGTCACACACCCTAATTCATGGCAGGATTTTCCTTTCTTGCTTTGAATTATTATATCAACTCTGCCAATGGAGCAAGTTCCTTATCTTCAACTAATTTGAATTCATCTAAATTCTATTAATATCAATACCAATGAAATATATGAAATGTTTGAAACAAGTATTCAAATGATATTCCAATTCAAGTGCCATAATATGTTAAAAATGAGAGTGATAAATATGAGCATAAACTCTAAACAATCTCTTAAAGATTACTTTGACAACAGATAAAAATGTTTTTGGGAATGGAATTCCTTAATAAAATGTATAAATTACCAATTTAACATGGAAATAATGAATCATTATTAAGTTAGTTCTCTACCCAAGTCATTAAATAATCAATATATTCTGAAGCAGAAACTTTAAGAGGAGTTTTAACATTCTATCCATCTGCCCATAAATATTCATATCTTGAAATATTAATTTCAATAATTACTTAGGACCAGCAGACATAATTGGACAAAGTTCAGGAGTGCAGAATTCTACTAATGTTCCATATAGAATTGAGATTTCATTATAAAATTCGATTGTATTGACAGCCAACCATTCATTTAAATCTTCACCATTTGGTAATTCAACTGCCAATAACATATTCCCTGAACCAAGAGTCATTTAAGCAATTTATTTTAAACCATATCCTCTCTAGTTTTTATCAATTTGTTTGAGTGGCTTGTAAGTTTTAGGATCATTTGGTTGCATTTTGAATTTTAATATAAAAAGATAAAACAAACAATTAAAAAGGAATGTATTAATACATAAATTATAAAGTATTTGTTCATTAATTAATTACTTGGTCTATGATCTTAGTTATTAATTATTATAGTATACTTATGAAAGAATCACAGTTATATTCCATCGATTGCAATAATATTTATTAGGTATTCTTTGATCTTACACTTCTTATTCTGTAAAGTACAAAATATAGATCTTTTTCACTTCTGTAGCTTTCTATTTAATAGATGTTATCATATCTTATTCTTTCTAAGCTTAGAAGTTATTCTAATCGATATTAAATATAAGTATGTAATTGGAAGTTTAGAGAAAATAAACTATGATCTTGAAATGGACATACCATTAATGATTGGACCATAATTCTATATTGTCATATCATGCATTAGAAACTTGACAATGTGCACTCCATTTTTTTCTTGAATTCTCTTCATGGCTAAATCTAAACAAAGTTTGCTTATTGCATAAAAATATTAAAAAATACCTTTTAATTGGAGATATCAACTCTTCATTAAAATCTTCACTACTATTTTTACGACTCTACATGCAAAACATGGTTAATGATTGTTTCACATATTCGTTGATGTCTCCCAAAATCATAATATGATGACTAAATATATTATCTCCTGATTTCAAAACTATATCAGGAGGTAATTCAGAGGTGTCAATATAATCCACCTATGGGGAGCTATAGTTATGTTCAAATCCTTCAATATCCTTAAGTATTTCCTCATCATCATCAACTTATTTACTCTTGTTTAACCAATTTAATTTTTTATCATCATAGAATAGGTTAGTTTAATTCTACCCTATAGTTGCCAGCTCATTTTTAAATTATTTTCTACTTAAATATATTCCTCTAAACTATCTGAATCGAAAGCACAACGTCTTCTTCTTTGCATCAATAAATAAAATAATAATATAAATCATTAAATCCTCTAATTCACTATTGTATAAAATTTGTTTGTTTTTTAAATTGAAAACTAATCTTAATATCAAGATAATAAAGTTTATACAAATAAATTCAACTACCCTTTTTTTCTCATGGTTTTTTTTTAAATCTCTTTATTCTCTTCATTATTTTTGAAATCATGTTATTCTTATAACTTTACCAACATTTTTACATAACATTTTCACATATTTTCTGTTTTTACTCAACTGAAACATAGTAATGCTATTCATCATACATAATAAATAATAAACAAATTAAGGTTATCTTCATTGCATAATTGATAATAAAGTATGATCCTGTAAAATTAAAATCATAACTACCAAAAAAGTAAAAACAATTTATTAATTTAAATCTCAACTTTTTCTATAGAAAGTCTAATTATGATTGATAAAATAAATTAATTTCTATTTAAAATAATTAATTCATCTTAATTATAAAAGTTTATCAAGGCTTTATTTTAATAATTAAAAGATATAAGTCTATAGTATAAAATCCAAATTATTATTGAAAATATCACTTTTATTATACATATACTCTAATTTCTGTATCCTAAATTAAAATGATTTTATATATATTAAGATTATGATATTAAAGAATTTTATACACCAACTATCAAAATAATAAAACTACATATTTGAAATTTTATAAATATTTCATTAAATTTATTAAATTATTCATTTTATTTTTTTTTAATGAAAAAGTTATTAATAAATATAATCTTGATATAAAAAATAAAAGAATTTACTTAGATCTTAAATTATATTTAGGACAATTTGAATTCAATGCATAACAATATTATAAATATTAATTTGAATAAATTTTATAAATACTAATATATAATTTATAAAATGTAAGTCAATAATCAAAGTTAAGTATTTTATCTGTGCTATAAAAATTAAATTAATATAATACTCTTTTTAATATTCTAATAGTTCAGAATATAAGATTGAAGATTAATCTAATTTATTTGGAACAGTTGTTTATACAGTACAACTTTTTCTAGATGGATATTTTGTTTAGTGAACTCTTGAATGATCTAGTATATTGGAAACATCAGATATAGCAAAACTTGTACTAATATTTCCAATTTAATTTATATTATGTTTTTTTCTTTTTTCAAATTAATTCATCCATTCTTAAGGTAATGGTTCACTACAATAATAATCAATATTTGGTAAATATATTATTCCTTATTTTTATAATTTGATTCTCTCTACATTTATATTTCCTTGTTAACTTTCAACTAATCCAATACTTAAATCTGTTGACCATGATAATATTTATTTAATTTATATTCCAGAAAAATACTTTAAATATTCTTTGATTGTAACTTAGGAACTTTTAAAATCACCTAATTCACATTCTAATTCTCCTATTAATTCTTAATTGCATAAAAGACCAATTCTTAATTATGATAAAATACAATTAATATCCTATCTATCAGCTGCAAAAAGATAAAAGAGTTTAACATGATCAATATTTAATACATCTTTTGAATGATCGATACTCTTTTTCATATCTAATTAAAACCTAAAAAGATGATCAATTTATTTACTTAATTTCTTAATTGAGAAAGTTATAATAAATGTAATATTTACATTAATTAAATTGAGATTCAATTGGAATCTAAGATAAAGTTTTAATGTAGATCATTATTCTAAATCTTTTCATCTTAGGAATTGTTCCATAATCAATTTCAGGTAGATTTGGCATTAATTTTATTTAGACTTCATTCAACATTTCCCAATCAAGAGGTTTAATAAAATATTCCCCATTTCCATATATAGTGTTAGCCTATTTTTGAATAACATTTGGTCCTTTAACACGATAGTCTTATTAAGTAAGTGAAATTATATTGTTTTTTTCATAAACATCAATTCCTAATTTTTATGCCATCTTAAATTCAAGTTATATTAATTCATCACATGCCATAAATAATTAATAACAACTATCACAAACATAATATTTATGAAATAACATTGCACTATCAAGATGTGTAAAGTTTATTCTATTTCTAATTTATAAATGTTTTAATTCAATATTTCTACTTAATAAATGTAAATCACATTCTATTAACATTTTTAAAGTTAATTAATGTGTTAATTCTTTTGCTGGATATATCAATTCACAAAATTTACATATCTATGTCTTTGTAAAATTCCATTATTGATTCAAATTAGAAATTTGTTTTCTTTCATAATCTACAGGTATTTATTCATCATGAGTAATATGTCTAGTAAATATTTAATTAGAAGGATTAATCAATTTAAAACCTCTAACATTAAGTAAGTACCATTTGTTATCTATTCCTTTTGTAAAATCACAACCTAATTCATCAAATTCAACATTCATACTCTATCTACAATAGAGTAACAGATTTTAAATGTAAGGTATGGTTTCCTCTATGAAACGGCCACCCTTACACTAAATTATATTAGTTTATTTGAATTTGCTGGCACTTGCAAGACATCTTTAAGCATATTCACCTTCATCTTAAAATGTTAGTTTATTGGTAATAACCCAAGCTGTAGTTTATCCATTTTTTTTCCAAATAGTCCTACAGATATATGCCATAGGACCTTAACATTTAATATATTTTTATAAACAAGTGATTTCTTACTTTACACTCATGGCATTTGAAAATAATAATTGTACATCCTTCTATAATATAGGTTTTGCGTCATTTCCAATTAATTCCATATCTTTGTAATGCGGCTTTTTTATAACTGCAATTAATTCATTTGGATCATTGCTACCTTCAGTAAATTTTTATGCTGCATTTCTAGAAGTAAATGAATCTGTTCTATAAACATAACCATCTGCACTACTGTATAACCATATTGCACTTAAATCTACATCATTTAATATTATAGTATCTGGAATCCACATTTTCAATTTGCATTTTTGATTAGTTTCATCATATCTTTTAGCCATATATTTAAAAAAGTATATATAAGGCATAAGAGTATTATGTGAATATTTATACTAACTGCCTAACATAGATAACTATTAATAAGTGGCTAGAAATTTTCTATAAGCATCTGAGATCACTTTATTGTGTCTTGAACCCTTCTTATCAGGACTTGATCGACAATAAGAAAATGATTGATTAAGTCTTTGTCCTTCTCTCATCAAGTATAAAAATTAATAAATTACATTTCTTTTATTGACAAATAATAAAAACAAAAATCAATTACTATATGGCATATAATATAAACAAATATTAATCAATAATTAATCAAACTCATCTTAAATAGTACTTTTAAATAATTTTCTAATTATACTTAAATAATTCATTTATAATGTTATGTATAAATACAATTTTTTAAATATGTTTAGATAAAATACATGATTTTAATAAATTTAAGTTTGTTTCAATAACTAATTATTTCCATATATTTATAGAATTATTAATCAAAATTGATAGAATCTACTTAGAATCTAGACATATAAATATTAAAAATATAAGATTAATATAATTCTTCAATTATAAATATGTTATATTAATATCATAACTTAATAAATTGAAAAATCACTTAAGTTATAATATAAATTAATAAAAAAAGTTAAAGTGAAATACAATTAATTTTATATTTAATATTATTGATGAAATTAACTAATCAAAAGTTAAAATAGGCTTAGCAACTACTTAAATAATAACAATAAAATGAAGCTTTATTGGAACCAGCCCTGGAATATTTCATCAATCCAACATCTTAAAATAATTAATTGATAGATTCTCTACTCTAAATATCATTTTTTAAAAACAACTGTCCTGAAGGAACATAGCTTCACGATTTTGTAATGCAAGCAGCAAAATATTCAAAATATGAGTGCTTCTCTTATGGATAGATTATATTCAATTATGGAGAATTTGGAGATAAGATATACATCATATTGAAAGGACAAGCAGGTGTTTACATTCCTAAATCACAAGAAGAAATAAAAGAAGAAATGCTTTAATTTAATTAAAAGAAAAGCAAGAGAATGATTTTCATAGATGATGCTTTGTATGAAAACAGAGAGAATCCATTCTACTATTAAGATGGCATCTTTAAATTCCAAAAAGTATATCATCATATAAATTATAGGTATTTTAATACATCTCTGGATAATGTTTTGGTGATGTTGCTTTAATTTCTGATAAGCCTAGAACAGCTAGTTTGATAGCTATATCTGAAATTTTACATTGCATATCAATTAATCGAGCTTAATATAAATTAATGTGTGAAAAAGCCATTTAAGAATAAAACAAGGCTATGGCATTATATACTAAAATTTTACCTGGAATATAACCATTTAGCATTACAAAATTTGTCTAAAATCTAAGACCTATTAATTTTGCTTCATAATCTATTCTTTGGCAAAAAGGAGATGAACCTTAATATTTATTCATTATAATTAGTGGAAGAGTTGATATCTATATGAATATTGATGATTAAAAAGCTATTTAAAATAAAACAGCTCTAAATAATACATTTACTATAGTTCTTAAGAAAATTGTTGTATGTATATAATTAATTTCATTAGCTAAGTTAAATAACTGATGGAGGTGTTGTTGGTTAAGAAGAACTTATTGAAGAATTACATTAACGAAAATACAATTGTCAATGTGTTGATAATACTGTAGCTTATTATATGGAAGCAGAGGTATTTAGAAAGATTCGTAAGAACTTTCCAGATATTGTGAATCTCTTAAAAGAAATTTAAGAACAAAATAATTAATATATCTCATTAAGATAATAATAAGTTATGTAGAGTATATAAAATTACTAATAATAAATAATTAATACTACATAAAGTTAAATTAATCCAAAATCATTTTATGAATATTTAGATTTAAAGAGAAGACAATTAGATTAAAGTAAAGTTTTAAGAAGTGAAAATAAAAAATTATTGACTCTATCATAAAGTGTGAAAAGAAACTAAGAAGCATTCTAATTAAAATATAAAGATAAGTTGCCAAAAGATTATCTTATTGCAAATTCTGAATTACAATAAAATATTTAACAAAAATAAGAAAGACTTTATTACATTAATAATAAAAATTTGTAATATAAAAATTCTAAAAGCAATTTAGGATTGAGTCTCTCTAATGAAATAAAAAATTTAAAATTAAATTTGTCTAAATCTTAACTCAAATTTAATCAATCTGAATAGAATTTAGAAAATTTAATTAATGTTTAGCATTAATATAATTAAACTGATGGAACTTCTCTGTCTCCACATAGTAGTAAAAAATTATTATAAATCAATCAATCTCAAATAAGTGACTCTTTAAAGAAATAACAAATATTATTAAAAAAGATTTAAACCAGTTTAAGAACAAATAATAATAATTCTTAATCAATTCGCCATTTGAAAAGTCTTCATTCTGACAGTAACTTAAAAAAAGGAATTAAAACTGAACAAAGCTTTCTTAATGAATAATAACCATAATAATTTTTTATTACATCTTGTAGAAACAAATATGAAAAATCTCCTCAATCATTTCCAAAATTATTATAGATAGAAAATGACAACAATTGATTAATAAACTTCATTCTTTTAAATATATATAATCATTTAAACAATACGGAATTTCTTTACATCCTCTAAACAAGTTAGAAAACTATTCTCATTCTCATTATTCAATTCTAATAGTAATTTAAAATCTAAATAAAAAAAATAATTTAATTGAGAAATCAAATATATTATATAAATATTTATAAAAGTGATTAAAAACAATTAGATTTTTAATAATAAATTATATCTGAAAATTTTAATAATATTTGCAGAATAGATTACAAATTTTTTCACATTTTCTCGAACTTTCAATATGTTTGTGAAAACAATTACTAAATAATAATTTATAGTATGAAATGTAACTTTCAATTTCACTATAAAAAAAATTAGTATATAAAAATAATAATAGTTAAAATTTAAAAGATATCAAAGTATCGAGTAGTTGAACAAATAAATGGTTGAAACATAAAAAAAATAATCATGAACATTAATTGTTATAACATCATTCAATATATATTCTAAATAATGGGTTTTATAGAAATAAACTAGAATAATACGTTTTTAGATAAATATGGTTTAGAAGTTAATTTACTAACTTTTCTTATAATGATAAACTAGCAGCAATAATTAAAACTACATGAAATTAAGGTTTATGAATATATATATCATTTTAGAGATTATATAGATATTATTTAATTGAAACCAAATACTTATTTCTTGATTTAGTATTTATGAATTTTTAAGTATTATTTATATTAAATTGAAATATGGGTTGTTAAGCCATGAAATAGAAAAAGCAAGATGTACAGAGAGCCAATTTGGAAATAGTACTCAAATAACAAATTAATGATTTAATTTAGTAATGTAAGATTAATATACTAATAAATAGAACAATAGATTACTCTGGATAGTTAAGAAGAAGTATTCATATATGACAACACTTTAGAGAAGGAAGTGAAAGTTCCAAAAATGAGATAACCAAGTAAATAATTGTATTAAATATAAAAGTATTTAATTCACTTGTGTAAAGAAGAAAGTTGTAGAGATTCGAAGATAATGTTAAGTTATAAAATAATTGAACTAAAAACTATGATTAATATTTTGTATTTAGAATCTCTGATTTAAAAAAGTATTTAATTAATATTTTTTTTTTGTGTTGTTCAAATTAAAAAAATACTTAAATGAACTAATAGATTACTTAAGTTTCTGATTTTTCATTTGACCCAGAGGTAATTATAAAATAAGTATATTAGTTTGAAATATATACTGATTATTATCAAAATAAAATAGCCCAAGTAACAAATTAGGGAACAGTTCGGATATTTGAATTGATAAATAAAAAAGATAAGTAAATGAAGAGGTTAGCCTCAGAATTCTAAGCGTATGATTTTATTAATGAAGTCATAAGGGATAAATAAATTCAATGTCATGGTTAAGTCCAAAATATGAAAATTTGATTGCTACATGTGGTTAAGATAATTAAATAAAAATTTGGAAGGAATAAGCAAATTAATGGAAGGTTGAAAAATAAATATCATTAAATAATACATAAGCTAATATAATTCAATGGGCAGAAAATAAGTATATTTTAGCAGTAGGATATAATAATGGATATTTAGAAGTATTTGAAGGTTCAGAATATTAAGTTACTAATACTAATGCTTATAATTAAACATTATTGTGTTTAGATTGGTTAAAGAGTGATTAAGAATAAATTATAGCAACTGGAGGAATAAGTGACAATTAATCAATTGTTAAATTATGGAATGTATTTTCTGATTAATAAACAATTATTGATCAAGTTTATGAATACAATTGTGGTGATAAAATAAGACATGTAAAATTTGCACCTCAAATATTTAATTAAGAACTTTAATTAGCAATAAGTTATGGAAATTATGTAGAAATTTTAACTTTGTAATACAATATTGAATTAATTAAACCAATTGAATTATAAAAGAAATAATAAATATAATTTAATGTAAATATTTTATTAAATTTAGAATGTTTGTTAAAAAATAAGTTGGTCACTTTTAGGAAATGAACTCATAGTTTATGTTGATAATTAAATGCATTAATTTTACTAAAGTGAAGAAAATTAATATATAAAATAAATATGAATATGTTTCAAATTAATAAATATATATATTATCTATTGTATATCATACTATTATAATAATATTATAATATTCAATTTTTATAAATCAATATCAATATATTATATGTATGATAAATTCATATTTAGATATTCAATAAATTCAAATTCTTCATTATACTAATGATTATAAATTTTTTTATAATTTAGTTTGTATAATAAATTTAAATCATAGAGAAATGAGAAATCGATATGAATTATATTATGAAACGAAAAATAAATTGCTTGGATAAGGAGCATTTTCTTAAGTGTTTTTGGGTGTTAAAAAATCAAATTAATAAAAAGTTGCTGTTAAAATTAGTAATAGAAATCTTGCCATCTCTTAACAAGAGAAAATGATATTGAAACAATTATCTTAATTTAAGCATTAAAATGTAGTATAATTACTTGATATTTTTGATTAACCAGAAGCCTTATTTATTGTTTAAGAATATTGTCCTGGTGGAACATTATATGAAATGATGACAACTAAATCATTTACTGAAGAATAAATTGTAAATATAGCACTTTAAATTGCTAATGGTTTAGCCTTTTTACATAGCAAAAATATTGTTCATAGAGATATTAAACCTGAGAATATTTTAAGATATGTTGATGAATAAGGAATTGAAATCTATAAAATAACAGATTTTGGTTTAAGTAGTGTGAAATTAGATAGAATGACTACAACTAAAGTTGGAACAGCATATTATGTAGCTCCAGAAATATTGGAAAAATAACAATATGATAAATCAGTAGATATTTGGGCATTAGGCTTAATTATTGATGAATTAATACATAAAACACCCTTTTATAATGGATTAACTGAAGAAGAAGTATTTGGTAAAATAAGAGCCATAAGTTATATTATAAGAGATAATTAATATGCAAAACCTGCAATTTTTGATATTAAAAAGAATGTAATTAAAAATATTTTAATTAATTCTATCTAAAAGGATCCTAAATTAAGAAAAGATTTAACTTGGATTATATAAACTCTAAGTGAATATTATTTATAAAGTCCTAATTGTAGTTTTAAAAAAGATTATAGAAATTTATCTCTTTAATCCCAAACTACATCATGTGAATAACCATAAATGTTTTAAATACCTACTTACTCTACTGAATAATAATAAGTAGAAGAATGTCCATATCATTAATAACCATTTAAATATAAGATTTTAGGAAATGATGAAAATGCTATTATTAATGCTTGTCAAAAATGTCTCTAAATTTATGGTATTTTTGATCAATAAGAATTTTAATAATATTTGGAAAAGACCAATATTGAATTAATTAATTTCTCTGTAGATTTATATTATTCTTAAAATGAAATAATTATTGAAGCATTAAAATTACTTAATCAATTTAAACTATTCTAAGAAAAAGAAAAACTAATTTCTGAATTGAGAAATATAGTAATCAAACATAATAAAATATTGAGATAAGAGTATATTTAATATTAAGATGATATATAATCAATGAATATTAATGCAAAATGGATAAATGATGCATTAAAAATCAATTAAACAATCTCCAAAGACATACCAAATAAAATAATTCTATACTTAATATCAAAATGTCAAGAGAGAAAAGATATATCACTTATAGAATGTAAAGAATTCATCAAAGAATAACTTAAATTACTATAATAATATATAGTTTCTTTATTATGAATATTATTTATATAAATAATATATATGATATCAAGGGAAGATTTTATCATAGCTTAAGAAATTAAGGATGAATATCTATGTGGTATCTGTTATTAATTAGCAATTAATGCTGTTGAATGTTAAAAGTGTGAAACTCTCTTTTGTAATGAATGCTCTTAAGATTGGAAAAAAAAAAATGATATGTATAACCATAAATTAATAATATAAGATGTCCTAATAAATGTGAATAACCTTTTGATTTAAAATAAGCACACAGAATGATTAGATCAGAAATTCTTAAAATAAAATGTTATTGTAAATATACTAAATTCGGATGTTAAGAGTAGTTGATTTTAGATCAACTTCTTTAACATATATAGAAATGCTAATTTATACCTGTAAAGTGTTGTGAATAATGTGAATGGGAGGGATAAGCAAAAGAGCTAGAAGATCATGTATTAAATTGTTTAAACTTTAGCAAGAAAAATGTAATTTTATATTACATATAACATGTAAATAATGCAAATAAAAAGTATTAAAAGAATAAAAAGAGACTCATAATTGTTTTGAAACATTAATTAATTTAGTTATAAATTTATAAACAGAGATTTCAGAGGTGAAGAAGTCTTCTTAAATTAAAATCAATGATCTTGAACTTAAGCTAGAATAATAATCATAATTATAAACTTCAATTATTAAATAATCATAAATTCTTTTTGAATAATAATAATAATAGATAAATAATATTTCAAATATTAAATCAGATAAACCTCCTGAATCAATTATTTTAAATTCATTACATAAATCAACTTAATAATAATAATAATAATAATAATAATAATAATAATAATAATAATAATAATTTTAAAAACCTCCTGTTCTTTAAAAACAAATTCCAATTTTTAAAACTTGTGGAAAATTGGGAGATATTAGTAAAGATAAAATGTGTAAATAAAAGCATTTATTACGTTTTTGGTTAACTCCAGGTATTGAAGCTAGTAGATAAACTTGCTCTAATTGTTTAAAAAATCAGATTTGCAGATATGTATGCGAAACTTGTTCTGATTATTATTGTTTAATTTGTGCACCACCAGAAAACATGTGCAGAGGAAAAAGTTTACCTTCATATTGTCCAACAGGTCATAGAATGGAATTTAGGAAAGGTACAAATTATGTATGTGATGTTTGTGGATAAAGTGGATCAGATATGCCAAATAGCAAAACTTAATGTTGTTAGAATTGTGATTTTGATATTTGCTAAAATTGTTAAGAGTAAATGATTAAGAATAAAGAATGTGTCATATTTTGAAAGTGAATATAATTTAAGCATTAATTTATCATTTATTTTTGAAAATAAATTTCAATTTAAATTTGCATATTAATTTGGAAAGTTATGATTATCTTATATTAATAAACTTAATTTACTTAAATAAATTAGGTGTGTGTTAATAATTTCATCAAAAATAGAAATACTATAAATCTATTAAATGAAATTAATAAATCATAATTAAACAATATTATGTTGATGCAAAATTTAATTTAAATTGAAATTTGTTGAATAATAATATTATCTATAAAAATAGAAATAAATTAGGGATTTTATATATTAACTATGTTATATGAAATATAAATAAATAAAACTAAGATTGGTAAACTAAAATATCATTTATTTTATCCAACTTATCTTATATCTACTATTAAATAACATTAGAGATAAATCTTTGAACTTTATAAGATTCAAATGAATAAAATTAAGGTAAGTAGGATTCTATTCTTTTAAATCTAATATATTATTAAATTTAGATTTTGTATACCAACTTATCATTTAAATTGCTAGTCTATTTGTTAACAAATAAACTACTTAGATTTTACCTTAAAAATGGTTTGACTTTTTTATTAAATTTATTAATCATATTTAATGTAATTCAAATCAAAATAAAATGATTAATAAATTTTACACTTCACTGTCATTAGAAAGCACTTTTTTCTTGATAGAATTTACTACTTAAAATTGGAAAAAGACTTTATCATAATGAGTTCTGTAAGTTATAAATTTTATATAAAAAGGAAACTGATTTTAAGAAACCAAAATATTATTTATCATTATCTCCTGATACTGAATTTGAATGGATTATTAGAAATCAATAATTAGTTGGTTTTCTATTTCCTTATAGAAATAAGATAAAGGAATTTTATGGGGATAAGAATCATTTAACTTAGTTTAAATTGTAACTTGGAAAAATAATTCTTTTTAAATCTCTGATTGTCCATTATAAATTTTTACTATATTTAGATTAAGGAGCATTTGGATCAGTATGATTATTAATATTTAGGTGTCATTGTAATCCAATTATATAACAGAAAATAAATTTGCTATAAAAGCTTTGACAGCTTCTAATAAATAATTGTAGAAATAAATCATGAATGAAATTACTACTCTTAGAAGTCTAGACCATCCTAATATCCTGAAATTATATGAGGTTTTTAAAACAAATTCTACATATTATTTAGTGACTGAGTATATTGATGGAAAAAATCTAAAATAATTATCTAATGAAATTCATCAAATGTAAGATAATTCAATATTATGTTTACTTAAGGTAACTATATCATATTTAATATAGTAATTATTTGAAGGTTTAAATTTTATCCATAAGAATAACATCATTCATAGAGATATTAAATCGGCTAATTTAATACTTTAGAAAGATGGATTATTGAAAATAATAGATTTTGGATTGGCTTGCTTTGATGGAGATTAATTAAAGGACTATCCAAAATGTGGTACTCCTGGCTATTGTGCTCCTGAAATCCTGTAAAATATTGGAAATAAGAATTAATATGATAGTAAAGTTGATGTATTTAGTGCTGGATGTGTACTTTACAAATTACTTACTTCTAAAAGCTTATTTGAAGCTGAAACATCAAAGTAAGTTTTAAAAAAAAATAAAAATTGTTTGTTTCACATAAAAGAATAAGGTCGACTATTTGACTTAACTAAAATTTTAGTAAGATAAAATCCTTTAGATAGACCAACAAGTTTATAGACTTTGTAATTAATTTAAAAAATGATTGATGATGAATCCTTTGATGTAAATATTTGGTATAGAAATACATTTAATTGTAATTAATCAACATCAAGTTTGTTGAGTAACACTCCAAAAAATGTAAATCTCAGTAAATCAAATTTAAAGACTTTATCTACACCAAATAGTTCAATATAGTTTTTTTCAAATTAAATAAACAAAATGATTAAATGAAAAAATCTCTAATTGATATAAAATAGTTTAAAATATTTTATTATATTATAAGAGATTTAATAATAATTTAGCTATTTTATAATAATTTTTTTGTTTTCAGTTGATACCATAAGTTAATTATTTTGTGAATTCTTATAATTATAAATACTCCTATATCAATGATTTTATCTAATAAAATAAATTAAATAATTTACTTCAAAAGGAAATTAAGTTTTAAAGGTTAATTTAGCCTTGTCAATAGTACAACAAAATTCTGTTGTACAAGCCTTCATCTCGGATAACTTTTAATAATGACATGTAAATATTAATGCCTTATTTTCTGGTTTCAAAATATGAAATCCATTATAATTTAATCCAATAAAGATATTACTCTTAATTTTAAGATTAAAATGTTTTTAAATTAATTGTATAGTCCCTTTATCACATTCAACAAAAAATGATGACATTCCAAAAAGCAAATTATTTTTAAAGAAATTCATAATCATTAATTATGCTAATCCTGATATAGAAGTATTTAATTTTTTATTTTTATTAATTTATGATTAATTCTCTTTTTAAACTTATTTTAATTATTATTATAAATTATTGATATTATTAACAACTTCTTTAAGCCAAACTTCTTCTTTTTTGCTTTTTAAAATAATCTTTGGTATTGTTTTAGTTAAAAGTGTTGAAAGTTAATCTTGACTTGTATTTGTAGAATAGTAGAATAATGCAGATATTAAACAATATTCATTGAAATTAAATTAAAATTTTTCATTTCTTATTTCCCAAATTAAATCATATACAATATATCTTAATCTTTATTCATCCTATTTAAGATCAGCTTCCTCTTATTTCCAAGATAAATAGAAATATTTTCTAAATATAAATTAGAATTTTTATTCATAAGTAAATAACTTTTTAAATGCATTCATCAAACCTTTATTTTAATTTGTATGAGCATCTAATATTGATGACATTGTTTCATCATCATCTATAACTCTTTAATCTTTATTTTAATCAACAATAAATAATCTAAAATCTAACCATTATTTTAATCCAACAACTTTTGCAACTTCATTTTTAATAAATAATGTTAAGGTTTACTTTTAAAATCCAACTGCAATTGTTCTACCATCCATTAGACTTACATCTATAAAATATGGTGATTTTGTAGCATTCTATCCAATTACTACTGATTTATCTTATTCCATATTCATTAGACTTGATCTCTATGCTTATGCTTTTGCTGCTTATAGTATATTTGTTGATTGTCTATTCATTATCATTGATTAAAGTAGATTAGGTTTAATACCATTAGAAAATTAACTCTATAATATCATTTTCATCATGTCTTCCTCTCCTGTTTTAATTTAAGAAGCCATATTCTTTTTTTTAGGAATCTAAAAGAAATCCTAATTCAAACTTAATAATTCTAAAATCTATTTTTAATATTCAATAGAATTTTAACATTTAGTAGAATTCAACACAGATGATAAGAATTTTTCAATTAATAATTTTCTTTCTTCTATTACTTTTGAATCAATTGAATGAAACCAATTTAATGTTGTAAATACTGGTACTTTTAAAGTTGAATCAAATTTATTTACAATTGATTATAAAGAAACAATTTAACTATATCTTACAAAAATCTTAGTTTGATATTCTGAAATGTATATTTATACAACATAAACTGTATAAGGATTTGATTTTGTATTTCTAATTTCTGTTCCAATAATAATCACTTTTATTTCATAATCAAATTCTTATTATTTTTATTCTTTTTAATAATCACCAGCTTCAATTATAGAACTTTTAGTCTTTCTTATAATTTCCATATCCATTTGTTTTTGTTTTAACTATTATATTATATCTTAAATTTTATTCATTAATTATATTTTTGATTCCTTATCTTGATTAATAATAATAATAGATTCAGTCTTATTAACAACTTCAAAAAAGTGTTCAAAATAATTTGTATTTTCTTTATCTTTTACATAAGACTGATAACTTATATTAATATGAAAAGAGTAGATTTATTATCCATTTTATTTTTTTTAGGCAAATAATAAAAGATTATTAAATGCATACAAAATAATATTATTCTCTTTTTTATCTGTATAAATAGTGCAAAACTCTTCAAAACAATATACTCTATTAGGTTCAGCAATTTTTACATATTGACTAAATTAATTTTACAATTCTATTAATTTTAATTATTCTAAATAAATTTTCATTTCATTATTATTTTTATCATTAATTTCTTCAAAAATGATCAAACATTTTTCTATATTTTAATAATCTGGATGATCTTTATTAGTATGTTTTAATAAATCTTTATATAATAATATATATTTAGGTAATCTCTAAACAGGTTTAATCAAATAGCTTTCCACATCTTAATTTTTAAGTTAATTAATTTTTTTTTGTTAGAGATCAATGAAAAACTTTTTATAGATTTAATTTGTGCTAAAATAGTTATCTCTCATTTTTTTAGATGCATCAAATTCTTTACAATAATCATAATAAAATTTGAAACCTGGCAATAATACAGTAATTTCATCCATAATTTTTGCATAAGGTTTCTCTTTAAAATCTTTCTCTTTGTTTTAAAGAATTTTCAAAAATTCAAAGTTAAAATAATATATACTATCCAAATTAAACATAAATTTCACATGATCTTGATTATCTAATAATTTTAAAAGAGGTGCTTAAATATGCTCTTTGATAACATTAAGATCAGAAACATATTTCTTTTCTGTTTATATTAATTCATTTATAACATTTACTCTATATCTATGTTATTTTTTAATTCTTTTATAAGGTTTAACAAATCTAAAGTAATTTTAAATTTTTCTAATTTTACTAATATAAAGATCATCTTCTCTTACAATAACTGGTGTCTAATTTATAAAAATAATTTTTGATTTGAATATATCATCTTATTAATTACTTTTGGATGAATTATTTAAAGACTATTGCAATTTCAATTATTTTTATATAGATTAAGTAAACTTTGTTTGCATAACACTCATCATAATTCTATTTTCAGCTGTTAATTCACTTTCTTAATTAGGTATAGTTCCAATTTCTTAAAATACTTCATCAGCAAGTTCCTCTTTATTTTATTGTTCATCTTCAGAATCAACATGAGTAATTAATACAGCTCCAAATGTAGACTTATTAACTAACTTATCCCTTTAAAAGTTTTATCGATTTAAACTGAAATTAATCTAACTCTATTTTAAAACCTCTTCAAAATCTAATGGCTTTAAATTGTCAATATCTTCTGCTTTTTTAATAGGAATTTACTAAATCTAATCTTACTTAGGTTAATCCGTAGTTGCCTTTTTTGCTGTCCATACCTTTACTTCTACTTCCTCATCATCTTCATCTTCATCCTTTTTGTCATTTTTTATTTTATTTTTATCATCATCTGATTCATCATCTGAATTTACAATTTGAGATTTATATCTCCTAAAATTTTAAATAATAATTTACACAATTGCAGGTTGTTTCTATTAGTTGGATTTTCTAAAAATTGAAAATTATCTACTTTGCATTATATCTCTTTCATCTACTTCTTCTTTACTAATTTCTTATTCAAAGCTTTTAATATTATTTTACACTATTCCAACTACTTAACCAGTTTATGTTTACTATTGATTTAACTAATTAGAATTCAAATGCTATTATTCCTGATTAGAATTCTTAGATTGTCCTTATTAATTTATTCTTTGCCTAAGATAAAGTATATGAAATACATATTGCAAGGTTAATTTTTATTATAATAATTTAATATTCACAAAGTCTATATTCTCTATATTAGTTATAATAAAAATATGGAAATATTTTGTTATTAATATAGATAAATCATTCTGTCATACATAAAGTTGATACTATCATATTTAATTGAATTTGAAGTAAGTTTGTGCTATCACACATCTCTCCAAATAATTTAACATATTTAAGACCGTAATCAGTTAATTTGGTACATTTTTCTTCAAATACTCCAATTACAGACTTAAGACAGTTCTAATTTAAGGCAAAATGATAATCTCCAGTCAATTTTAATGTTTATTGCAATTCACCAAACTATATAAATCAATAATATTTACAATAGTATCAAAATATGCTCTTGATTTGATTTCTTTCTCTAATTCAATAAAGTCTTCCAAATCACCTGTCTAATTGAATCTATTTTAATAGAATAACAATTTATTATCTCTTGAATCCCATTTTGAGACATTCTATATTATATATAATATTTAAATACTTCATCATTCATGAAATAGGCATCTTTTGGGCACATCTTTCTATTATTTTGGAATTTATGTCCCCAAAAGAACTCTTTAATTGTATCACTTGTAAATGAGACATCTCCCCACTACATAACATTTGATTTCAATGTATGATCTCTAATAAATTCAAAATGTTCTTAAAGTGATTATGAAAAATCAGCAAGATCAACATTTTCTAAGAAAGTGACTGAAAATTCATCTCCTAAACATGTTCCAAGACTCTTTCCATTTACAATATCATCAGGTGGACAATATGTTCCCCAAGATGATTCATATGGATTAGCAGCTGACAATGCATAAATTCTATGATCTTTTGGTAGATTCACAAACATTGATCCAGATTCACATGTTTCCAAATAGAATACAAGTTTATTGTATTTATTATTTTCATACATATATTAAAAGGTTTCCATTAATTCATCTTCATAAAGGTAAGATGTGGGAAAAGCTATTAAACCAGGAGATCCATGATCTGAAAAATAAATAAAAATGTTGTCTTCTCTTGTAGAATTGATGAATTTGTGACCATCAGGTAAGTGATCATAATTTCCTTTTAATACATTAAGGAAGTTTGTTGGGTTGACATCAGTCTTTGAATAATCTATAACACAACCATCATAAACATTGTCTGAAAATCCATCTTTATTAGGTTAATTATAGATAGCCCCTTTGTATATGTTTTATCTGTTCTAAGCTATATCATCATATGCAAACACAATCACATTTTCAGGAGAATAACCATTTTTAATTAATGTTTTGTATGAATGACATACATCAGCTTAATGTCGATAGTTGTAGAATGCATTTGAACCTGAAACTAATAATGCCCAATTAACAGCATTTACTTGAATCAGTCCAATAGTCAACAATAACAAAATATATTTCATTTAATATAATGGTTTATATCAAAGATTGTTTCTTCCATTTCATTAATATGTTGACGTCATAATGATCATAATATTTAATAATTGAATTATATAACTTAATTGGAAGATCATTATGACATTATCATAAATAACAATAAATAGTAAATTTAATTGAAATTACAAAAAAATGAATATCACTCATTATTTTATTACTATTCTTATTATTATAGTAATTATTTTAGAAATACTATCTCATTTCTTAAACTTTTTTTTTATTATTTCCAAATCATTTCTTTAGTTTAATATGCTTTTAATATTTATGCTGCATATAGATATAATTTGTTCAATTATTATGAATCAAAATATTATGAATGAGATTGTTATTATTTATTTTCAGATAGATATATTTATTTTTCTTATTTTTATTCTTGGTTTCTTGCTGATCTGCATACAACTAATTTCGTTCCTTCTCCAGTTCCAGCCTCTAATTAAAGTATTGTAAATTACATTTTTAATAATTCCTTTTTTAAACATATTACCCTAATATTTCATTTAATGAACTAAAAACATTCATACCTTTAGGATATTTTATTGATTTTTAAGATTATTGTGATTTCTAATTAGGACAATAATGTAAAGGACTCATTTAATTTACATTCTTTGCACTCTAAGGATGTTTCTAAATATCAGTGCTTTCTTCAATATTAATTTATGGAGGTCTCTTTTTTTGAAAACTATTTCTAGCAGATAGTTGTTATTATGATAATAAAAGATAATTTAGACTATGATGTGGTTTTAAGTTTGATTTAATTGATTTCTCTTTGCTACTGTTAAGCACAGATATCAATTCATTTTTAACACTATAATTTGGTTCATTTGATAAAGATGGTTTAGAGATGAAATTTTTGAATTCATTTTTATTAATCGATCTACAATTCTTACTATTCTAATTCGATTTAGGCTTTGAATCATTTTAACTTTATTTCTTACTAAATCATAAAATTCTTACATTATTTGATGAATTCTAAGACAATAATTTAGAAAGTGCTGTTATAGCTTTAGGTGTTATTTACATAAATTTATTATATTATTTTAAAATACAATTCATCACTCAGTTTCTTCATCATAATTCCATAATCCTTTGCTACTATTTTCAGCCTCTTAACTTGCCTTAACCCATTCTTCTAATTTTTAAGGTAAAGGAGGAGCCTATAAATTAATATCTCATTTTACTGTTTTATCAAGTTTAGCAAAGCCTTAAGATAATAATAAAATGTTAAGTGATTTATTGGCTTAATTCTCTTTGGTCAAATAGGCAATAACTCCTTTACTTACATCATCCTAATATTCAAAAGAAACAACAACTTCTTTTTCGAAGATTTAGTCTCTAATGAATTATCCAACCTTTAAATTACTAAAATTTATTACTTTATTGCCTAATTCATGACTTATTGATGGTCCTGTAATATAAGCTAGATTACATCTAATAGCTTAAGGAGGTAATGCAGCAAGATTTTCAGGAAGTTTTCTGATATCATTTTGTGATACAATATCAACATTTCCATAATCAATAAATAAGACTTCATATCTATTTTTTAATTCTCTTGTAATTTTAGCTCTATACCAATTGCCATCAACTGAGAATTTAGCAACACAAAGCAAACCCTTTTTGAATGGTGGAATTAATTTATTAGCTTCAATAGCTGTAAATGATCCAAGACTCTTTTCAATTTATCCTAACAATTTATCAGTTGGATCTTAAAAGTAAAGGGTATTGCTATCTGCAATTTCAACTAATACTAGTTTTTTTAACTAATAATATAAATTTATTATTTACTTCTCCATTCAATAATTTGCATTCAGATCTAACAGGTACATCATCATCACCCTTTACAATAGTTAAATCTAAACCTTTGATATCCCATAAACCTTCTTTCTTCAATTTAGCCTTTGATTCAGCATCAGCAAATAATGCTTGATAAGCATGACTATTAGCAACTGGATTAAATGTAACTGCTAATCCTAATTCAAGAAGTGTTAATCCTAAATTAATTCTTTATTTGCCCAAGAACACATGTCCATGAAAGATGCCTTTTTTATCAATAGATGTTAATTCGATATCAACATCTCTTTGAAGAGCATTTTCCTTAACATATTACAAAGCAATATTTGAGAATTTTTAATAATCTGGTAAATTTTATTCATTTGGTAAACATTTAACTCCAGCAAGTACTACAATAGATGTATAATTTTATTCTTAGAATCTTAATTTTAATCTGGATCCATTTAAAACTAATTCAACAACTCCAGATAATTTTCTTAATGTTCTTAAAGAATCAAAGGCATCTCTTGATCTTTATAAATTAGGATTAACAGATAAATCAGTCATTTTTGGTAATTAGACTGGTTTACCATGAATTCCTTTTTTGGCTTTATTTGCAGCCTCTTAAGCACCTGTTAATTCATCAATATATCTAGAAACTCCATCATCTCCTCTTGGAGGTTAAACTCTAGCAAATCCTGCTCCTACAATTAAAGCAGCTAAATTTGAATCATTATCTTCAGTTAATATAATGTTAACAAAGATCATATTTAATTCTTATTATAATTTTTTCTTATCATCTTCATCAGCCAATCCTTCAATTTCTTTTGGTTTAATTTTCTTTTCATATTCAACTTCTACTTTAACTATTTTACCAATAGCATGTTTTCTAACAAATTCTTTAGCTTCATATCCAAATGGTTCAGTTTCTTTTAATGAGTATTTTGGAGCTTTAATGGATGCCAATAATACTCTTGATTATTATCTATTATTAACATTCATCACAGTCAATTAATCTCCTGAATGAACTTCAATAATTTTGGCTGTATATGTCTATTTACCTCCTTATAAGACAACTGATTATTATTATTATTTCATAGCATCCTTCCATATTCCTATCAATTTAATCTCAGCTTGACTTTAAGTTTCTTTTAATTCATTGTATCTATAAGAAATTAATAAAATATATTACCTTTTCTAATCATTTATTAATTAAAATGCATTTGGTGATAATCTAAAGTATCCTAAACTTACAAGTTCTTTTTTTACATCTAAATCTTTCTTTTTTATATCTACTCTCAAAGACTAAAACTTTTCATCTTATCCTTGAACAGTCAAAGTAACTTCTTATTAGAGAATCAACTCTTAGATTGTCCATTTTGCTCTATTTTATAATATTTATGAAACTGAGGTTGGCATAAATACTTCTCCATATGAACATTTAACTAAACCTTGTAATTCAGGAATGTAAGCATAAAATACAAATAATCCTTATACATCTTCAACAAAACATTAAGTATATTATTTAGGTTTGACATCCTTTAATTCAATTTTATTATATTTCACTAATTCTTCTTTCTTTGACCATATTCCCTTTCCATTTTATTTAGCCAAATTTTATGCATTTTCATATTCTTAACTTGGTTTACCTTATTATCTTAATTAGGCCAATCCTTCTCTTAATTATAATTCTCCAATATCTTATCCATTTTTAAATATTCTTCCAATTACTTTATCATTTTAGTCTTTGATTTTATGGTCAATTATGAATTCAATTTATTATCCTAATAATTACTTTCTTAAGAATTCCCTTGCTTAAAATCCAAAGGGCTCTTATTTTGGATTCTCTTTATCTGTCAATGAGAATTCTGGTGCTTAAATTCCTTATAAAGTGAAGAATTTTGTCATTGGCACTCCTGTCTCATTATTAATAGGTCCTGATATTAACACACAATTTGAAGATACTATTTACTTTACTGTTCCTTATTTTTTTTCCATTTTAATTAATTTAATATACGTGGATTATTAATTAAATTTAAATAAAGAGAACAATAGGAATTATATTATATCAACTAGATTAATATGATTATCTTAACAGATTCAATATTAGAGCCTTGTAACTTGATTTAATTCTCTCATTCTTATTATTTAATTGTAAAATAGAAGTCTTCCATTTGGATAGATTAAACTTTTTTTTATAGTTTGGAAATTGAAAAGATTCAAAATTCTTACATTCTTCATTCTTTATAAATGGTCTTGCTGTTAATTATGATATTAATTTGTAATAAGAATCTGATAGATTTAATGTTATATTTTTTGAGCTTGATTTTTAATGTTATTTTATTTCTCTTAAAAATGAATATACCTAAAAATCTACAGGTTTATTTTAAAAATGTGAATTAGCCAATCTCTCTAAATATGTCATGTATCTACAAATGTATCTCACTATTAAAATTGCAATTAAACTAGTGCCAAAAGCAGCTGATAATTGATATATTAATAATTTTGTGATTTATAGATTCTTTTGATCCTCTATCCAAATTAATTAATTTTCTAAATCATTATCTTATTCTACATTCTTTAATCTTAAAATAAACACTTATTTACATTATTAATATTAAATTGGAAAACTATAAAAATTTTGCAAATATCATTACATTCATTGATGTAATTTTATTATATCTACATAAATATAAAGAATTTTTTGTTGTGCAATTAGAATCTAAAATACTTTAATCCATATAAATCTTCACAGACTTCCAATCATTCTCATCAAAACCAGTTAGACTTTAATTAAAAAAATAAACATTAGTATTGTTTGGTTAAAAATGCATTTACACATTTCCAACCAATATTAATCCATCTTGATTTAGAATCAAAAAATTTTCTTAAAAAAATTTTTTAATTATTTTAAATTCAAATTACGTCGCCACAATTCCATCATCTACATCAGTAGTAAGATTTTTTGAAATTGTGACTTTATATTCCTTTTCAAAGTTAAAAAACACATCACTAAATATATAATCTGATTAATTTGCTTTATTGATATGATTTATGTAAAATGGTCTAGAGGCAATATTAAATGTAGAATAATAGCCTATAGATTAGTAGGCTGAAAAATAAAATTCTTTACTATATCCTATTGACCAATTTCCTATAATAAATTATTCAGGATCAAAAAGTAATAACAGTTCCTATAATAAACTCTAATGTTTGAAATAGTAGAATAGGTTTTTTGATTACATTTAATTCAATTATTATCCACTCTATAAATTCAAAATATTATAGCAAATATTTGATTTCCTATAATTCCTAGTTTAGTTTACTGGACATTAGTCACTTTTAGAGCTAATTAAACTCAATTCTAATTGTACAAATGTAAATAAATTAGCAATTTTATCAAGAGCACGATAATCTTAGATTTAATGATATAGTACTTTTATTAATAACATCAAAAAACAAATGCATTTGACCTTCAAATTAATTTGATATTTCATTTTCTGTCATTTTAGTTGATATTTGCTATGTAATCTAAACTAACTCTTAATATACAATATTCTAAGTGACGACTAGAATAATTCCAATCAATAATGTTGAGAATATAGATAAAAGTAAAAAGTAGAGCTTCAGCTAATTTCTCATTCTCCATTTTTAGATTGATTTGAACATTTTAAGAAAATATTTAACTAATAATTTTAATATATCACAACATAACACTATTACTCATTATTTTTCATATTTTTTTTTTTACTTTTATATTTTTTTATATTCTTTCTATTCCTTCTTAGTAAGTGTTTCAAATTCATCTGAGTCTAATTCTCTTTCTTCTACTGGTTATAATGCTCTAAATTCATCTTTAAAAACCAAATTTTCTTGTTAATTATTTTCCTATTATTCCTATACCTATTTATTTAATTCATATCCTAACACATTTACAGAAATTTACTCATCTCCAATACATATTAAATGAGTAAAGTTATTTTCATCCATAATAAATTTTGTTTTACATTAGTTTTGTTTTCCATTCAAAGATGCAATTAAAATCTTTTTATTACTAGAAAGTCCATAAATCTTTGCTTCACCTTTACCAACTAATACTATTTAAGTAAATGTATAACAAAGCAAACCATTTTCTTCTTTATAAGTAAATTTCTGTTTGTCTCTTAATTACAAACCAAAAAATGTTCTTTTTATCATTTATTTAATTTAATGTCATAATAAGAAGAAATTTAGTAATAAGCTCAAATTAAGCCATCTCCTGATTGCATTGAATACAAACTCAATTTTTATCATCTACATGGCATTTAAAGTTGTCCATATTGCAATAAACCAGAAACTTAATAGATACCAAAAGAGCTCACTAATGAAGATATTGAAAAATATTAAAATGAAGTCCTTCAAAAACAAAAAGATGTATTGTATTATTATTATATAATTAGCTATTAATTGATATAGATCCTGAAGACCCTGATTAGATGATGGATTTATTCGAAAAATATAAAGATTGTCCATGTTGTAAGGGATTAGTATTGAATTGTGAAGGTGTCATATGTGAACAATTAGGTTTGTGCTATTGCATCTAAAAAGACTTATAAGACCGTCAAAGTTGATTTAAAAAATAAAAAGATAATATATTTTAACTCATTCCTTTCTTTATTATATTATCAATATTAAAATATATTATATATTATTATGTTAATACATTCAAATTATTAAATAATTTTTATTTATAATGAAGGGTTTCCATATGTTGAAATACACTTTACCTGGAGAGTAACCAATTAGTTTGGTATTATCAGAAAAAGATAGAGGGAAATTATTTCTTGGAAATTTAGATTGTTTGCATAATTAATAAATTTTGGAATCCAATAACGTAAATTGTGTATTATCAATTTGTACAGAAGAAAGTAATATATATTAAAATTTAGAAATCATGGTTGGTCCAAAATATAAATAAATTTATTTAGATATTCATGACAATATGAATTCTTAAATCAGTAATGTTTTCGAAAGATCTTTCCTCTTCATCGAAAAAGCATTGAAATCTCAATAAAATGTTCTTGTTCATTGTGCAGCTGGCATCTCAAGATCAGCTACTCTAGTTTTAGCCTATTTAATGAAAAGTTATCAATATACTGTAGAACAAGCTCTAAGATATCTAAAATAAAAAAGACCATATGTAAGACCAAATCCAGGATTTCTACTTTAATTACTTGATTATGAAATGTAATAAAATATTATGAATTTAGAATGTTACATGGATGTATAACAAGCAATTTAGGACCAGAACTTACACCTTTTGATATTTAGAGGGATCCTTAATATAAACCTTAGCCTAAAGTAGATTTAAGGAAAAGTCTTCCACTTAAATAAGTTCCTGGTCCATCTCCAATAGCAAGAGCAGATCGTAAGACACATACAGAAATATTGACAAGAGTTTCACAATCTATATCTACATTTTAGCCGAAAGCCTTTAAGTCATGATTAATATAAGTTGACATTTATTTGTGTATTTATAAATTTTAATGTAATTAATTCATTCTATATACAATAAAATACAATAAACAAAATATCAATAGAGGATACTTTAGGAATAAATTAGCGATGAGAATAGTTGTGCAGCTTTTACATTAATGGAAATTAAGTTATCTTCACTATCTGATTCTTATGGATTTTCATTTTCAATGATTTTCTTATTAAATTAATTTTCAATATCACATAGAGACAAAGCTTTATCCAAATCAACTTAACCATAGGATAGTTGAATTGCCAATATACATGATTTTAGACTATCTAATAAAATTATATTAATTTTATACCTGCTTAAGAACTGAGACTTACTAATTACCAATTATTTAATCCTCTGATTAAGGATTCAATTTTCACTATATTTTATTAGCTTAATGATCCAATTTGTACACCATCATTAGATTAAATATCCATTCCAAATTTAGAATTGAATAGTTTTAATTGGGGATCCAATTATTGTTACTGAATTTATAGAAGTTATGATTTTTGGTTTTTACGATGCAAAACAACATCTTTTTCTAAATGACCTATAATAGTTTTTTCAATGTATTCTCTATTGGTTGCATCGTAATCTAAATCAATAGCATTTCTGGCAAGCATTAAAAGTGGCATTTGTTTGAAACTTAAGTATTCTTTTTGACGATTGAATTCTGAAGCAATGCAGGCAGCTAATTATGGAGAAGGAACTGCCAATATGTTACGTTGATGAGTCTTTATACTTTTTCCATCAAGCTAAAAATATAAAATTTAAGATTACTTTGATAAACCATTGGTGATATGGATTGATTGGATTTGTGGCCATTTCTACAGTAGCTTCCTTGTATGATCTTTTTAAATAAGTCTGAGATTGGATGGAGACTTATTCAGCAAATGCAAAGCGTATTATAAATCCTCTCATTAATTTTTATTATTGAATAATGATGATTTCAAACTATGATACTTTAATATAGGTTATTAGACTGGGATGACGCAGTATTTATTATCAAATTCTCGTAATAAATTTTTATGGTCGCTCTCATTTGTATAGAATTTGCCATATCTCGCTGAACTTACTTCAAATTTATCACCTTCCATAGCATCCTTACTTCCAAAAGGATTAGTTTTTTGTAAATATCTAATACTATATTTACCAAATCTCTTATGATGTTCTTAAATTCTAAAAATATAATACTACCTAAACTGATTGCTACCTTCATTGGCTCAACATCCTAGGACTTCTTATAATATAACACATAAAAATAACTTTTAAATTCAAAATTTTAGGTAAGATTTGCTTATTTTCAGTTTCATAATTCTTATTCTATTCTTCAATATTGTCCTCTTCTTTCCATTGTAAATTTATTTAAACTTTCAAATTTTTGTGATCTATGACTTCGTTTTTGGAAATTACCTTACAGTTATTTTCTTCCATAATTGCCTTCACCATCAAACATTATATAATTTGGCATAGCCCTAGACTTATAATAATGAATTATGCTATTACTCCAATTATCTTTTGTAATTATTTGGTTGCTCCTTTTTCATTTAATAATTTCTCACTCTCTTTATTCATTAATTACAATAATAATAATTAATGGACCTAGACTTCATATTTTTCCCTGCTCCAAAACAAATATCCAATGATCATGAACAAGGATAAATATTATGGATTCCTAAATACAAAAAACTTTATCCAACCTTTTAAAATTACGTACCAAGAACAACCAAAAAAAGAGGAATGTACTTTAAGTAGAGTGAATTAGAATTTGAAGATGAGCATTTCTTTAATGAAGAACCTACGTAATCATTATTTATTTACATCTTATAGTGAATCTCAATTATAACCTATTCCTAATTTTCCATGCAAACCTCTCACTTAAAGGTAGAGAAAAAGATAAACTAGTGAAATTAATTCACCTTCATTTGATTCTAATGAGGGAAGTCCTGATGTTTCATCTAAATTGTAAAAATTAAATATGCAATCCATTTAAATTACTACTAAAAAGCCTTAATTATGTAGGATGTCTTCTAATTTTTATCCAATCAAAAAATCTAAAATTGAAAAAAGTATCTGTTTTAGTCAACCTCTTATAAAATTACCTATAGAATTAATGGATAAAAAGAAAGAAAAATTTATAGAAGAAGAACCCATCCTAAAAAGATCTAATTCTAGAGAATCACATCATATTTTTGGACACATTCCATGTATGTATGTAGATTCAAAAAATCATTCTCCCAATATTTTAATGTATTTCCATGCCAATTGTGAAGATATAACATAATCATATAAGTTTCTTATTCATCTCAGAGACAACTTACAAGTACTTATTTATATTTAATCTTAGGTATCAGTCATAGCTATGGAATATCCTGGCTATGGTAAATACAAAAATGAATAGCCTAATGCTGAATTCATTTTGTAAGATGCTGAATATGTTTACAATTATCTTACCAAAAGATTAGGTTATAATGAAAATCGTATCATTATTTTTGGTAGGAGTATAGGTAGTGGACCTGCAACCTATCTTGCTAGTAAATACAGACCAGCCTGTCTAGCTTTGATGTCACCATTTACTTCATTAAAAGCTGCTGTCAGAGATTATGTTGGCTCATGGGCCTAATATCTTATCAGATAGCGATTTGATAATTTAGATTAAATTAAAAAAGTTAATATACCTACATTTATTTTACATGGTAAAGCAGACAACATTATTCCATATACTTAAGCACAAGAGTTATACAGTATTTTTTATATATTAAATTAGAAAATTGTTAGTCAAGTTAATGTATTATGCATTTAGCTGATGATATGGACCATATTAGTTATAGATTATATAAAGATCTAATAAATCCATTTACTGAATTCTTATTATAAATCAAATATTATCAGAACTGTTCTTAAGCACCTAAATTGCCTACAGTTCTGTTTTATGATCCTACCTTTGAATGAATAATATGAATAAAATCAATTTTGGCTTTATTTTACAATTTCCTTACCTTTTCCATCATTTTAAACATAATACTATTTAAGTTAATATAATTATAATTAAAATAAAATATATACATAATTTTATTTGTACACTTTTTTTATTTTTCAATATTAAATGACTTAAGAGCTGATAATTAAAATTAATGATTAAATTAATTATAATTGAAACGAAATAAATGTTTTTATGTTATTAATCAAAGAATGTTTGAAATTAAATTACATACTTAATATTAAAATAATGGGATGTTCGATAAATAAGAAAAAATTATCCTAATCTACCTCAATAAATAGTACTAAAACAACTAATGACAATTTTGAACAATACTTAAAGAGTGTAGGCTCATTAGTAGAATTTAACGAAATTAGAAAAGGAAAGGTTTCTTATTAAATATCGAAAAATCCAATAATACAAAGGAGATTGAATAAATCCAAAGAGAAACTTGATGATATAGACTAGGACAAGGTTTTTGTTAACTGAATTCATATCTTTCTTTTGAATTGAGTATAATATAAACAATGAATTTATTCACAGATATCAATATTATTAATAGTACGAAGTAATATTTTCTTTTGCTAATTCGTATGCATAGAATCCTATAGCATTGGCATAGAATGATCTGAAAATACAAACAGAGTATCCTTTCCAAATTGATCCTATTCCTTCTGAGATTATTTTTTTTCTTAAACAATCTAAGAAACCCCCATCATAAAATCTAACTTTATAAATTCCTTAATCTGTTGGTTTTTAACATTATAAAATTGTTTTAATAGTCTAAATTTATTAATAGCTATAAATACATCTTAAGGATATCCTATTGTCCAACATGAGACTCCAGCTAATCCTCCTGAAATTAAAAGATTTGCTGTCGATGGTTCTGCTTTTTATGAAAAACCACAAAAGAAATCTTTAATCAATTCATACACAGCAAATTAAGCCGAATAACCAAGTATTTCTCTTTATTGAGTAGCACACATTCCACGAAACAAAGATTTAAAACCCTCCTTTTTATATATCTATAATATAAGTCATAAAATAACTTACTTATTGTATGCAGTCTATAGGATTTTTATATATTTTTTCAGTCGATTACATCTACAATTTGCATTTTGTTAATTCTATTGGACATGAAAAAAAAGCTGCTGAACTACCTGCAATACTTCCACAAAAGGCACTATTAATTATCTCAAAAAAAGTTACGTTTAAAAATATGTTAGTTATTTGTTCGAATTTCCTATAAAAAATGATCTCCAAAATTCATAGACAGAAAATACAATTGCATTTGTAATAGGTATTGAAAGTATAGGAAATGACATTCCTTTATAGAAACCCTTTGTTCCTTCATTTTTTTAAATTTTATTTAAAGTTGAAAGTACTCCGTCATTAGACATTTGCATCCTAACTTTAACAGTGTCTAATGGATGACTTGATATACAATTTGCTCTATTTAGAGTAATTAATTATCAAATACATTCCACTAAGTGAACCAGCTGCTAAGTCAATAGAGATTTGTAGTCTATTTTCATATGTCCATTAAATAAAATCAGACATTTAATTTTTAAAAGTATTAATTCGACAATCAATTTAAGTAATAGCAGCATTTCATACGTCACTATTAATTAATCTTATAAATCATATTACTAATTTCTATAAATAAATATATGACAAAATCAACTGATTATTACATTAACATAATAAGAACAATTACGTATTATTAAATTAAATAATTAATATAAAATTTATATTAATAATTATAATTCTGAATTCTAAAATAAGTTTGAATATTAAGAATTGTATTTGAATAGCAATATCTCAATTAAATAAAGGGATTAATTTTAGATGAACAAATGATTATAATTTTGGAATATAATCATTTTACTGTTGTATACTTTAATGATATAGTATTATTTGAAATTAATACTAAAATTTGCATCCATCAATAAATGAACAAAGAATTATAGAAAATCAGATGATAAGATAAATTATATGATGAGAATATTGTATTTTTTATTTTTATTTTCATCTCTTGTATAATTTACATTACTCGCTTAATATATATTATATCACTGCTATACTCCCTTTAACATCTCCATTTATCTTAACAATAGTTTCGTTTCCTTCATCCTATTTAATTGTACTTTAATATATACAGAAGGGAAAGTCTGAATATTCACATTAAAATCCTAGCAAAATCGAATTAATTATTTATGCATCATTTCAATTAGCTATTACTTGACAACTATTTTTGTCTTAAGTAATTATTATTTTGACTTGCGTTTATGGGAACTTAGTTATAATTTATAAGTACCTAGATGATCTAGATCTTCTAATATATTTTTATCTTTTATTTGATGATCTTGATCTCTGTCTTCTATCTGAACGCGAGGAAGATGACTATTTTCTACCTATTTAATTATTCCACACAAACCTCTTTTGCTTCATATCTTAGACCTGCACTGAGTTTTTGTATTATTATGCAAAGTTTTCATTTATGTACTTTCCACTTTCAAGGATCTTATTAATTATTTATATACAGGTCCTCCATTTTTAAAACATTCAATCTATTCCAATATCAAAATTGTTGCTTCCTATTTATTTTCCATTGATCCTGTCACTTATACCAAACAATCTAAAATTCTTTAGGATTCTAACCTTAACCAACATCTGTGTCATCCCTATCTGAAAGCACCTTTATTTAAGCACCTCTAGCTTTATTGGCTAATTCTTTAATCTAACATCCTTCTATTTTATATTATAAATTGATTATTTACTTGCTCCAATTAATTTAGATGCAAAATTGGAAGGCATAACTATTCTTATATCAAATTCATTCTTCTTGAATTACTAAGTCACTTTCTTTATTATATTTTAAATTGCTTCTTAAACATTAAATAATGTTCCATCAATTTATAATATTCCTTCATCTTTTTTTAATTTATTTTTCTAAATAACCTTTGATTTTTATACTTTTATTTTTATATCATTAATAGCTTTTCCCTTTAATCTGACAGAATACTTTTTCTCTAATTCTCTATTTTTTAATATATATTCTATTATCATAGTTAAAAAAGCAAATTTGGCCTCTAATATTAATTAAAAATACTTTTGTAATGACTCTTCTTGGATCTAAAGGTTCAGCTTTTTTAGCATAATCTTCATTTGAAATTCCTCTTTCCTGCAATTATTTTATGATTAATTTAATAGCATTAAAAATACGAGAAGAATCACCTATTATTAATATTGAACTTATATTTACCAATAATTGTCACTGTTCTTAATTAAAATTCATAGATTGGTTAATTAATTACTAGATGAGCTTTAGTCTCTAATTTAATGTTTTCTATTTATTTTCCCTAAGTTCCAATTACATATGAGACAGTCCCTAGGTTATTTATTGTTATTACCTTCTGGGATCAACATAATTACTTCTAGGATTTGTTTACTTCTTTGTTCTATTATTTAAAGAATTTTATTGACTGCATCACATCTTGCATTTAATTTATTTTCATCATGATCAATTATAGAAAATGCTGTTCCTTCCAAAGCTGGAATTTGATTCTAAGGATTCAATTTGATTGATTCAACATTATATTATGACTAATATATTATAGTTGAATTGTTTACTCTAACTTCTTCCAAAATTGGTTTCAAATCATCTTAAGTGATAAATCTCTTTTCAATAAAAAAATCAATAGAAAATTAATTCATTCTTTTCTAATTCTATTAATGAGAAGGTGATTGTGAGGATTATCCTGATAATCCTTAATCATAAGCTTAATCTTAAGACATTAAATAAAAATATTTATATTATTCAAAATATAATCTCTAAATTGTATTTTTATGAAATTATGTTTCTTAATTATTGATTTATTAATATATCAATGTTAGAAAAGTTTGGTTCTAAATTTACTTATAGAACATTTGTTGGAAGTTCAACTAATAAAAATGAAGTATGTGAATTATGCTATTAAACTTTTGATTGGTATTAAATAGTTTAAAAAAATATCAAAGGAAACACAAATAACATCAATGTAAAAGATGTCTTAGATATGTATGTTACAATTGTGGTCCTGATAAGGCAATCATTCCATCTCATGATTTAAAAACTCCTCATAGAATTTGTAAGAATTGCAAAGATGATTCAAAACATCAAATATAATAAATGGAAGTAGAAAAATGCAAATTTGGATAATTATCTGGGATTGGAAAAAGATGGGCTTATTTGGCTTAGGGAGATGAGTATTATTTTATACATTTTTCAGTTTTTTAATTGATAAGGCTTAAGAAGAATACTAAAAATCATTACCTAAAATTTTAAAAAATGCAAGCAATGAAACAAAAAATTAAATATAAACTAATCTTCAAAGATTTTTTAAAGAGGTATTCATATTAATTATAATCTATTTTAGAATAAAAAAACTTTAAATTATTCTTTATATGATTGGAATTATAAAATGTGTTAAGGAGAATAAGAAATTTCTATATTGACTAAAATATCAAATGTCTTACATTGTTTTTTCTAATCCAATCCTGTTAAATTAACTAGAAATCTAGTCTTTATAACTACTTATATTTTGTATTTTTGCGATGAAGCTATATGTTTAACTTTATTATAGTTTTTACATTAAAAAGTATTCCCTTCCAGATTTCAATACCATAAATTAGATACAGAAGAAAATAAACCTATTGATTAAGAAGTCAAATTTTTAATGGATTGTATTTTAGAATAATCTAGTTCTACAATTGATTCTCTATTGAAATCCAAAATAAAGGTATTTTTGGATACTTATTCATCTGATATCCTAACAACTCTTATGTTTAATCATATAGAATTTTATGTTGGATATTTTCTCTTTAATCAATTGCTAATCAATAGAGAAGTATATATGTTCTATCTACTTGATATAGTTTTCTATTTATGAGAAATTTTTAGCAAATATTTGTTTGGAATTACAGAAAATCATAACAGATGTATCAATAGATGAAATACCACTTTAAATTATGAAAAACATTTAATTAGAGTAGTTAACAACTTTTTTATAAATGGAAGATTAACAAAAAAGAAAATATAGAACTAGTTTAACAAGTAAGGATTAACTAAGTTAATAATCATAAATAATCATTACATAATAATAATAGAAGAAAGAAGAATAACAATAACCAAGATAATCAATTAATGATAATTCTCTAGAATATTTATTAGATTCATTTATAGGACTATTAAAAGATAATTAATATTATAAAATAGAGTAAATGATATAAAATGAAATGTATGATAATCATAAGAATTAAATAAAAGAATTATATTAAGCCATCAAAAAATAAAATGAAGAATTGTCAGGTTTAAGAAATTCTATAAATTATGCAAAATAAGATTATGATTTAGAATCTGATACTAGTAATTCAAGGATATCTAGAAGTTCAATAAAATTAGATGATGCTGAAAGAACTTATTTTTAAAGAGAATTATAAGAAAAAAATAATTAGAAAAGAGAATTAGAAGAAAAAGTATAAGATTTAAAATAATTAATTCAAAGATATATTGATTAACAATAATAAAGTGAATTGGATAATTATAATACAGTTAGTAATTTAAAAGCTTAATTATCTAATAATGATTAGTCATCAGAAAATACTAAAGAAATCTATATGAAAGCTTTTGAATAAAAAGAGGAGAATTATAGAAATCAAATATCTAAATTACATTCAGAAATTAGTAGTTTAAAATTTGAGATAAATAATTTATAAATCTAATTATAATAAAGTTAAAAAAACAAAACTGAATTTGAAAATTAATTGAAGGAGAAAATAAATAGTGAATATGAATAAGAAGTATATCGATTAACAGAAGAAAGGGTTTAATTATTGAAAAAAACATCTATTTTGTAATAATAAAATTCATATTTCTCTTTAAAATATGAGGAAAAAGAGTTAGAAATATTAGAGTTAAAGAAATAACTAGAAGAATAAAAAAAAAATACAGAAGAAATAAGTATATTATATGCTAAATAAAATGAATAATCAGAAAAATTAAATAAACATATAGATGATTTAAATGTATAAATTTTAGGTTTGAAAAGAAAAGATTTTGATTAAAATTTTAATTAAACTAATGTTTAAACAAATATTAATAAAGAATTATAAGAAAATAATATATAAATAAGAAATAATCTTTTATAAAAGGAGAAAGAATTATTTAATTTGAAATAGAAATTTGTAGAAGTGAATTAATTAAAAATTGAGTATTTTGATTAGATGTAGAATTATGAAAGAATTAATAAGGAAATTAATCAAGCTCTTAAATAATATGAAGGAAAGGAAATTCATTAATTAAAATCATTTTATGAAGAAAAGATCTCATTATTAGAATAAACTCATGAAGAATAAATGAATAGATTATTATCATAATTTTAACAAAATCAACCAAACTAATAAGAATAAAAGACTACCAATTATCAATAATAATTTAAAGATATATAACCTTATTAAGAAAAGCAAATAATTGAAGAACAATCATAAAATTAAAGTGTTGGATAAACTGATGATTGTACAATATTCTGAGTTTTTTAGATTATATTAATAAATACATTTCATTACAATTTTTTGTATTCTGGATTTTCTTATAACATTAATTTATAAAATTATTCTTATAATTAAATTGCTTTTTTTCTTGATTATTCTTAACATCGTTAAATGCATTTAGAATCATCATAACATTTACCTTAACAATCTTTATCATCAATTTCAATTTAATTAAATCTATTTCTAAGTGTAGTTGAATTCATATTCATTCTTGTATTTAAATCTTCAATACATTACTGATATTTAAGAGGATCCTCATTATTATTTTTATAGCATAGTACTTTGTGTTCTAATTATTATTTCTAATAATAAACAAATTAATATACCTAATATAGATTATAGTGTTGATTATACTTTTATTTTAGCTCATTTTGTATTTCTGTATAATATTCCATTATTAAATATAATTAATGGATTAATAAAACAATTGTGATGAAGTAAAACAAAAGGAAATGTTATTAAAAACAGAAATACTTGATAAAGGATATGATAGTGAAGCATTTATAAATTTTATGGAACAATAGAAAGACAACGGTACACTCCAAACATAAATTTACGATTAGGTGGATAAGACATAGACATGTGGACATATCAAGAATTAACTTTAGCAATTGCTTCATTTTAATAGATAAATTAACCATAATAAGATTAATAGATACAAAATATTGGTTTTGGTAAATAATCAGATTGTGAAGATAAAAAGTTATAGAATGTAGAATAGGATGAATAAAATTTAAAGAAAGAATAAACATAATCTTCTCTTTTGAATGAATTTAATAAAGATAATGATGTAAAATCAAATTTTTCTAAAATTCATTTGTGTAAAGTTTAAGATAAAAAAGAATTCTTGTTGTCTAATGAAATAAAAGTCTAAATAACAAAATATTAAAGAATACCTGGAGGTATTTTCACATCATCATATTATTCTTATACTGTGCAAACAGATCCAATAGGTTGGATTGTATAAAGAAGATATAGTGATTTCTTATGGTTAAGGGAATTATTATGCAAAATTTATCCTGGCATAAATGTATATATTAAATATTAGATTAGGTTGCTCCATTACCAAAAAAGACTGTTTTGAAGAATGAAAAAGAATTATATCTTTAAAAACGTATGAAATTTTTAGAGGTAATTATATTAATTTAATTAGAAATTCTTAAAATCAATATTTAATTGTGAATTATTAAGACATGATAAATGGTTTTATGCATTTTTATCATCCAAAGAAGAAAAAGAGTTTAAATAAATTTAAAAATTGAGTACTTAAGTCTAAAAAGTCACTAAATTAGAATAGATTATTTCAATGGATGGTAAAATTTAATTAGAAATTAATGAAAATTTAAATGCTTATAATTTAGAAGCAACTTAATTAGTTAATTCAGTTGATATATGTTATAAGAAATTAAGAAAAGAATCTAAATAATTATTATTAGATTTTGATTAATTATCAAATACTATATTTAATATGGGATCAACTTGTGCAGAATTATATCAATTATCAAATAAATTTAATTAATCGATTCCTTAAGGTAAGATATCTTAATTAGATATATTTTATATATCAATGAATAATATGTTAGTTTAATGGGGTAATAATTTAACATCTCAAATTAAGATAGTTTAAGAAGAATTATGTTATTTTTTTAAATTTCATCATCATTCAATTTTAGTATTAAAAGAAGTAATCATTTCTTATATTTTAGTTTATGAAATAAAAAGAACATGCATAATAAGAATATGAAAGATTTAAATCTAGATTAGAATAAAAGAAGAATAAATTATTTACATCATAGGATTTCAATAGATGGGAAATACCAGCTGTTTAACTTAAAGCTTTTTAAGATAGCAATTTAACTTAAAATAAAGAATTTAGTTTTTAAATTATGTTACCATAAGAGACTATTATTTAAGAAGATTTAAAAAATATTTTTGCTTATTATAATAATTAATCTTATTTGGAGGTTACAAAACTATTTGAGAATACAGTATCAGAATTTTCAGATCATTTTACAACATTTTGTAGTCTTTAGAAAGAATAAATAGCAGAAGTATAAATAATATTATATATAATTTAGTAAAAACTCATATGGGATTAAAGTATTGTAAATTTAACTAATTTATAATATCCAAAAGAACTAATTAAAAAATGTACTTGATTATTTGTAATTACAATTGAATATGAGTGAATATAAAATATAATATTATTTTTAATATGAATTCAGATATAAGAGAAAGAAAGATTAATTTTTTTCAGAATAATATTGAAATTGGTGACAAAAAAGAAAAAGTTGTTAAGATGTAAAATAAGGATATCTTATTAAGAGTTGATGAATTATTTGGGTAGGTAAGTTATATTCAGTTTATAAAAAAATTAAGATTGAATAGAATCGAATCAAAGAGTAAGAAAGTGAAAGAGTATTTCCAATAATTGATAACATTTAAAGAAGATAATTTTAATATTCAAAATATAGAACAGAAGTATTAAGTAATTCATGTAATAAAGATAATTTGGTATTAACAAAAGTGTTGAGTTCAATGCCTCTTTATAAATAAGAAAAAATATATTAGTTAAAAAAATAAGGGTTGAAGGAATTTTTAGAAAAATAGTTAAATAAAACTTAAAATTTAAAAACTTAACAATTACTTTTAAAAAAAGAATCTCTATTAGAAGAATAAAATAAATAGATATATGAATAGAAATTAATTGATACATCTTATATTTAAAGTGATTCAGAAGTTATGATAAAAGGTGGTTTAAGAATGAGAAGTCCTGATGAAACATTAACATTTTTAAAAAACCATTTTGGTGTTACAGTTAGATCACCATAGAAATCAAAATTAAAAAGTAGAAAAGAATTAGATTAAGAAGAAAAATAAATAGAGAAAGATAGAAGAAAACTTTATAATGTAAAGGATAAATTAGAAATGTATTATACTACTTTAGAAGGAACAAATTCTATAATAAAAAGAAGATAAGAAGATTAATAATAATTATTAAATTAATCATAAATTTTAGATCATTCAAAATCAAGTGATGTAACTCCTATAAATGATAAAGAGGGAAGTAACAGTATTTTTAATCGAAATTAATATTATATTGATCATTATAATAATATCAAAATAGGAAATAACAACATTAAAGATATGAAAATGAGAAGTACATTTTATAAGAGTCATATAGCAAATGATTTTAATGAATGAATATAAGATATTTAATTTTGTTTCTCTTTATGTCAAAATTGTTATAAAATAATAATAATTATATGAAAAGTCAATAATTCTCGAGCACCTAAGATTTAAGAGCAACGTTTACAACACTTAAAAGATAGACATTTTTTTATGTAGGGGAGGGTAATAACGGAGAATTAGTTAGATAAATTCTATCTAAGAGACCAAATTTTTAAGAATAGAGAACTCCTTTCAAGTAAGAGATACATATATTAGTGCTCATTTAATCTGGAAACAAAGCAATAAATATTTTAATTATTTTTAATTGGGACAACTAAAGAGTAAAAAAGTGACCATTAATCATTTAGAACATCACTATGTCATAACAAACAAGAATAATTTATTTCACTCTCTCGAAAATTATTGCAATGTAAGTTAGCATATGATTCAGTATAGAAAACTAAGATGAATATGGATGATCTAGTTCCAAAGACATTTATTATAAATTTGGATTCAGCACATGTTTAAACTGACTTGATTAAATTTTTGGAATATTTTACTTAGTGTAGTAAATAATCTTTAAATATATGGCTTATGAAACCACCAGATTTAAATAGAGGGAATGGAATAAAATTATTTAATGATTTAGATTAATTTGTTGAGTTGATGGAGAATCTCAATAAAAAAGCACAGACTTCAGTTAAATAATAAAAATCAATTACATTAACATTGGATAATAAAAGGAAGATCAAATTATCAATTGATGATTAAGATAAATAAATAGTACTTTAAAAATATCTCGAAACTCCTTTATTATATAATTAGCGTAAATTTGATATAAGAGTATGGGTGTTAATAGATCATAAATTAAATTATTATTTCTTTCGTGAAGGTTATTTTAGATTGGCAACAGAAAGATTTGATATTAATAATATTCGTAATCTCTATATACATTTGACAAATAATGCAATTTAAAAACATCATCCATATTATGGCAAATATGAAATAGGTAATTAAATTAGTTTTAATGATATGTAACGCTATTTGAAATTTTAAAAACCATAATTGAATACAATAATATAAGAAATGAAAAGAATAGTTAAATTAACTATAGAATCTGGTTATCATAAATTAAATGAATGCAGAAAGAATTTTTAATTTGAAATTTTAGGTTATGATTTTATGATAGATAAAAATGGACATGTATGGTTAATTGAAGTTAATACAAATCCATGTATTGAAGAGAGTAGTCCATTACTAAAATAATTGATACCAAGAATGCTTAGTAAATAAATAATATAAAATAGATGATGCATTTAAATTAACAATAGACTAAATTTATGAAACTGAATAATAAACATAGACATACCCAGTAAATGGATACAAATGTGATGAAAATTTATGGGATAAATTAGGAATAATCTAATGATATTTCTATTATTTATATTATGTATAAAGCTAAAATAATCATAATAAAAATAACGATAACATTTAAAGTCCCAAAGCAATTATATATTAATAGCTATCTACTGTATTGTTATTAGTGTCATTAACAGTGTTATTTGTCTAATTATTGTTTGTAGTTGAACATTATGTGCATTTTTATGTAGAAGTGTTGTATGTATATGTAAATTACGTTAATTAATAACATTCACTTGGTCCATAAGCTTAGGGATCAATTTCTTTACAAACACCATTAACAAGACTACATGTTCTAATTTAAGAAGGAGTCCAAGTTGAAATATTTATACAATTATTAGTAGATTTAAATTAGAGTTCACAAGTTAAGTCAATACATTTTGTAGTTTCAGCATTCCAATAACATACTTTATTCATTTTACTGCACTGATTTTAATCAATAGCATTTGAACAAGCTGAAAATAAAGTACATTATTTAGTAGTTACATTCCATAGACATGTTCCATCAGTTCCTGAATTCTCACAAGGTACTTGACTTGTATAAGAAGCACATTTTGTTTTTGCAATGCATTTTGTACCATCTGTAAGACAATTATCAAGAGTATTACATGTATTATTAGTGATATCATTACATGTCATAAGTTAACATTTTGTATTTTCAGTAGAATATAAACATCTTCCATCTGTACCTAAACCATTAGTACATAATTCCTTTTATGAATAATTTTAACATTTGTCCATTGTATAACAAATAGTACCATTTGAAGTACAAGTCATCATTTGATTATTACAAATAGAATGTGTAGTACCTACTAGATCTTCACATATTTATGATCTACAAGATCCATCCCATTTACATATTCCAGTGGATTAAATTTTATTATTTACATAAATAGTTCCTTTGAGATCTAAATAACATTATTCTTATATTTTGTAATCTTTACAAACAAGTAATTCAATACATTAGGTTCCATCAGTTGTACAACTATTATTAGCTTAATAGCAATCTGCATGAGTTTTGAATTTGGCATCAGCACATTTATTAAAATTAGTACAAACTTTAACATTTTTATCATTTAATGTCATAATACATTTACCTTCAATACCTTAAAAACATCCTCCATTAATATTAGTTTAACTACATTCAGTAATAGAAACACATTTATTACCATCAGTAGTACATTTATCACTTATTTATTGACATTCTTAATGTGTTTTAAATTTAATACTAGTGCAATCTCTATATAAATAACATTATCCATTAACCCATAAACAAGGACCATCTCCTCCCATTATGCATGATTATGCATTTACATATTAACTACAATAAACAATTTCAATACATTTACCCAAACCATTAGTAGTACAATTACTATTTTATTTATTGCATGATTTATAATCAACTCCATTAAAATCAATACATGATTAATTTCTACATTATTATAGAGTTTCATCCCAACTACATATTTCTCCATATTTTGAAATATTACATGCTGCTTAAACATTTGCAGCTTAACATATAGATTTGATTGTACATCCTCCACCTAATTTGGTAGTACATCCATCATAATATTATTAACATTAAGTTTCAGTTGTTAATGAAGTTGGTGCAGTAGAACAATTTCTTAATGTACATGTCTTTGATACATCAATCCATTAACAAAGATTACCAAACATATCTTTTTTACATCCTTATTCTGCAACAGCCTTATTACAATCTAATCTTTCTATACATGTCTTTCCATTTGTTGTACAATATTAATTTTATTAACTACATTCCTCATCTGTACTATATTCATACTAAGAACATGTTTTTGTACTGCAGAAGTTGCTATCAAAGGAGCAACCTTCAAAAGGCAAACTCTTACAATTTGATTCATTATATTCAGTCAATATAGCATTTTCACATGTTTTTACAATGCAACTACTTGATAAAAATACACATTTAGGATTAGAATTACATATTGATGGTTCTTAAATCTATGTACATTCAGGGAATTCCATACATCCAATATTTGTACTTGTATTTAAAGTACAATTACTCATAAATGATTAACATTCTTCATGTGTTGTTGAAACTGTATCTAAAGAACATTTCTTTTCATAACAATTACTATTAGACCAATAACAATCTTTTTATAAATTACTAATAACACATTATTACTAATTTTTATAATTAGAACATTATGTCAATTCAATACAACCATTATTATTAATATTTACAGTACATTTATTTCCTGTTGTCATATATTTATAACAATCAGTATGATTAGTAGCTTCACTGGTTGTACATGATTTCTTTTGACATTAACTATTCTTATAAACACATTAATAATCATTTTTATCTAATTAATCACAATTTAAATTATTATATGATGAACATTCATCTTTATTTGTACATCCTTAACCTGTATTATTTAATATACACCTAGAAATTGCTTATTAACATTATGTAGATGAAGTTAATGTATTTGGTAATTAAGTACAATCATCATTATAACAATTTTCATTAACCCAAATACAATTACCTTTATTATTAATTCTTTTAATGCATTAAGTTTAAACAGTATAATTATTACATTCATTTTATAATGTAAGTTCTACACAATTATCACTATCATCCAAATAACAATATTTACTAATCAAATCAAAAGAAGTATTTGTTAAACAATATTCTTTAGGTAATAATGTACATGTAGTTGGAACATCCATACATGAAGTTTTAGTTTCATTATTGATGCATTTTTTTGGAGTCTTATATTATGCACAATCAGTTTTTTGATTACTACATTATTTAGTAACACATTTATTGTTTGTCCATGAACATATATCCAATGTACAATTTTATTGTATCTAACTATCCTCACATTTTGTGATTTCAGGTATACATCCTTTTTCTTAATTATTGACAACACATCCAGATAAATATTACTTACATTTCAAAGTTGTATTATATGAAATATCAGCTAAATTACATTATCTTACAACACAAGAATTTCCTTACCATTCACATGCACTAGTAACTGATTGAACACATTATAATTTTACTTTATATAGATTACATGCTTATAACATAAGTGAACATCCTTATCCTGATGGAGCAATTGTACATGTATTTTAATATTGATAACATTATTAATGAGTTATATAAGATAAAGGAGCAGTAAAACATGTTTTAGTGAAACAAGTTTAACGATGATAACATTGTTCATTTTATATACATATGTTATAATCTTAAACATTATCACATGTGTAATTAATACAATTAGTAGCTTATTAATTAATTGTACATGTTTACATAAATTCATTACATTTAGAATGATCAAGAGTAACAGGTTATTAACTTTATGATTCTTGATCATATATAGTTTTAGGAATATTACTACATATTTTTAATTAACATTTTTCATTATTCCAAAAACAAGGACGTTATTAATTATCAACAAGACAACCAATTTCTAATTGAATTTCTTCACATGTATTTATTGTAACACATCCACCATCTTTTTTTGGTATACAAGTAACATTATGATATTCTTAACATCCCATAAGAGTAGTAACAAATATAGGTGCATTTTCACAAGTTCTATTTTCACAACCTTATTTAAGAGAATTTACAGTGCAAGTTGATAAAAATTTACTACATTATTCAAATGTAGATAGACTTTAAGGAGCATTATTACAAGTTCTATCTTTACATGATTAAGTAATAGAATCCCAAAAACATTATTCTCCTCTTAAATTCTTTTTACATGCATAATCAACATTTGCAATAGAACATTCTCCATTAGTCATACAACCACCACCTGATTTTGTTATACAATCTTAACTAATTGATTAACAACCAACATTAGTTACAATATCTTTTGTTGCATTATTACATAGTTTTTATTTACAATAACCATCTACCCAAAAACAATCATTTCCAAAATAATCTTTAATACATGCATTTTTTGTATTAGCTGCATCACAAGATGATCTTTAGACACAACCACCATTCATTTAAGTTGTACATTATTCTAAAAATTATTTACATTATTCATCTGTTTTCATAGTCACAGGAGCATTCTCACATATTTTTATTTTACATTAAGGAGGATTAAGAGAACTATCCCAAAAACATTATGAAGATTAATCTTTATTATAAAAACATTAGATCTCAAGTGTGATATCAGAACAACTCTAATAAGCATCAATACATCCACCACCTGGTTTAGTTGTACAAGTGGGAATCTATGATCTACATTTAGCATCAGTATCTAAAGCAGATGGTTAAGATTAACAATCCAGAGCTTTTGAACATCTATTGATTTTTGTATCCCAATTACAATATCTTTAATTTACATCCATAAAACAAACAATTGGATCTGTATAATCAATACATTCACTTAATTCAATACATTTTTTAAGATCTGATTTATAGCATCTTTTATTTATGGCTCTGCATTCCCTATCAGATGTTAATTTATATGCAGTACACCCTGTAAAGAAGGTGCATTTAGCATTATCCCATTAACAAACATCGTCTAATTGACATTACTATTCATTTAAGTAACTACAATAAGTAATTGATTTAGATTAAGTTATAGTTTTGACATCACATGTTTAATTCCAAGAGCAAGAATTATTTTTTATACAATCATTTTAGGATAGTTATTGACAAGTACAAGGTCTTGTAGTTTCAATAGTACTACAATAACATAACCCCAAGATGATGGTCAAAAGTCCAATTATTATCTTCATGTATATAATAAATTTAATAATCATTATTTCTTTGGCAATAACCCTACATAAACGCTTCTGTAAAACTCTGAAGCCAAAGAAGCTCCTGAAAAAGGACCAAATATATAGATCCATATATTAATCAATCTATCCCAATTACCATCTTATAATGATTCAAAGATACCTAATCCAACTCCCATAGCTGGATTCAAACAACCTATTATCTCTTATATCATTTATACCTCCAGTATGATATGTCAAAATCCTACCAAAATATAGTGCCGTTGCAATTATTCCTATTCCTATCAATTTATTTTCAGTTAATTATGTTTATGGATGAACTTGAATATGAATAAACAAACAAAATACAAATGTACCCAAAGCCTTAATTAATCATATCATATAATATATACTTCTCCACAAAAATCTGCCACCATCCATTGTATTGGTTAAGTTTCTATATATGGAGATGTAACTCTTCCTACAATCACAAAAGCAGCCAAAGCTCCTGCTATTGCACCACCAACTTATGCTGCCCAATAAATTCTCATTGTAAATGCACTTATCTCATTCAAACTATAAAATGACATTGAAACAGCAGGATTCACATGTCCTCCTGTAATCTTACCGATTAAAAATATTGCTCCAAATAGATATACACTTAACATGACATCATTTCCTCTTGAACATACTATTCCATAAGCAAAGAATGCAGTTCCCAATGCTTCCCATATTAATATTCTTATCAATTCACTGTAAGGTTTATCATCTATTGTATTTTTCAATTTAGATTCTAATGCTTCTATCTTTCTTATCAATTCATCCTTCTCATTATCCTAAACTTCAAATTAATGTTCATCAAAATTGCCTTAGTTCTATTTCTATTATGTATATTATATGCTCTATAAATAAGGCACTTCCTCTTACAAGAGCCTATCTTCTGACATTAAATATGATTTATATTTATAAAACTCATATTATAATTCAATAATATAACATCATGGTATTGTAGGTATATTTTATGTATCTAGAATTCTTTAACTATTATCTGTCACCTATATACTTGCTTACTCTTCTAAAATATTGAGTTTTTAATATCTATTTTTATAAAATAATAATATAATCGATAATCCAATTATTTTTAGTATTATAACACCTAAAATTATCAAGAATAATTTAGAATTTTCTTCATAAAAATAAACTTCCAAACCTTAGAAACTAAAATTTAAATCAGATTCACATATAATGAATGGACTCTCATTATCATATTTCATGAATGGGCATTTCTAAGATTTTATTCTCAATTAATAAAACTAAATTCTAAAAATTTCATACTTATTTTGTAGAATCCTCAGCCACACATAATACCCAAGGAGATATTTAATTTAATAAAAATAAGTTGACCTCCTTCCCTGAAATAGAAACTATATATGTTTCATCATAATATAATTTTATTGATTGTAAGAGGCCATTTTCAAATGGATATCCAAGTTTTATTTATTTATCCCAAGGTAATTTTAAATTATTCATTTAAATTAAATCAATTTAATTGAAATAGAACTAGTTTTCATTTTCATTTTATCTTTCATAAAATCTATGATAAATAGAATTATCAATTATTGAATGTAAATCATTCCCTATTAAAATGGTTAATTTCTCATCAACATGTAAATCATAAACTTCTTATTCATATGATGTAATCTTATTGAAATAATGTTCTTTCTTATCTAAATCAAAAAACAACTCCAAAACATATGGAAATTCATCCTCTGTCTCTAATAAAATAAACATAATATCTCGATAAAAATCAAATGCTCTACCCCCTTTGATTTAAATGTTCTAATCACTCATTATTATTTCACCTTTCGATTTATTAATTTCATATATAAAAATGCCTGATTGTTAATCAAGAATGAATATATGTGTTCCATTATAATTAGTTTTCACTTGCATCAAATTGGCTTCTTTAATTGGAATCAAACTTTAAAATAAACTTAAACTTCCATCAAGAAGTAATTAATATACTTAAATCTCTAGTTGGCTCAAAACTAATAGTAATCTATTTTAATTGTCTAAATAGACATCTATAACCTTTGAACTTAATTCTACTATTACTTATTTAATAACCAAAAACTTATTTCTTCATATGTTAACATAATTTACTCTTCATAATTAAATTAAAAATATATTGTACCTAGTTATGTCAAAACATAACAGTTTACAATCTAAATATTATTTTGATAACATTTCAGTACTGGATCTTATATTTATTAAGTTTCAGACTTATTATTTAAAATAGTGTTTAAATTTATATGGGATACTTATTACAAATCAACAATTTCTTATCTTTCTAAATCATATGATATTTTCATTATAAATAATTTGAGATCGCTTCTTAATATAAATATATTCTAAGTAGATGAGTAAAACGAACTTATATTCCCTTACACAGTTTCTATTGTCTCATTATCAAATAATGGAATGAGATTAAATAATTTTTAATATTATATATCTCGATCATAAGGGTGACATCCAGAATTTAAATGAGAGTTTTATGGATCATCTTTGGCTACCTAAATATAATTTTCTTGATTCAATTATTATAATGATATATCAATTATACCAAAGTAACTAATGATGTTAATAAATACTTTATAAATTGAAGTATGAAAGATGAATTGACATTTGTAGAATATTATTCATCATCAATTATTTCCTTAATGATTCTACTGGTTGGAGATGTCGATCTATATGATGATACTTATGGAAAGTTGTAGACTAAAACAATTATAAAATACAACATATAAAAATTTATGTATAATAATTAATATTAAAATAAAACATTAATCAATAAATACCTAATAATTTATACCACTCTCTTAAATAATAATTAATATATATAAAATATAAGGAATGGAACTTGGATTATAAATAAATACATTAAATTAGATTGAATAATTATTAATCTTGAATTGTCAAAATTAACAAATTTTAGAATAGAATCATCAATTTTATACATAATTACAAAAACAAATATTTTTGCTGTTAGCAAGATTAAAACAAAAGAAAAATGATAAAATTTTAAGAATAGGTTTCACAACATTTGTGATATTATTATTTATTTTCTTTGTACTATCAGCCTTTATAAGGATCCAACCTTTATTGTTGGGAATATTTATAAGTTACATAGTAGTGTTCATTTTAGCAGCAAAAAAGGATCGATTTATTTAATATATTTAATATCACTTTCAATTGATCAATAAATAAATCCTCCGAATTTCCTAAAAGTTAGATCTACTAAAGATGAAAGAGATATATTATAATTTGTATAGAGAGAAGTATTAAAGTAGAATTATAGAACTGCAATAAGAAATTTAAGAATGAAAAAGTATATATTATTTATACTAAACTTAAAAATAATGTTAAAAAAATTTTAGTATGATTTGTTTGTCATTGGAGGAGGAGCAGGAGGCTTAGCATCTTCAAAAGCCTCAGCATTATTGGGAAAAAAAGTGGGAATGGCAGATTTTGCAACACCAAGTCCTCATGCTACAACTTGGGGAACAGGTGGTACTTGTGTAAATGTTGGGTGTGTACCAACAAAATTGATGCCATTCTCAGCAAGAATGGGTGAAATAAGGAAGGATTAAATAGCAGCAGGATATTAGGGAATAGAAAGTGAAGGGAAACATAATTGGAAATAGTTGATTGAAACAGTATAAAAACATATCAAAGAATTAAATGTGCGTTAGGAAAGTTCTTTAAAAGATCATGGTATCGAGTATTATAATAAATTTGCTAAATTTATTGATCGACATACTATTGAAGTAAGAATTAGATTTTAATGATGTATTTTTATAGCTTACAGATTTAAAAGGAGAGAAAGAAATAATAAGTGCAAAAAATATTATAGTTTGTGTTGGATCAAGGCCTATGTTATATGAAGATCCAAAATTAGTGATAACATCAGAGGATGTATTTCAATAGACTACTCCTCCAGGAAAAACATTAGTCATTGGAGCTTCATATGTAGGATTAGAATGTGCTGGATTCATTCATGGTTTTGGATATGATACTACTGTATTAGTAAGAACTAGAGTAATGAGAAATTTTGATTAAGAGATGGCTTCAAAAGTTGAAGGATATATGTCAGATAATGGAATAAAATTTGTTAAGAGAGCTTTATTATAATCAATTAGTGCTGTAGATAATGGTAAAAGAAGATTAGTAAAATGGGTACGTGATGGAGTAGTAGAAGAAGATATTTATGATACTGTATTATATGGTATTGGAAGATAAGCATCAACTAAATAATTGAATTTAGAACCAATTGGTGTTAAGATAGATGCTAGAAATTATAAAATCATAGCTGATGATTATGATAGAACTACAGTAGATAATATTTATGCAATTGGTGATTGTTGTTTGAATAGATTAGAGTATACACCTATTGCTGTTATGGCTGGTAGGAAATTAGCTAAGAGACTTTATGGAAATAGTAATGAGATTATGGATTATGCTGATGTGGCTACTACTATTTATACTCCTATTGAATATGGCTGTATTGGATTATCAGAAGAAAGAGCATAATAAAAATATGGATAAGATGGAATTAAAATTTATAGATCTCATTTTAAACCTTTATAATGGAGTTTTAGATAAAGAGATGATGCTAAATATTGTGGAGGCAAATTGATTGTCCACAAAGAATCAGATAGAATCATTGGATTTCATTATGTTGGACCTGAAGCTGCTGAGGTAACATAAGGATTTGCTGTAGCTATGAAAATGAAATGTACAAAGAGAGATTTTGATAACACTGTTTCTATTCATCCTAGTTTAGCAGAAGTATTATTAATCATTATATATATAGGAAATGATTTTAATGAAATGAAAATTTTAAATAAGTTTAATTTCTATCTTAAATAACATTTATTATATCAATTAACGTATTTTGGTGTTCTTGGTCTACCTAATGGAACATTTTTTTTATCTTATGATTTTAGAATTTGAAATGAACACATTAAAGTTTCATCCACACTCATTAATGCTCCTATTAAATAAACTATATAAATTTTATACCTGAATTATCAAATTCTCCACAATAATTTGGAGCTGAAAATAATGTTACTAATTGTCTTTTTGCAAAAAATTCATATCCTTCTTCTACAACTTAATGAGCTCTACAAACTAAATCCATATCATTCTTCTTCAAAAAATTTGCTATTACATCAGTTCCAAATATATATGAAACTCCTCTCTCGTTATCTTTATGTTATTTTAATATAAAAATTACCTTACCAACCTTGAATATCCTTTTCTGGATCTGACCATAATAAATCACACAATAATCCTGTATCTGGTACTTCTATTGGTCTCATTATTCTATGAATCTACTCTAAATTTGTTAATTCTGGTGAAAGTCCTCCATGCATACAGATAATTTTCTCATCTATCACTGCACATACAGGTAAACAATTAAAAGAATCAGTAAAAGTTTTCCACAATTTTATATTATACCTTCTTTTACATTCATCATAAAATCCATATATACGGTTTATTTATGAGCATTCATGATTCCCTCTCAATAAAAAGAAGTTTTCAGGGTATTTTATTTTATAAGCCAACAACAAACAAATTGTTTCTAATGATTGTCTTCCTCTATCTACATAATCTCCTAAAAATAAATAATTAGCCTCAGGTGGAAACCCTCCATATTCAAATAGTCTCAATAAATCAGTGTATTATCCATGTATATCACCTACATATATTAAACATTTTACCACATATCTTTATTGGAGCTTCCAATTCTAGCAACATTGGCTGACTTAAAAATATTTCTCTGCTCTTTACACACAAAGAACGTATTTCATTTTCTGTTAGATTTACAGCTTTCCCTTATTTAGCTCCTTTGCTTTCTAAAAGTTTTTCAATTATCTTGATACTTTTAAATTACTTACTTTATCGACATCGATATCCATTATTATTAATATAAATTAGAAAAATAATCATTTTTTCAAGTATTTCTTTTATAATTCATTTATAATATATATATGATTTGATGAATTAAATACCTATTTTACAATTATCATCAACTAAATCACTGATATTTATTACAATTAAATATTATTTTTAATTATATTTAATAATAAAGTATTTCATGATTATAAATTTCTCTTAAGCTAATCCTCTTCCATTTAAATTAATTTAGCTACTTTATAATAATTATATTTCTCTGCCATTTACCTTGCTGTTCTACTTGCCTAATATGAATTTTATAATTTACATAATCAATTGCAAATACATCAACCTTATAATTTATTAATTCTTAACAAATGTCATAATAATTACGTTTAGCAGCTAAATGCAATCCTGTTTATCCTATCTAGAAATAGATATTTAATTTACAAAATCCTTTGTTTGTATTAAAGTTTCATCCTAAATTAACATTAATTTTAAAGTTGATATATCATTATTTTTTATTGCAGTCAAAAAATCATTTTCCATTTTATCTAATTTTCTTACAATAACATGTTATTTTAAACAGTTTAATAATTTATTCTCCAATTATTCATCTGAAAATTTCAATTAAGAAATTGTTCTAAGTTTATATAGTATTATAAAATTTACTCCATTAAATTTTATGCTTAATCATTCTAATAATTTATTTCTGGTATTTCATGATTTAATATTTCTCTATAAGTATATCTACTTCCATTATCTACAAATTAATAAGGAATATTTAAGTCTTCATATTGAATGTCCTTAATTTCTGGTTCTTATCCAATAGTATTGCTGTAATATTTATTATAAAGATTAACTTATTCTTTAAAATCTTTAAAGGCACTAACACTAATTTTATCTAAATTTTTTAAGTCAGATTGTAACTTTTATTGATTTTCATTAAGCATACTCTTTTTTTTTAATTAGAATTATGTTTCTCTCATTTTCTTTTCTTGTTATTATTTTTTAGTTTCCATCATATTAATTTATTTACTTAAAGGATTAATGATTTTTAAAGAACCTTGTTTATTTTGTATTAATTAATTATTGTTTCTTAAATCTTTAAGGTTTTGATAGAGTTCAAAATCTTATTCATTTTATTTCTTTTTCCCTCTTCTTAAATCAGGACTGGGTTTCTTTTTAATGAAATAATCATTATCAACTTTATGTACAAACGTTTCTGGAGTCACAAATTTATGCATAATATAATATAAATTAAATTATAATGGATATTGGAATTGGAATTGGAGCTTTTAAGTTTTAAAATTTAGTAAGCAATGAGATGAAAATAACTAAAGATCCTGAACATAAAACAAGAATACGATCTCAATCTCGAAAATCCATTTAAGAGAAATGCAAGTTTTAATTCTAAAATTCTAAGAAAAAGTTTGCACATAAATAATAAGAATTTGAATGCAAAGAAAAGTTTTAAACTGAAGTAAATGAAGGAGATAGTTCAGATAGTTAAATGGATGATATTTAATTATTAGAATATAGAAGAAAAAAAAAATAGGAATTTGTTTTTGAAGTTTCTGATTTGAGTAGTTCAGAAAGTTTTGACTCTGAAATAGAAAATGATAATCATTCTGAAAAACGTGATAATCCTAATCAAGAACAACATTAAAATGCAAGTTAAAATCTCAAAAATTTAGCTTAATCTAATAATTTAAGTTTATAATCATAAAATACATTATAATTAGTCAATAGTAATAAATCTTAAAAACATTCAATTATAACAAAAAAATAAAAAATTTTAAAATCTTTTAGACCAGCTCTGATAAAAAAAGATTTTCAATTATTACGAAGTTTAAAATAAAATTAAGACTTTCTCAATAATGATTTAGCTACATTAGAAGAATATAAAATTGATAGAGAGATTGTTGTTGATATGGATTGTTAAGATATTCATACTTTTATGAGATTATAGAATGAAGTTGAAGAAATGAGAAGAAAATAAATGGATTTTAATAAATAAAAGGAAAGACATTATGAAATTGTAAAGAATAGATCAAACAATTAACCAAATAAAATTGCTACTAAACCGGATGAAAATAAATTATGGATTGTAATGATGGCTAAAAAATTTATTAAAAGTATGAAAGATAAGAAAAACAATGAATCATTAAACAAATTACCTTCTCAACAACCAGTTATTAGAAAAAGTACAAGAGGTTCTTAAATTAAATAAGTCTCATGAAGAAATATTGATCAATATATTTGTTTAATATATATATATATAATTATTATTGAAATGGCTAAAGAAATTGAAGAATATTTTGTTAAAAGACTTTAATCATATCTATTAGAATACTTATAGGATTTCTCCCAAAATAATATGGCTAAAGTATTAAAATAAAGTTAATAATAGTTTTCTTTGGGAATTTCATCAAACATAATATTAAAGAATTTGTAAATTAAGAAATAAGCTTTATTGAATTTTTCATTCCCTATGTATATCATTGATGGAAAGATAAATTCAATTACAATAAATGTATTAAATAATAGTATTTTAGATGCCTCTAAATTATAAATCTTAATAGCCAGAAATGATTATTGAAGGTATTGATTTATAGGTATGTACAATTTAAGAAGCAAACTTATTTGTATCAAATAAAGAATAATAATCATAATAAGGAGTAGAGAATTTAAAAAAGCATAAATTAAAAATTTGGGAAGAATAAATGGCAAAATATTTTGAATAATTATCTCCACCAAATTGGATATAAAAAATAGTTGATGGAATATACAATAATATGTCAGTTTAGGTTAAATCATTCTTTTTAAGATTTTATAATTTCTCAATATTTGGTTATGAAACTTAATTAAAAATTAAGGTAGATATCAATATAAAGGCTACTGACAAATAATTTTAGTAAAAGTTTAATAGTGATTTAAATTGCATTTACAAATTAATAGAAATTAAGAAACTTGGTATCACTTATTTGAAAATTCCTAAAAAGAAGGAAGAATAACATTTATTGAATCCTATTGATATAATTGTTAAATTAACTATGTATAAAAATTAAGAAGAATTATCTTAACCTATTTAAAGTGTAGAGGTTACAATTGATAATCCTATCATATTTTAAATAAATAAGGAATCAAAAAACTATATATTGAAATTAAATGAAGTACTATAAAATTTAGAAATTGTTTAAGATAATTTCCATTTCAGACCAAAATGTGAAGTTAAAGCTAATTATTCTGAATGGTGGAAATATTTGATAAATGCTGTAATGCAAAATCAAAAGAATCATAAATTAGATTTAGGTTATAGTTCAAGAAGATTAGTATTAATGAAAAGATATATAGAATTATATAAGAGAAAACAAACTATAATATTAGTTCCTTGGTTAACAAGTTGGACAATGTAAGATGAAACTAAATTTAAAAAATGTGAAGAGTAAATGTCACTTAAAGATTTATTAAAATATAGAGAATGGGCATTTTAAGAGATTAGAATAGAAGCAAAAAGATATTATCATTCTTCAAAAGATGGATAAAATCAATAAAGTGTAAAACCTGTATTAGAAATATGGACAAATACTATTAATAATTAGAATTCTTTTAAAGATTAGAAAAAAAGAGATGATGATATACCAATTGAATTGGAAGATGATGAAAAAATTAATTTATATGAAATATTAGAGAGAGACAAAACATAAGTACTTTCTAGTTATTTAAAAGGCTAAAATAATGATCCTGATTAAGTTAAAACATGGATATCAATAAATATTCATTCGATCTTTTTAATAATATTAGAAAATCGTCCTCCAAATGTTGCTGCTTATTGTCCTAAAAATACTAAAATATTTAGTTCTTGTTAATGTAGAAAATGTATTCAACTAATTAAAAGACCATAATTAGATAAAAAAAAGAATTCTTAATTTAGTTAAAGTTATTCTATATCAGAAGTTATTAAATAAACTTAAAAGATAAATGATGAAGGATCCTTTCATACTGCAAAAGAAATAGATAGTTTTTATGAAGATATGTAAGATCTTAATAAAGATGATTCTTAATCTTCTCTAGTATCAAGTTAAGATTAAAAAAATAATAATTCATTAACTAAATATAATTTAGAATCAAATAGAAGTAATAAATTAATTTTGATTGTGAGTATGATAGGTATTAAAATACCAATATCTATTTATTAAAATGGAAGAATTAAAACTAATGAGAAAGATGGTAAAGCAATCATTATTGGAGAAATTAAAATGTTATCACCAGGTATGATGCCTAAATTAATGGAAGAGAAGATAGATTTAGATGATTATACAGATAAATAATCTCCTTTATTTGAAAGTTAAAAGAATAAATGGGATGATTCTAAATCAAAAAAAAAATAATTTGAATCAACTAAAACATTAACAAGAGCAAAATTATCTGAATTTGTAAATGATATATTTGAAGTATCAGTTACAAAAGATTAATAATATTTTTCCAGTAGTGAAATTTGTTTTTAAACTTTATGTGAGTTTTTGGTACAAAATCAAATGAATAATATTAAATGTTTTTTAATTGATTATGAAAATGATAAACATGCATTTTAAGATTTTGCTCAAGATTAATATAAAAGTTATGATAAATATTTTATTTACAATGAAAAAGAAGAAAAAGATGAAAAAGATGAAATAGATGAATCTATGTTATTACATGTTATTAAATTTTAGAAAAATGAAAATCGATGGGCATTATTAAAATAGGCAGCAATGCAAAATTAAGATAAATAACATTAAGCTTTAGGTGAAAATGAATAATATTGGTAATCTTGTTCAAACAAACATAGATATTTATAAGAAGTTCATAATAAATTAATAGATATTATAAAGAAATCTTTATTTGCATCTTTTATTGAAGAATTTGGAGATAAGATATTTCCATTATGTATCATAAATCTTAAAGATAAATTAACATATTCAACTGAAAGCACAGCTCACAATTTAGTAATATCACTATATTTAGAAGGTCAAAAGTCAGAATATAAAATATCACCAAACAATGAAAAGAAAAAGAAGATATCAACTCAATAATCTATTGATGAATAATCAAATCAACATATAACTATTCATTTTTAAAGATTTTCACTATTTCTATCTACTAAAAGTCTAATATCTTTATTAGATTTTTCTAAAGGCTTAGATTCTAATTTGATGAATCAAAGATAATTTTATGTCTCATAAGATCATAAACTATTAGAATGCATCTTAAAATCTAAACCTTTAGCTTAAGAGCTTTACAAACCAAATTAAATTAAATTTTTAGTTTAATTAAAAGATAAACTTAAAGTTAGAATTGTATCTGATCAAATATCAAATTAAATTAAAACTGAATTAAAGTTTTAAATTAAAAGTATGTCCTTTTCTACTGTAAAAATTGATGATTTATTTTCTCATGTAGACAATAAAAATGAGTAAATTCTTTTTCTATAACATCATAAATTTTATACAGCTTTAAAATTATCAATAGCTCAATTTAAAATAGCACATAAATATTATTCACCTGATTATAAGGCTAAAATGGAGGAACTTAAATCTTATGAAAAAGAATAACATTAAGAAGATAAAAAAACTCCATTGAATAATATCAAATAACCAATTAGCAAATAAAATACTAATTAACCGTTTGAATAATTTTCAAAATAAGTATCCAAAAGTATTGATGCTAGATAATTTTATAAAACTGCTAAGTAACCTTCTTCTTCATGTATGTAATAATAATAATAAAATATTTAAATACCTAAAAAACAAAGAGATAGTAAATTTCATATAAAAGGAATCAAATAAACAATTTTAAAAACATCAATTATTGCTCTTTAATTGTAATCTAATATTGAAAATCATGCATTACTAACTGACTAAAAATTATATATTTAAATACCTTACTTTAATTTAAGAATTAATGATTCATTCATATGTTTTATAGAATTCTTTTTAATTTTTAAAAATAGTATTGAATATGTTAGTCTGCCTTAATAAAAGACAAGAATAGGATAAGACAGTCTATTAAAAGCTGAGCTTGACACTTTATTTCATGATCATAAAGAACAAAGTTCTGATTGTAAACATTGTATACTCAAATATAGGAAAACTATTAAATTGTTAAATATTCTTTTCGGAAGCATTGATAATATGAATAACTCAGCATCAATTGCTTCATGGTTTCATATATTAAATTATGAAAGTTTAAAATTTGGTAAACCATTTAAGGAAGATGTTCTACATAAAAAAGGTTAAGGATTAAAAATTACATTCTAAAGTACTCCAAAAGGAACAAATCATGGATATTATAAATCAATTATTGCCTTCCCAATTTTATTAATAACAAGAGATATTGGATATTTTAAAGATAATCTTATGATACATTCCTCAGCCTCTAAATTCAAAGATAATGGAGCCATTGTTAGAAGTGTTTAAAAATTAGATAGTGAAGGTGAACTTTAAGGAAATTAATTTGACAAACACAATATAGGAGATAACTTATTTTCAAAATTTCGTCCATCTTCTAAAAGAGATTCAGGCTAATCTAATATACCTGAAAGACTTAGAAGGGAAACAAATTATATTTTAGTAGATCCTGCTTATAAAGTAAAGGATAAACATTTATTTTGGTCAAAGCTTGATGATAAATTCATATTTTATTGTAGAAGTAATGAAAAAGAAATGTTTAAGTCTGAAATAAGTCTTTAAGATCTTGATGATAAATAGGTTGACGTAATTTTATAATCTGATGAAAATTTAATTAAACAAACTGATCAATCTCTATATATTTTATTATATTACAATAAACCAATAAGAAGTGAATTAATTTAAAGTAGAGATATTTAATACAGAAATGATAAAAATTCTAAAGTTAAATTATTTTTCTCTTTATAAACTATTAAAGCTGTTTTTTAAAATTAATATGCTGCTTGTAACATTTTAACAACATTCAAAAATATTAATAAAATATAATCAATTATTTAAAAAGTACATGATAATGTTTATTATTTTAAAAGGTAAGATGATTAAGTTTAAGGTCCTAAATTATAAGAAACACCAATTAAACTTTTAGATGATATGATAGTTTCAGCTAGTATTTAATAAATATATTTAAAATCTAATGAATCTTTTTTTAAATTATAGATGCTAAAAATTATGCTTAATCTAGAATTATTAAATGTAATCTCAAATCCAATCAAATCAAGTTTCCATAACAAAAATTCTAGTCTTGCAATATTAGAAAGCCATTCTAAATTAAAAACAAATCAAACTTAAATATTTTTATTTGATGATTTTATGATTATGAAATGTCATTCAATTATGTTTAGCTTTAATTAAGTTAGTATTGTTGATATGAGATTACTTCATATTTCAAAATTATCTAATGCTTTATAATTTTAAGTAGAAGATATTTCGATTAGTATAATAAATAATCATACAAAACAAAGAGAAAATTTATTAACTATGCCAAAGAAAGAAAAATAATCAATAAATAAATCAAATTTTTAATAAGAGAATAATAGAAAAGTTGATAAACCTGTTGCAATAACAATAGCTCTAGAATTTTAAAATCTTAATCCAAAAATTAATATGTAAATTCAATAAGGCTAAATCTTATTATCATAAAAGAGAGTGTAAGATTTACTTATTGCAATTAATAGTTTCTATCTTATCAATATTGAGGAATCCATTTCACTTAGATAACACTTAATAAAATATATCTTTTTATAAGAATTAGAAATTTTAGGATTAGAGTAACCTTAAATTGTTAATTTATTTTTAAAAGATAATAGATCTAATTAATCAGCACTTAATTTATTTTTAGATCTTAAAATTGAAGAATTATAGATTTCACTTTAAGAATAAGAAAGTGATTTTTTTGAATTGAATTTATTTTAAATTTAAATGAAAAAAAGATTAAATCAAGAATTAGAACTTTAAATTAAATAAATTGAACTTAAACCATAATATTTTAAGGGAGAATATGGCCATTATCCAAATTTAATATAATAAAATGGATAAAATGAAATGAAAATATCTTTAGAGAATAATGTTATTCATATTGAAAATATCTAATTTTATATGATATCAAGATATCTAAATGAATTATATGCATTTAAATTATAAATTGAAAGAATATTAGAAAAAAATAAATAAGATTTGGCTGAACGATATTAAAATGACTTTGAACTTTAATTGTAATTAAAACAGCAAGAAAATTTTGAGTTAAATAAAGAATAATTCAATTATTAAATTTTGATTAAAAATTCTTAGATTATTATTCCTCAATCCTCTTCAGATAAAAATCTAATTAAAATAATTTTTGATTAAGCAGATTTAAAGATTAGAAAAGGTAAAATATTCTCAAAAATACCAGATATATTTGATTAAAAAACAGATATTTTAGAACAAAAAAAATTATTAATAGATTATGAAGATAAATTTTCCAAAACAATTGATAATAAATTAGAATTATAGGATATATTTATAACTGAAATAAAAGGTAATTTTCTTATGGTTAGAGTTGATTATGAAATCAGTTGTTAATCTAATGAATCTTCATTAATTAAAGGAAATCTATTAAATGCAGGTAATTCTTAGATTTTATTATTTTTTTAGAAAGTTTTTATGTTGAAATGCATATCCCTTCATTCGAATAGCTTTTAGGATTGAGTGGATGGAAATATTAAGATAATTTTAAGATAACACCAAAAAAACTAAAAATGAAATTAGATTTAGGAAAATTATTAAAGATTCAAAGTTATATTGATCAAAATTTTTCAGAAAAGTCTCCACTATTTGAATTTTAGATATCTCAACTACATAAAATTAGTTTTGATGTATATCTAGAATATAATTGATAGCTAAATATATTGTCAATGGAAGCATCTTTAACTCGATATAGTTAGATAGAAAAAGATTAAGCTGAAAAACTAAACAGTATTAGATTATATAATCAATATAAAAGAAAACAAAATAATCAATAAGATAAACAATCTACCAAATAAAATTATCCAAATAATTGATATAAATTTGAAATTAAAAGTTAACTATTTGTTTCATAAATTCTATTAAATTAAATTAATAAAATTTTCTATTAAAAGGAGATTGTTTCTTCCATTTAGAGAATATTTTATTATATCATTATCTTTGTATTAATTTAACATTAATTAATAATTTTTATATAAAAATTCTAATGGAATATAATGGAGGAATAATTAGGATTTAATCCTAACATCCAAAGTTTCTTAGTTTACTTTAGAGTTTAGATTCTTAAGGTACTTATTCAAATACAATTCATTAATAAAATTGCACTTTCATCAAATTTTAAGAAAATCCTAATTTAATAATTTCAACAGGATATCTCATATCAAAATTTGGTTAAGCCATTAATTCATATAATATAAATATAATAAAATAGCATATTAAATTTAGTTTAATATTATAAGACGATAAGGAGATAAACTTAAATCTAATTTGCCTTAATTTTGATGATTGGATTGCAGAAAAATTAAATAATTGCTATATTGAAATAGAATTAGGGTTTATTATGTATTTTGAGTTTCCTAATATAAATATTGTCTAATAAATTCCAAAATATTGCAGCTCACTTTTGACATAAGGATAAGAAGTCTTAACAATTAATTAATCTCCTTTTTTAAAAGGTAATGTGATGTAAAAATAGTATTGTCGAAAGGCATATGTCTCATAACTATTTACAAATTAAAATTAATCAAAATAGCTTATAATGTTAGGAATAGTTAGTTAAGTAGGTCAAGAAGGAGGAGGAATATTTAATTCTAAAGGAGAATATGTTGGAATTCTTCTTTAAAATATTAAAATAGGCAGATTAAATAATAGATATTTTACATTTTGTGTGAATTGGGTTGTTATCAATTCAATTTTTAATAAAAATACTCCATAACTTAGTCCATCTTACTTTAATGCTGAAATTATAAATTAAATACTAAATGTTACAAAATATATATCATAAGGGGCTGGTTAATTTGGTAGTGGAATCTTAGTAAATGATCTATAAAATTAATAAAGCTATATTTTAACAGCTAATCATGTTTTGTCAGATAATTTAAAGGGATCAAAAATATTAATTGGAGAAGAATAATATGAGGCATTAATTTTGGAAGACACTTTGAATAATATGGACTTTTCAATAGGAAAAGCAAAGAACTATATATCATAAGGTTTAAATATAGAGGATGATGTTATATTTTCAGAAGTTCCTGTAGTAGGATCTATAGTTTATGCTGTTGGGTATTTATATACTCTATTTTAATACAAGCCTTGTATATCCAAGGGGTCAGTTATTAAAATAATTTATGACTAATTCAATTAAATGATATCAATTGTTACAGATTGTTTTATCCATAATGGTTATAGTGGAGGGGGACTTTATAATTAATATGGATAATTATTAGGGATCATTTCATTTAATATTTGCCATTCGATTGAGGGTGTAATTTGTGATTTATCCTATATTACTCCAATTTTTCCATTTTAAACAGTATTCTAGGATCTAGTATAATAAAGGTAATAAATTTAGAAATATGATTAGAAATTTGACTTAGACTTCAAAAGATAAACTAAAATAAGAAATTAAATTGGCATCTGAGATTAGAACTCTATGTACACTAAGAGAATTACCACAAATAGGATATATTCCAAAATTATGATAAATATATAGTAGACTTATAGAAAATTTATTAAATATCAATTCATGCCTTTTTCATTTTTTCTTTAATTTTCTAAAATTGATAAAATATTATTACATCATCTAATTCTTTTAATTTATTTTATCTTTCTTTCATGAATAGTTACTTTTATTTAATAACTTCTTCTTAATTCTTTTTGCTTTTTACTTCAGGTAAATTCTCATAATTTTTTTTTGTTAATGCAAACATCTCCTTTTCTTCAACCTAAATAAGTTCAAAATTACTTTTGCCTTTTATCCCATAGCTAATCTTTCCATTAATGGACTTTAAACTCTTTTGAATTATTCTTTTTATCCACTATTTTTATCTTCATTTATTGGAGTTTAACTTTTATTTTATGATCTCTTGCTTCTTCCATATTCCATCATTTCTTTTCTTAATTTGATTTATTCTTCTTTACTTCTTTATTTAACATTTACAATCCAACTTTAATCCTCTTCTTATATTGGCATTTAAACTGAAACTCTTCTTTCAACATTTGCTGTTTTCTTTCTTTATGAGAAATAATCTGCAAGACATTTTTTACTTGATTCATTTGTTCCTTCTTCAAAATTAAATTCTAATTTAATGCTTGGCTAAGACTATTTACGTATTTCTGGATTATGAATACTATAAGTTTTATCTTATTAAATAGAAGAATTTGTTATATCAATTTAAGAATATTTTCTTTAAACATCACCTTTATTTTAAATTTAAACATCTTTTTGTTAATTATCCATTTAAAATTCAATAGAATTTGTATTAATTTATTGATAACTTTAATTTTTACTTTAGTTATCAGTATTTTAAATTTGCAATTCTTATTATGATTATTATGATATCAAATTTCTTTAAGATAATTAAGTACCAAAAGTTAAAGATTCCATACTTTACTTTTATTGTTAATGAGATTTTATTTATTATTATTATAAGATTTACTTAGATTTATTACATTAAGATTGATTGTGATATGATTCATTAATGTTTATAATTGATTAATCTTAAACAGATTTATCAGTCTAAATAGCTTAAGATTATTGCTTTTTACGTTGAATTTTTTTAGGAGGAGATTCTGATTCTTCTTAATCTTTCTAAGGAGGAATAGACTTTGATTATTATTATTATTTCTCAGATTATGTTATATTATTATTAATAACAATAGGTTGTTATTATTATTGTTATTATTATGACTAGAATTGTTAAAGTAATTATTATTAAAAAAGTAATCTTTAACTTTCCTATTTTTCTAATTGCTATTTTAAAATCATATTTTCATTTTACAATTATAGCATTTGTTGTTAAATCATTAATAATCCCATATTATCAGTTTAATCTAAATAAGGTTTGCTATTTCTCTACATTTCATACCTGTTTGTTCTTTATGTAGTACAATTTGAAGGTTGATTTGATCTATGACATTATGGTAATATAGGTTATTTTAATGGATCTAAGAAACTATTATTTGAATTGTTAGATTATTGTTCAATCCTTGAAACATCAATAAAAATTGATTAAGCATCTTAAATTTAAGAGTTTTAAGACACAACACTAAGAGGTGGTTGATCTACTCTTTTTTTCATCTATTTAATAAATTCATTTGTATTTCTATGGGGTTGTAAATTTTCCATATTGGGTTTCTTTGATGATGGTATTTATTAAGGAGATCTATATTAGATAGCATTTTCTCTATTCATTCCTTATTCAAAATCAAATTATTAAAAAATTTAGGAGTTAAATAAATAAATTTCAATTATCATACACTCATTTTTTCTAATCTTACCCTTCATCCTAATCACTATTCCCCTATTCTTCTAAACATTAACCAAATACTTCTAGTCTCTATTCCTCAACATCATTACTCTCAATACTTACATTGAAATTATCTTTACCATTACAATATTAAATATAAATTTTATACTATTGAATTCTAATCCATTTACATTTGTGAAACAAAATTCAGCATCATATGTAGAGTAAAATTTAACTTAAGCGACACTTTAATTTAATTATTACCTAAAGAATGAACTTAAAAAAACTCTAACTTTTACAAATATATTTATAGAGTTTCTACTTTCTAAAATAATTCACTATATAATTAATGCATAAATTCTTGATTTTAAGCTTAAGTAGAACTATATAAATTTTTAATATCAATATCTTCAACTTTTTTCTTTACTTTGTCTTTTTATGATTTCTTCCTATTTTTTTTTCTTCTTTAAAATTTCCATTCTCTATTAATCATTTTATTATGATCCATCATCCTCAAATAAAACAACTTTTTACTTCTTCAACCATAAATATAGGTTTCCATTCTGTGAATCCTTCCTTAAAAACATAAGTATCAAATTAAGATCATTAATTATGTGATGTAATAATGCTGGTTCTTAACATAAGATCAATATCCCTTATTGATAAAGGTCCTTTAGATTGTTTCTCTGGTTCTTATTAACTTTTATCAACATAATACAATATTAGTTCATCTTCCATTTTATGTAATTTATAGAATTATTTAGAAAATAAATAATTAAATTTTTTAAAAAATTTTAAACTTTATGCATAATTTTATTAATTTTTTAATAGATCATAATGAATTAACATTTCTAAATTTAGATAAAAAATAATGGGATTTTAATATTATATTTTAATTAAGTATAAATTTAATCAGATTAGCATACAATTAAATTTCTATGAGCAGCATTTATGTTCAATTTGCTGTTCATTTTCAAGAATCATTGAAATTTAAACTTTGTTATTCTTTTCTAATAATTATTAACCGACAGAATCATTTATATCAACTTTTCTTTAGTTTTCAACTTCTGATTCTCCTTAATTATCAAGAACCTCAATATCCTCTTCTATAAGTTCATTTCCATTTTCTTCATGAACAAATATTTTTATATGACTACCTAAAGTGGCAGATTCTATTGATTTTTTCATACTAGTTGTTTTTGAATGTTAATGAGATATTCTTCCTAAAGATGAAAACTTTCTTAAATTTCTTCCTTTAAAATCTTAAAGTTTCCTTAATCCTTATTAATAATCTTCTTAACAGTCATATGTAAATTATTTTAACAATTCAGAAACTTATGGTAGTTAAGGAGGCCTAAAATCATTTAAATATATTTTACCAGAAAGTTGTAACATTTTAACATTCTCCATTAAACTTTTCCTCTAATTATTCTCTCAAAATATATTATTATAAATCATTTATATTGTTTATTAATTTAATCTTTGAATGAATTTGATTTCTGTTTGGTAAGTAATTAAGAATTTATTAAAAATTTAATTTAGAATTCACTATTAGTAGATTATTTAAATTCCCACAAAAATTAATCATCAACTCCTTTATATTATCAAAATTGAACTAAAATTATATATATAAATATATATATTACATCAATTTCATAAAAATTATTTTCTTAATTTTAGCAATCATAAATGATTGTCCAATTTTCAATGAAGTAAGGAATCAAAACTTATCGTTTCACTGTTTCCAATAAATATTGAAAGGTTCTAAAGTTATCATTCTCAAGTTGCTTTACTATTATGACTGGTCTTGATTGCTTATCTATTCCGAAGATATAAAAATCTCCACATTTTAATTAATCTATATTTGGTTCCATGCTTTAATATAAATTAAGCCAACTAAGATGAATTTATAAATTCTCTAAATATATATTTTAAATTACTTATAACGCCCCTTAAATAGAAAAATCGGCTGAGATAAGCATTTTTAAATAATCACTTGTCTTCCATGAATTAGGTAATGGTACTTAAATTTTTGTTTTGAAATCATCAATCAATTTGATTTCATATTCTTCATAATCAACTTTTTCATAAATGTTTCTAACTATCATTCCTTCTGTTCCAGATTTAATATAGAATTCTAGATTTTAAATCTTATTACATTACTTGAGTGCTTATTTAAGTATTACTAATTCTTAGGTCTCAAATAACTTATGTCTAAATACATCTATATAATTAATATATAAAGTAAATTAATTGATAATTATTCATTCAATAAAAAATGATTGCTAGTTGTTTAAAAAATATAAATAATTCAAAATGATAGAGCAATCAAATTAATTAAATTCAAATAAATAAAAATACAGATTCTTAAATTTCATCAATGAAAAAAAAATATTTACTAATTCTGAGAAGTAAATTAAAATTTAAATGAATTGATTAATAGCATTAAAATAATTGATAATACTAATGTGAAAATATGATAATCATAATTGCTGATATCAAATGCAGAAAATATAATTAGCAAAATATAACTTAAAAATTAAAAAAACTTAACATATATATATATCCAAATCATATATAATTTTATTTCTGAATTTAAAAGGGTTTGAAATAAAAAAGAAGGTTTTTAAATATGAAAATTGAAATACTGAATTTATAATTTTATAATTTATGATTAATTATTAAATTTTGCTTATTAATTAATAATCAATTGATAAAAAAAATCTTATTAAATAATCAATATTAATAAAGCAAAATCTTTAATATTTGTAGATCAAAAATTAAATATATACTTTTAATTTATATATATTCAAAGTTGAAAAAAGGATTGATAATTTTCTAAATATTAGAAATTTAACTCCCTTTAAATTATAATTGTAATTAATTGCTTCAAATTGTAAATAATACAAGTAAATATTAAGATTGAAAATCTCAAACAGCTTCTGAACAATTTTTAGACTTGATAAAATGATTATTATACCAAATATATGAATATTTTCATAAAAATTCAATATTCCCTTACACTAATTTTATTTCTTAATAAAAAATACTTAAAATAATTTTTATTTATGTTTTCCCAATAGACTGATTAAAAAGAAGTGATTACTAATTTTCCTGAAAACACAGATAAAATCTTAGAATCTTAAAATGAATTATTTGACAACAAAATGAGAATAATTTTGATGGCAATAGAAATAGAAAGATTACATAAGATCTTAAATTCTAAAATAGATTATTACACTTAAAAAATGCAAGACTATATTAAGAGAGGTTAAAATTATATGTAAAACTTAGAGTTATTTTATAAAGGATAAATTGTTGAATACTTGTAAAGGAATACTGAATTAAATTAATAAATTCTTGAGAAAAATGCCTTAATTTCTCATAATATTAAAGAAAAGTATAAGGAATTAGTTATGTAGTTCTTAATAAGAAATGAACATGCTTATAACTCAATAGTGTCTCTAATTTGAACAAGAACTAAAAAGTTTTTAGTTAAAGAATTTATAATTATAAAAAGAAAATTAAGAACTTCGATCATAATTTGAGGATGCTCCTTAATTAAGAAAGAAATTATATGATTTAGAATAATTATATTCATAATTGTTAATAGAAAAAAATGAAGAAATTAAATAATTAAGTTAAAATAATTAAGAATGTACCCTCAAAAATTCTTAATTAGATACACTTAATTAACTTTTATAATACAAAGAATTGGAATTATTGGAATGGTAATATAGCTCTTAATAAACTAATTTAATTCATGAAAACCAAAGATTAAAAAAAGAACTTAAATTCTTGAATGACAAATTAAATGTGTTATTAATTAATAATGATCATCTAAAAGTTAAATAAGATGATATTTAGAATTAAAATTATTGTTAGACTACTATTCCTAATAAAATATTTACATAAGCAAATGATATAAGGAACTAAACTCCAAGAAGATAATAAATTAATCCAACATAAGATTAATTATTTAATAGACAAAATACTCCTTCAAATTAATTATAATCATCATAAATTCCGATAAATTTGTAATCTTTATCTTAACCATAACGAGATAATATTAATATTCAAAATGATAATAATAATAATTATTTATTTAAGGAACTTATAGAATAAATTTTATTCATTCAAAATCAAAAAACTTAATCAAAATAAAGTATATAAAATCAAATTTCTTTATTAATTAAAGTTTTGAACTTGAAACAATAAGAAATATCATAATTTATCTATTAAAAAAAGTAAATAGTATAATTAATTAGAAATCTTAGTAATTATGTAATCAACTAGAAATTATCAGCGTCCCCATAATTTATAACTAATCCATAAACAAAAAAAATGCAGAAATATTATAGCCTTTCCCCAAATAACTGTTATTCTTAACCTTATGTAATTTTATAACCTCGTTCAAGAAGTCCAATTAATTAATATCATAAAGGAATCAAAACGGAAACAACATTTCATTCATATTCAAATATGTTAAGACAATAAATAACTCCAATTGTTATCAAGGTATAAAATAATATAATAATTAAAAGCCATAAAATATTGTCACTTATAATTATAGCAAACCACAAACTTAGATTCATTATCATTTTTCTCCCATTCAAAAAACTGTAGTGAAATAGAGTTTTCAAAATCCACCTTATATTGTAAGAAATACATAACCTAACGTGGCTGTCTAATTCTATTAACCTATTAAGTATTTTACTTTATATATTTAGAATAAACGTCAACCAACCCAATTTGAGAAGTTTTGATAAATAGGAGTAAAATCTAAATGAAAATATGAATTAACCAGAGTTTAATGTTTATACTACTGAATTCTAAGTTAATTCTTAAGAAAACATAAATAAAGGAGAATCTCCTCAAAAAAACTAAATAAATTTTCCAAAATAGGATAGTATACTATTAATTAAAGATATTTTAGTTATAAATGATAAATCGCAATAGCAAAAGAGTCATTTAGATGGAAGATTACCTCAAAATGTCTTTATTTCTAATGAAGGTCAATCATTATCTTAAAAATCATTTGAAATTTATTAAGAAGAGCAAATTTTTAATAAAATAACTCTACAAGATCCTGTATCTATAATTAAATAAAAATTAAATGGTTAAGTATAATCTTAAGAAAATACTAAAGATAATTTTAACATAATTTACTAATAATTTCAAGATTTTAGATCAATATTCAAGCAGAAATTATATAATAAAGAATAAGAATTTTAGAAAACTTATTCCAACGCTTTAGAATAACTCTAAAAATTAGAAAACCTAATTTTAGTTTTAGTGAATGAGAAAACATAATAGATTTCAAATTCAAGGGACAATAAATTTAATAGAATTTCATATGAGAAAATAGGGACAGATTAATAAAGAGAATATCAAAGTTATAAAATTGAGTAACCAAATTCCGATTATTTTTTAATTAAAAAATAAACACAGATTAACGAAGCTAATGATTTTTTGTAATAAATAACTAAACAGAAGAAATTACTAGATGAATAAAGAAATCATTTTATATAATTAATTTCATTATAAGATGAAATTTAAAATAAATATGAACCTTTAGTATCTATATTATTTTAGAAGGAATCAGAATTAAATAAAGAATTAATTGAAATAAAATAAGACAAAGAAATGTAAAAATTAAATTTAACTTTACGATTATAAGTTTAATCTGAAGAAATTACTAAATTTAAATAATAAAATTCTTATTTATAACAAAAGCTAAATGATTATAAGAATGAATTGAAAGATGTTCAATTAAAATTAAAATTTGAACATGATTAACATTAAATAACAAAGCAAATAGTTTAATCCTTGTAATAAGAAACTGATAAGTATTAAGACTCAACATCAGAAATTTAAAAAAGAAATTCATATTTAGAATAACAAATTAAATAAACAGAATAATTGCTATTTGAAGCTTAAACTAACTCGAAAAAACAAAAATTAAGCTATGCTAAAGAAACATAAACTATATCATTTGAAAATTAATAAACAATACAATAATAAATTCAAAATGATTAGATTGAAATAGAAAATCTTAAATAAAAACTATGCTTTGAATAAGAATTTACTAATTAACTAAATGATTCTATATCTACTCTCTAATAGTAAATTTAAACCTAAGAATAATTACTTTAAATTTAAAAATTAAATAACTCAAATCAATTTGATGAAATTCAAAATCTTACCAAAGAAAAAATAGAAATTTCTTAATAATTAAAAATGTTTTAAGTCAAATATTTATCATTATATGAGTAACTTGATTAAATATAAAAATAAAAAGATATTGATTAAAATAATGAATAAATATAAAATATAGATATAATTAAGAACTTAAACTTTTAAATTGAAGATATGAAATAAATCAACTAATTTCTATCCAATTAGATTTCATAAATATAATCAAATAGCGAAATACAAATTTCAGCTCAAAACACTGTTTTATCTTCTAAAATTGCACTTTTAAAAAAATAATTAGCTTCAGAAAAGTAATTAAAAGAATAGGCAAATATTAGAATAATGGAACTTCTAAAGTAATTTCAAGGTTTGTAAAATCATATATAATAAGATGAAACATCTGATTTAAAGGAACAGATCATTAAATTATCAAATTAGTAATAGTTATAACAATAACAAAAGTAAAATTTGATTGAGTCATTTGAATAAAATTTAAATCAACTTAAATAATAAATAAATGAACTAACTCACTAAAATTCTAATTTTTAAGAGTAAATCAAAGATTTTGAAACAAAATAATTATTACACTTGTAATTATAAAAACAATTTGCAAACTAAACTAATTTAATTAATTAATAATAATAATAAATAGTTATTTTATAATAAGAAAATAATCAAAATTAAAATGATTTACAAAAATTAAGATAAAATTAAAAATTAGATATTTAAGATTTTGAAGACCATCAAAATGATCAAATTAACTATTTAAAATAGTAAATAGATGAATTAAATTTATATATTTAGAATCAATAAAGAGATATAAATTATTTAGAAAGTTAAATATAGTTTGAATAACGAGAAAAAAATATCATAACTTAAAATAAAACAAATTTAGATAGACTAATCAAATAAATGTAAGAAGAAAATATTTAATTGTAAAATTAAATACAAATCTAACAAAATAATATTGAATCATTAAGTAAAAATATTAGATAATCTAATACTATTCATAATTAATTAAGTTAAACTGATGAATACTATCAAAATTAAAATGAAATACCTAAATTAGATAATTAATTGAAATAAGATTATTAAATTTTAATTTAAGAATACCAAAAACTAAAAGATGCTCTATATTAAATAACTGAGGAAAAAAATAAATTAGAAATGATTTTAAATTATTAAAACTAAGTTTAAGAATCTAAGTTTTAAGAAATTAAACAATCACAAACCATAATTAAAATTGATAAAAATGAGGAGAAAAATTAATTAAACTAAAATGAATTTAAAAATAAATAACACTAAATCAAAGATTTAGACATATAAATTTCAGCAGCCTTAGTAAAATTAGATGAATTTGATGATTTAAACATTAGGAATGAGTAAATAAAATATGATTTATAAATTTAGATTTAAAGATTAAAATAATAAACTCTTTATATTTAATAATTAAGAACTGAACAAATAGAACAAGATAAAAATAAAGATAATATTTAATAAAAGTATCCATCAAACAACTTTAATCAGAAGATAGATGAATTAATATAAATAATCTAAATATTAATAATAAGTATTGGAGATCATATATAGCTTAATTCTAAAATTGTTATGAATACTTAAATGCTTTACTAGCTATTAGTTGAAATTAATAAAATAATCGAATCATTTCAATATTAAAATTAAACATTGAAAAGAGAAGGAAATTTAACAGAACAACAAAATTATTCTACCACATAGAAAGATTATTAAAAATAAAGTATAGAATTAATAATTGAAAATGATCAATTAAAATTAAAATTAAATTAGTACTAACGTCTTTTAATACAATTATAGGATGAGTATTATAAATAAGGATCAGCATTAGATAATATAACTAAGGAATATTAACAAATTATTGATTAAAATGAATATAAAGTAATAAAATTAATAGATTTTGAACAATTAAACAATACAATAAATAAGTAAGAAAAATAAATAGAGGAGTATTTGGATTAGATTTAATATTTATAAAATCATTTTGATTAAGAATAAAAAAAGTAATTGGAAGAAGGAAATGCAAGATTGAATAATAAAAGATAAGAAAATCAGAAACAAATGGATAACCAAATTTAAATTATTTAAGAAAATATTAAATTAAAACAAGAAATATCTAATCTATAATCTGAATTATAAAAATAAAATTATTAAGAAGATTTAAGAGAAGAACAAAAGTTGATATAAAAATAAAGTTAAGAGGAATATACTCAATTAAAACAAGAGGCTTAAAGATTATATCAGCGATTGTTATAAATGTCAAATAGTAACAATATATTGAAAGAAGAAAAGGAGTAGGAGTAACAGAGATATTAGAGGGAGTGTAAATAAATTTAAGAAAATTTAGAAAAACACAAAAATGAAAATATTTAATATAAATTATAAATTGATAGATTATCAAAATAGCTTTAAGAATAAAAGAGTAAATCAGAGAGTAACCTATAATAAGAATTCAATAAACTATAGTATACTTTAGATGCTAGTTTAAAATAATAAAAGTAAATTAATGATGAAAAAAGAGTAATCTAAGCTTAAGTTTAATAATAATAAGAATAATTAGCAAATTAATTAAATATTATAAATTAACTAAAAAAAGAAATATCAAAATAAGAACAAATTATATCTTAATTATCTTAATAAAATAATATTCAATCATCATTTGTCTAAGAAGTAACTTTTTTTGAAGATTTAAAAAATTCTTCCCCTTTTGAATTTAAAATTAAATAATTATAAAATGAAAATTCCCATTTACATCAATTATTAATAGATACTGAAAATGATTATAGTCATAAAATTAAATTATAATAGCTTTAAATATAAGGATTGAATGATAAGTTAAGAGAAATGGTTTATGAATAAAATAAGAAAAATCCTAAAGTAGATGAGTTCGTAAAAATTAATAATTAGAATCATTGAAATCATTTATATTTATATAATAAGTTCTGATGATACTAATTTAAGTTTCAAGTTGTTATGATACACCATTTTTGTTTTTTGCTTAATGATGTTTTATTATAAATTATTGCAAAAGATTCTATAAAATCAAGATTCCTCGTTTTATTTTGTAATCATTAAAATTTTAAGGTTTTATTTCAATATTATGAAGTACAATATATTTAAAAATACCAATTGTTAATTAGAATCTTGTCGTTTATCTTCTCCATGATTATGTAACTATTTTTGTACTTTTAATTAAAAAAAATTGTATTTTTATAGATAGAATATTTATGAATATATTTTGAAATCTTTAAAATTTTATCAAAAGAATTTAAGAAATCAACAATATAAATGATCGTCAATAATTAAATATTAATATTAAATATATAATATAAATTAGAATTTGATAATGAATAATTTACATATGAGATTAATAAAAAAATTTATTATTTAATAGAAAACTTGAGTTTTATTAATAATAAATATAAATTGATTAATTATAATTATTATAAAATATGAATATATTAAATAATTTTTATAAATTAATACGTATAATGATTATTAATCTTAGATATTAATTTTATAATAATTTATATATTACATCATCATTCTTTTAATATACCATGCTTCTTCCAGATTGATTTGAAAAATTCGATTTCTTCTGCACTACCAACAATTATTTCACTTTTTTATTGATATCCTGTAATTTCAGTGTCTAAAACTGAATGTTTTCCATTAAATGATTTTCCTTCAGCCTTCTCGATTAAGAAGGATAATGGGGCACATTCATAGAGATATCTAAGTTTAGATGGATTTTTGGCATCTCCAAAACATGAGAAGACTCCTACTTCTTTTAAAAAGATTTAGCAAATGTCTGGAGCCATGCCACCAGAATATCTAAGTGTATAGCCATTGTGAATCCAATAATCAACAACTTCTCTATATGGGATATGATCTATAATGCATCTTGTATTTCCTGGACTGAACAATTTACCTTTTGGTTTTATCTTGATGTTGTCCTTTGTTAATTCCCAATGTCCTTATTTGTCTCCATCTAATGATTAATATATATTAAATACCAAATAATGTATATTCTTAAACTTTTTATTCTTTTTCATTCCAGAAGACAACATTTGTACGACTACCATAGAGACAACAGCAAGCTGATACCATATCTCTTCCTCTTTTTCCAATCAATAAATTTTCATCAGATTTCCATATGGCAACAATTGTACCGACTGCAAAGTTGGTTCCTATAATTGAACTTCCATCTAATGGATCAAATGTGACAATGAACTTTCCACCTTCAGATAGAAGCTTCATCTAAAAATGGATAAATTATTATTATACTTCTGGTGTTTCTTCACTTGCTGTATGACTGACAAAACCTGTTCTCTTCAATTCTGTATTAACATTTAATTCACATTGAACATCCATTTCTAATTAATGATCTCCAAAATCATTTTGAGTGTTTGTATAATCACCTCCTCCTGAACAATATCTCAAAACACGAGAGTTCTCTATGAAGGCAAGAAGGAGAGCTGAGCACACTGCAGATAATTCTGGATCATCACTTAACTTAACATGTTGAGAATGCATTTGCTGGATATTTAATAAATTAGATCATAAATTAAAGAATTTAGTTAATTAATGCCTATTTTCATGCGCATTATATAATAAATTAATTATAAATGACGCATTTTTAATATAGTTAATCATCATAATAATAATTGAAAATTTAACTATTTTTAATATTAATTATGTTAATAGGCATAATAATCAATTAATTTTACAATTCATAATAATGATTTAATAAGAAAATCTTATGAATTAGATTTATTAGTAAAATTATATATGTTAATATGATTCAATAATAATCATTTAAATATATATTATGAATATTAATCATTATTATAAAATTGTATATTAATTCATCCTTCCAATTACAATTAATCTATTTGATATTTTGGATATTGTCAATTTGCTAGATGGTAATACATCTAATTCTGCTTCATATGTTAGTTTATTTTTTTTAAGAGTTATTACTTACATACGATTAAAGCATGTATAAATAAGATATGGAAATTTCACATCTATGCTTTCCCAATAATTCTCATTTGACATCTCCCAATCTCTAAGTGATATTGTTCTGCCTTATAAATCAAATACAAAGTAATTCAATATACCATTTAGATGTTTAGTTACAATTGTTTATTTTAATAAAAATATTTATGTTATATGAGGATAAATATCTTGCAAAGGACCTTAAAATATGATAGTAGGCTATTTATTAATCTTATAAGTCCAACTATCATTTTTATAATCTTAGATTGTCCATAATTTTAATTTTCCATCTGAATATGCTCCAATAATATGTTCTTAATTAGCTGATACACACAACACTTCAGCCTCTGGTGTATCTCCATCTCTAAGTACTTAAACAATTTATCTATTTGTAACATCCCATTGTATAATTGAACCATCCTTAGATGATGAAAATACTCCTTTGTTGTTGCTTGCTAATCCTGTTATAACATTGTGATGACCTTCAAGTAAGAAATATTCAGGATTTTCTTTGATTTCTATTTGATAAACATATCCTAGATCTCCAGCTGCAAATACATATAATTAATCATGAATATATCCAAAATGACAAAACATAATAAGTTCTTTAACAGGTCCTGTTGTTAATTATTTAGAATGTCTTAAAAACTTTTTTTGTTTCTCATTTTTCAGTCCATCATAATCAAGATGTTCATTGGCTTCAAATTAAATGACAAATTCAAATAATTTATCTAATTTAGTTGTGTGTGAATATAATTTGATTTTAGCATCAGAACATACTATAATAAAGGATTCATTCTCAGAAATATCAATTAAATCCATGCAATTTATTTACTCTTCATTTCCATAAAGATGAGAAATCTTAAATTATTTTTACATATGAAATCCAACAATCTTAGACTCTATTTTTTCTCTGTTCTGATAGAGTTATCTTAACTATTCAAAAAAACCTGGTTTTTCTTCGTCCATAAATTCAAGTAAAAATTTGGTTATTATAAATTTATAAAATGAATTCATTTATAAAGAGCATCACATTTGGACTGAAATTCAAGGAAGTTTCTGACTATTTTTTCACATGCTTCATCTACCTAATGCATAATAACTATAACTAATTCAGATATAATACGATCATACTCTTACATTTCTTCAAGTACTAATACACATAAATTTAATTAATTACAAATTTATAATTCTTGAATTTTTAAAATAGGTGGATTCAATTTATTGTCTTTATTATAACTACTATGAATTTCATCAATTAAATTAAGTACTTTTTTTTCAAGACATTTTCTTTAAGCCATTACTGTCTCATTAATTCTATTTCTATAAGAACGTAAAGCAAAATTATTTAAATACTCTCTTGCTCTTTCTAGTTAATCCATTTTATATTCATCAAACCATTTTGGTAATTTACCTTATCCTTTGTAAAATTTATCAATGCTCAACAATTTAAATTTTTCTTTAACACTAAGCATACTTCCAAAATCATAAGCCTTTTTAAAATTCTCAATGTTTTTTGTATTTTTAGCTATTGTATCCTTAATTTTTTTCAGGTATTTATCTAATTTCATATGTGTATTAGTGAAGAATTCTTCATTTACTTCATAGAATCCATAATTTTCTCTTTGTAAATCAAGTAATTCATCATATGTACTTAAAGATATTATTTATATTACTCTTGTGCCATTTTATCTTTTTCTGTATCTAATAGATTCTTAACTTCCTTAAATAAACTCATAACAGAAAATGTTAATAATAATAAATAATTTAAATCATGAACTATACTATTTTATAATCTACATCACTTATTTTCCACAAAATCTACCCAAACACCCTTTTAAACATGAAATCTCATTGAATTAAATGTCATTCTTCTTCTCATTCAATAAACTTAACTTGCTTATGATAAATGGAACACTCTAAAAAGTGTGATCTCCATAAGCATATGGAGTAGTATGATCACCAGTAACTGCTATAACAGCATCTTATAGTTTAATGTTATTCACAAAATACTTAAGCATTTCATCAACTTTTTATATATACTTGATTTTAAGATCTTTATTTTTATCATGCCCAGCATCATCAACAGCTTTGATGTGTAAGAAAACAAAGTCATAATTATTTTCTAATAATTCAATTGCTTTTTTGGCTTTATTAATGAAATTGCTATTATAATCTCCTGTAGCACCTTCAACATGATGCCATTCCAATCCTATAGTTTTTCCTAATCCTTAGATAATTGCTGTAGGTGCAATAACAGCACCTTTCCAACCATACTTCTCTTAGAAATCTTGAACTTTAATTCTTTATCCACATCCTCTCAAAAGTACAATATTAGCTTAAGGTAATCCTTATTATTATCTTTATATATTAATAGGATGTTCAGATAACATTTAATGGATAGAATCAGATAATTCATTGATAATTTTGGCAGTTTTGATTGCTTTTTCACTTTATACTTTTGGTTTAGCTTATCTTAATGGTAAATTATCTTTGAGTGGATCAGTGCCTATAATTTCATCTGTCAATTCACCAGAATAATCATTTGATACAACTTTTAATCCAATACGATGTTCTGTAGCATGATTTGCTTATATTTAAATTGGAGTCTTTAATTAAGTATTAAGGGCATCAATTAAAGGAAGACCCCATTCAGGAAATTCTCTATCTACTCTTCTTAATTTAACAATTCCATTCTCCATATAAGCAAAATTGCATTTAAATGCTATATCTCCAACTTACATATCAATTCCAGAACCCATAGTTTCAAATGCTCCTCTTCCTCTGTAAAATGTAAATGGATCATAACCAAAAATACTCATATGAGCTGTGTCACTCCCACAAGAAAGTCCTGGCTCTACTGGATCCATTAAACCAGCTAGTCCAGTTGAGGCAATTTGATTCATAGTTGGAATTTCAGCTAATTGAAGGGGAGTCTTAAATTAAGTCTCTGGTGTACCAACATCAGCAACACCATCAATTATTACAAAAAGTATCTTCATAAAATTAAATAATAATGAATTATAGCAGAACATATTAAACAATGAGACAATCTGGATAATAAGGCACATTTTAGACAACTTATAATGAAACTTAATAGATACGATATAAGGAAGAAAGCTTTTAAGTCTCTCCTCAATCAGCAAATTGGGCTTCAACATAGTTACTTGGAAAAGTAGATGATAAAGATTTTATGGTTGTATAACGATCTAAGACATATGAAAAATCAGAAGCAGAAAGACAACATCATTATGAAGAACTAATTTAAGACAATTTAAGAATGAGGTAATTAAGATGCACATATTTAGAGAAGTTATTGAGTAATTAAAAAGAGAAGTAGCCACTTATAAATCAAGTTCAAGTTCTGATGTGACTATTCTTAGAAAAGAACTTCAAATTACATAATAAGAATTGGAATCCACTTAAAAAGAATTAATGATGTTAAGAAGTGAGAGTGAATTAAAAAGTAGGACAGAAATAGATAAGTTAATGATTGAATTAGATTAGTGGAAACGTAAATATTTAGAACTTGAATAAAAAGATAAAGATAATGCTGAATAGTTAAAACAGCTAGCGTATTATTAAAATAAATTAAAATTATTTGAATTAGAAGCAAAAAAGAAATTTGAAAAGTATTAATCTGTTGATTTAATATAATAACAATTAAATGATTAAGAATCATTAATTGAAGAATTAAGATTAGAAATTCAAAGATGGAAAGATAAATATGATGCTTCTATTTTAGAAAGTTAAGAGATAAGAATTAAATTATCTTAAAATGATAGAGTAAATTCATTGGAAGCTGATATGGAAGCATTAATTCATGAATTAGGTTAATGGAAGGATAGATGTAAAGTATTAGAAGCACGTCATTAAACATCAGATGAAGCTAAATTATTGGCAAGAATAGAATAATTGAATCGTTTATTAGGTGAAAAAGATTAAGAAATGTAAAGGACTCGTCTTACTATTAGTTAATAAATGACATAGTAAATGAGTTAATAATAATCATAAAAAATGTCATAATAATAATAATAAATAGCTGATTATGAAAATTAATTAGATTAATTGAAAAGATAATTGGAAGCAGCACAATCTAAAATTGATTAATAAAATAAAGAAATGGAAGGATTTAGATTATCAGCTAATGTTTATAATTCAGAGAGATTTGAAGAGATAGAATAAGAAAAGTGGAAATTAGAGATTTAAATTGAATAATTAGAATAAGATTGTGATACATTTATGTTAAGAATCAAAGAACTAGAAGATACATATTCAGAATTATAAATTAAATACAATGAATAAAATGCTAATTATCTTAGATACAAAGATATTGTAGAATCTAATTCTTCAAAATATAAGAGTGTAGAAAATTTATCTAAAGAATTACAAAATATTTAACAAGAATTAGAAGTTTGGAAGAATCGTTATTTTTAGACTGAAATTAGATTGAAAGAATATGATCAATTAAGAATAGAATATGATCTTTTAATTAAATAGGGAAGTAAATCTGTTACAAATGTAACAACTATAAATATCGAAAATGATATTCAATACATTTCATTGAAAAGAGAAAGAGATAATTATTATAGATAAGTTTAAGAATTAGAAATTAAAATAAGAGAGTTGTAAACTAATTCCATTAGAAATTCATAAGATGATACATTAAGAAGAGAAAGAGACAATTATTATAGATAAATTTAAGAATTAGAATTAAGAATCAAAGAATTATAATCTTAATAATTATAATCATAATAAATAAAATATATATATGATGATTCAAAAATTAGAGAATTGGAAACAAAACTTAAAGAACAACAAAATAAAGTTTAAACTTATGAAACAAGAATTAGAGAATTTGAAATTAGAACTAAAGAATATGAAACTAGAAATACTTAATCTTTAATTGAAAAAACTGTAGTATTAACAGATGAACCAAAAATAAAAGAACTTACTGAAATAATTTAACAAAAGAATTAAAAAATACTTGAATTAGAAATGAATTTAAATTCTAATTCAGTAAATGTAAGTTCAGTTAATACAAACACTGTTTTAGTAATAAAAGAATAAGTAAGAACAAAAGAATTAAGAATAAGAGAGTTAGAAGCATAAATTGAAACTCTCTAATTAGAAATAGAAAGATTATAAAATCTAAAGAGAGATCAAGATGCCAGAATTAATAACATGATTTAGAAGGTAATAAAATATTCTTATTTAGATTACTGAATATGAATCTCAAATCAATATTCTATAAGAAGTTAAAGTAAGATAATCTAAAAGGTCACCATCATAATAATAATAAATTACAACTTCAACCACTTTAATACAATAACCAATTGTCTAAACTACAAGTTATGTTTAAAAGAGTACAACTTCTAATGTTTATTAATCTTCATCATAAAATCTACCTTCACCTACTCCCATATCCTAGAATTATTAATTCTAACCAATTTAGAATAGTACAACAACAACAAAGTAAGTGATTATTACTAATAATGTTGAGAAGTAATTTATTAATCTATCCTAGAAATTTGTATCCATAAGAAGATAATGTGTCATCATAAATTATTGATAGAGTTGGATCTAGAGACTATAACAGTTATTAAGCTCCTTAAATAATTGTATCATCATACAAACCCACAAATTGAATAAATAATAATATGGTTATAATGTGTGTCAACAGCATCCATTATCTTTGACTGTATTCTATTATTGATCTGGAGTGATGCGAGGTCCAGTTTTTATTGGAACAGCTTCACTACTCTTTGCAACTTTTGCTTTGATTTCATTTGCTAGTGTAATAAAAGCTTTCTCTACATTTGATGAATTCTTTGCAGAAGTTTCTTTTATTAATTTACATAATTACCTATAAAACGTATATTTAAAGAATCTGCAAGTTCTTTTCCTTCTTCAGATGTAACTTCTCTTTTACTTTCTAAATCAACTTTATTACCAACAAGTACTCTTACAACATTTTCATTTGCATACTTTTCCACCTCTATTTGATGAATTTAATATAATTACCAGCTAACCAATTTTCAACATCCTTAAATGATTATTTATCAGTCACATCATAAACTAATATTATTCCATGAGCTCCTTTATAATAAGAATTTGTTATTGTTTTGAATCTTTCTTATCCAGCAGTGTCCCAAATCTAAATTTTATTCCAAAACTACCTATAGTTTTACTGTCTTCCCATTCAAATCAAAAGTACGGATCTTGAAATCTACACCAATTGTAGGTAAAAAACTCTCATTGAATACATTGTCAGCGAATCGGAGTAACAATGATGATTTTCCTACAGCTGAGTTTCCAATCAAAAGTATCTTGAAAAGATAATCATACTCCTATTACAAACTCATTTTTATATATTTAAATATTATTAACACAGAATAGATCAGATTCTATATAAATATGTTTTATATTCAATTCCAATATGTAAATTTAGTAAAGTATAATGATATAAATTATAACCTTCTTTCTTTTTTGTTAGATAATATTTTCATATTACATATTGTATATAGAAGTTCAAATCTCTAAAATTTTATAATACAAAAAACTGAATTAATCATCACTCTTTATAAATTAAAAATGATCATATATATTATGAAGTTCTAATGAAGATTGCTTAATTTATTTAGTTATCTTAAATTATCTTAGTATCAAAACCAAGAAATTTTATTATTAATTTTTAAATTAACAATTAAAGTGTACTAAATTTTATTTTTGAAATGAGTTGCTCAAATTACTTTCCTTTTTAGTGATTATTTAACTCATTTAAGCATTAACCCATACAAAATAGTTTTCACTTTAATAATATTTTCTCAATAATGAAAAATAATAATATATATTAATTCATTAATTTTTCTAAGGATTTAAGCTATCTGCTCTTTATATTCTACTGAATTAGCTTTTTTTCATTTATTCATCTTTTTATGCTTTTAAAGTAAAGCTTGATTATTTCTTGATCTTTCCAATATTTTTTTAACTCGGACTCTATTAAATCTATTGTTATGGTTAATCTGTTTCATCTTCTTTGATTTTCACTTCTTTAACACTGTTTTCAAAAGCCAAACCTTTTTCTGGGTCAAAACGAGGTGATAATGATATATAAGAGTTAATTTTAGGTTTTTTGTCCGAATTTGATGTTTGAGATGAGATAGATGATTAACGACTAAGATTAGCTGACCTAGTCATTCCGATTGCTTACTTTTGCATAATTAATAAAATAAATAAATTATTAGTAATTAATATTCAGTTCTAAATAATTAATTCTTAAAGCTTTTAGCCTAAACAATTATAGTTTGAAATTGGTACCATCATAAACTTATTATAATTTGTTTTAAAAATAATCTTATTTAAAAAATAAAAATATATTGTTAAAAATTATTAGTTAATCAAATTCATAAATAAAGTGTGAGGAAGGATATATTTAGAATAAAATTTAATTTGATTATTCTGATTTCAAATAATTATTGCATCTTGGGATATATCTTAAAGTAATTTAATAATTAAATTAAGGTTAATTATAAATTAGCATATTCAATTGATGTTGAATGAATTGGATATATAAATTAATTCGATAAAGTCAACTAAATAGATATTTATGTAAGGATTAAATTCAAATATTGAGCATTGTTATATATCATTATGCCAATTTGATAAGTGATATGTTTTATAATCATATTATATCCTTTTCAGTTTTTCAATCTAGGTTATTTTTTGTTTGAAAATTATTCTTAATTGACCATTAATTATATTCAAATATTTGTGAGGAATATTTTTTAATAAAAATTGCAATCCTTAAATGACAACTCAAAATTAAAAGCTACCAGTTGTGAATGTATATCCTTAAATTCCTATCTAGTTTTATAGACAATCTTTCAGAATAAATTTAAACATTATATAAATTATCAATAAAACAACTTCAGAAAATGGATAAAAATTATTTAAATTAAAAATCATCTTAAAAGAATGTTTATATATGAATATTTCAATTTTATAAAATAAATTTAACACATTTTTATTATCGATTAAAAAATCAACATACTTAATGATATTAGGTAGATAATTCAAATATTTTATAGGCTTTACAAGTTGTTTTAGGTTATAAAATTTATAAAAGGGCTAATAAGAATGATTTTCATATAATTATATAATCATATAAATTAATTTAATAATTTTTATTAAGCTAATAATTATATGAAAAAATCTATATTTTTATATTAATCCATAGATTTTTAATTAATTATATAAATTGTATTTAAATAAATTAAATAATGATTGGGTCTGCTTAATTCTTTATCTATTTGAAAAATACATACTGTTTTCAAGATCTATGAATTAAATTTGTCGAATTCAGTGAAAATTAAAACATTGATGTGCCATTCACTTAAATAACAAATGAGCGAATATTGATTAATCATTGTATTCATAGAATGAATATCCTTCTATTAATACAATAATAATCCTTTTGTTTTTGAAGAATTGAAACATTTAAATGAGTTACGATTATTAAATTAACTCCATTATATTTATAATCATATAAATAATTAGTCTCGAACTTATTTACAAATCCTTTTGGAATTTGATATTATTTTTATGAACTATAAGTTAGCAGACTTCATTAGTAATTACCTTAATGAATAGAAACTATTAACTGATAAATACACACGACTTTTTAATCAGATTAAACTTGGAGATAGTAGTTTAAATAAAACCAGTAGTTCTCAAATAAATTTGAAAAAAAGATCAAATGATTAAGAATACATGTATAATTCAAACAAGGAAAAGACGAATTGTTAATATTGTGGTAAACAGTATACAAGTTAATTGCCTTTAAGGAATCACATGAAGAAATTTCATCTTTAAGATAATTATATATCAAGAAATGAACTTTCCACAAAATAAAGTACACCATATGATGAAGATTATGATTAAAGGAAGTAAGATTATTCAAGGAGAGAGGACAGTTACAATGAAGCAGACGAAGAATTGAGACAAAAATTACTTAGGAATGTTTAAGCTATTGAGAAAAGGGAAAATGGAAGTTAATCTATGCTTGAATAATAAAATTAGGAATTTATTATAAGTGGATTGGATTCAGATTCAAGTTCAGATGATGAATGAATAATTAATTGATTTTGAAATCCTTAATTATATAATATTAATATTATTTATTAATTGTATATACATCTGAAGTCCATTCAATTTATTGCTTGTATATTTTAAAATATTAAACATATTAATATATTCTTAAATTAAAAAGTATAACTTATGGATCAGGCAAATAAGTTATAATACCAATAACAAGTAGAAAAATACCTAGAAAGAAACAAAGTGTATAACATATTTGAGGATATGCTAAAATCACTTATTATTAAAAAGCCTGATGATCCAATACAATTCTTGATTAATAAATTACAAGAATCTGAAAGTACTTTTCAACTCTCATTCAAGCAAAAAAAATATTCGTAATAGGACCACCAGGATCCAAATTACTAGAACTTTCTCTTACACTTGCTGAATATATGAATTTTCATTGTGTTTCTATTGGTGATTTGATTGAAAAAGAATTAAGCAAGAAATCAGAATTAGTATTAATATTATATATATCTCAAGAGTTAATAAATTTAAGATTCTTTGGATAAATTTTAATATGTTAGTGATGACATTGTTATTAATATTGCATTAAATCAAATTTAGCATTTGGAAAACGATAAAAAAAGCTATATTTTTGAAGGATTTCCAAAAACAAGAGTCTAAGGCTTAGCATTTTAAAAAGAAGGAATAATTCCTGATGCTTTTCTTATACTGGAAATGTCTGAAGAGAAAATCTATTAATGTTGTCTAAAAAAATTAGATACAGAACCATTTAGCAAATTAAGTAACAAAGAAGATTTAGCAAGAAATCATTCATTAGAATACTAATTGAATCTGAAATAAGTTAAGGAAATTTATAAGAATTAATACTTTTCTGTTGATGGAGAAAAGAACTATGAATTAGAAGATATGGCTGTATATTATACATAATATTATTCTAGTAACGACTTAAATATAAATTATACAATAATGCACCAACAAGAGCTGGAAGAATTCTTGTCATTGGACCTCCAGGATCAGGTAGATCTACATTAGCCAAACATTTATGTTCAAGATATGGATTTGTTTATATTTCGACAAGAGAATTGATTTCAAATTTGGTTAATAAAAAAGGTACTACTGGTAAGGAAGCATTTGAAAAAGTTAATAAAGGGGAACTTATAGATGATAGAATTATTAATGCTCTCATCAAGGAAAGAATTAATTAAACAGATTGTCAATTATAGGGTTATGTTATTGATGGGTATCCTAAAACTGAATAATAAATGGAATCATTGAATGAACTCAATATTCAACCCACTTTAATAGTCATTATTGATGCTGTGGATGATATTGTTTTAAAGAGATTAATTTAGAGAAGAACTGACCCTGTGTCTGGAAGAATCTATAATTCTATTGATGAAGCAGACAGAGAAGTCAAATCAAGATTGATAATTGCTCCAAATGATAAAAGAGAAGTTGTGCAACTTAGGTATTATCTTATTTATATTCACTTAGATTGAAAAGATGGGATGATTTAAAATAATTAATTGATGGAACACCAAAATACGCTTCAGTTATTTTTAAGGCTTCAGGTGATAATCCATTAAATAATATTATTGAATCAGTATGTTATCATTTAGAGAAAATGAATTGATATATTTTTGTTAGATTATTAATAACAATCATAATATTTTTTATTAAGGATAAGATTTTTTATCGAATATATTCAGTATAAATAATATATAGTATTTATATTTTAGTTTGTAAGTGACTATTAGGAAAAGAGTATTCATGTAAATTAAAATATTTTGGATATATTTTGAAATATAATTAGAGTCATTCTATTCTAAAAATAGATTAATAAAAAATGCTCATTGCATTTTATTTAGTGCGCTGTAAAGATACATTTATTTTAAATATAATTAAAATGAACTCGATTAAAATGGAAATAAATAATCCATCCTTCAAGATTGCTGTAATTCCTATGAATAAAAACATTAAGAAAAAGAAATAAAATTCTAAAATCAAGGAATAATATCAAAATTCAATACCCTAGCCAAAAGAGTTTGTGACTACATTTATTATTCCAAGAAATATTAATCAGAACTAATACTTTAGAACGAAGCAAAATATACAATTTGCTCTTACAACATTCAATGATAATACTCTAGGAGAATTAGGAATCAACATATTCAGTATTGGGTACTCTGTTTCTCAAACTGATATTCAACAACAGAAAATGGAATATCATTTTTAAGCTAGAGACTTTGAATTAGCTGATATATCCACGATATTTTAGATGTTAAGAATATTGAACATGGATAAGGCTTATAATAATTTGAGTAAATACTTATAAAGATATGACTAAATAACATCGATCCCATGTTCAAAAGACTTTGAAATATCTCAAGTGGAAGAACTTGCTTCTAAATATCCATATGAATGTTATACATTTCGACATGAAAGAAACGAGTCTGTTATTCTAAAATACACTCATAATATAAAATTTCTACATTTGATGGGTATCACAATTGACATGATAGAAGAGTATTTAAGAGAAACAAAAACACTTCCTTGTGCTATAAGAGTCAATAATTATTTAGAAGTTTGGCATCAAGTATTTGAAGCAGTTTCAAACGACTAATAAATATTTGAAATGGAAGTGTAAAATTTTAATGGAAAAAGATTTTATGTTAAAATAAAATAAGCACAAATTTTTGTAGAAAAAGATGGAAAACTGTATGGGTATTTATATTGGATATACTTAACTGATACTAATCAAAATTTAGCAATAAAAAACTATGAAGCTGAATTAGAAAAATTATATCCTAAGCCAAAAGAATGTCTTTACAAACAAATAAAATGATAAAAAAGCCAATTATTTTAAAATCATTATTATCTTAAACTTACAGATTAATATATATTTTAAATGAACCTTAATCTATGATTCCTGGTTACAGTTTCTAATTTATAATACTTTTTTGTTATATATTTATAGAAAAAGAATTCTTAAAGTCCTCTAATAAATTAATCAAAGATTTCTAACTTTTATAATTATCAATAAAATAAAATAGTTTAAAAATAGAAATCTCAATAAAATCAATTAGGTTTCTCAAAAATACATATGTCTTTATTTGTTGCAGCAATAATAGTATTACCAGAAGTTGTTATAGACATTGTCATTATTCCTCTCTCACATTCAATAGACACATCTCCTTAATGACTTTCATTTAAATTCCAGAATTTAATTTTTGCATTTTTCCCGCCAGTTATTACGGTCTCACTATCCAAAAATCTTACACTCCAAATAATATCACCATGATCATACTATATCATTTTATTATTGTTTTGATTCCACACTCTTATTATTTTATCATATCCTCCTGAAGCAATATATTTACCATCTTTAGAAAATGCTACACTTCTTATAGTATTTTGATTTCCAGAAAATATATTAATTAATTATTTAGTCTAAATATTCCATAGTCTCACAGATTTGTCTTTTGATCCTGAAACTAGAAAATGAGTATAAAAAGATAATGATGTTACATAATCTGTATGACCTTTTAATATTCCAATTTATTTCCTATCACTTTAAGACCATAGACCAATCAAATTATTTATTCCTGATGCTAAATTTGTGTAGTCTTAATTTAATTCAAGAGAGAACACTGGATCATTAGTATATTTGATATCTAACACTTTCATTGTTTTATCATCCCAATATTTAATTGTGTTATCATCACTACCAGAAATAATACAATTTTATCCATAAGCTACACACCAAACAATTCCTTCATGTGCTTGAATTGGATTACCAATCTATACATAATTTATTAAATCCCATAATCTTATTTACATATCACCTCCTCCAGTGACTGCCCTTTTGCCATCAGGAGATATATCTAGTGAATAAATTACATCATCATGTCCATTGAAATTCTTTATTTATTTCCAAAGAAATCTATGATCCAATTAGTGTACTTTAGTATTTAATTCTTCTAATTATAGCAGTGAATTATTCATCCTTTCTACTAAAAATTACAAATCTATTTCTTAATCTTGTTACTTTGGTGTCTATAAATTAAATTCAGATAATGATTAAGCTATATTGAAAATGTTATTGGTTTTTAGATTTTCTTTAAGTTTATGTAAGGTTGGCGACAATATTGCAATTAGATTTAATTCTATTGATTCAAGTAGACAATTTATTTTTTATTTTGATGATGAGAATTACCTCCAAATTTCAGATGATTAATCATTTAGCTACTCTATACATTCCTTCTCTTTCTATTTTATCCATCTATTTGCATCTTCAAAATCAACTAATTTATGGGAATTATGAAGTTGACTAGAAATACATTTGGTGCACAAAAGTCTTCTCCCTACTTAACATTCCTTTTATATGCATATAAAATAGCATTTCTTATTATGCTTATCACAATGTATCTTTGATTCTCTTATTTCCATTAAGAAAAATATAAATTTAGAATCATTCTATGTACAATAATTTTAGAGATTGATTTATGTCATCAATGACATATTTGAATATTCCAAAATTATTATAAAAGATAAAGCTTTTAATATAATGTCAATGTTAATGCATAAGTCATATATTCATATTTGTTGACTTATATAATAATAAGTATATAATTATATTAATATGATTGAATATATGGTTTATTTATTCATTAAAATTATAATTATATTCAAAAATCAATACTTGTTACTAATGTATAAATTTATCACCAATTTAAGTTGAATAAATTTATAAACCTGTAAATCTATAAAATCATCTTGAATTAAGAATTCAATATTAGTATTCAATTAAAAATATCAAAAATCTAATATTTTATTATAATTCCTTTTGAGTAATTCAACATACCAAATAGTAAATTGTTAATAAATTGACTAAATGAAAAAATTTTAATTTTAATCTGAATCCTTATAAATTGATGAATAATATGAAGATTTCTCTTTCTCACTTTTGAATTTTCTCAAAATAATAAAAATTTAAATAAATTGTTTTACCTGACTTATTGCTTTTAATCTAAAAATTAGAAATAAAGAAAATGCAAAAATGTATATTATAATAATTAAAAATATAAATATATTTATTAAGATTATATGCAAAATTTAAAGTTTAAAAATCAATAAGACATAAAAAATAAAAATGTAAAATGTAAAATAATATTATTTGTTTATCAAATTTAACAATAATAATTGTTTTTATTTATTTTATTTATATATGTCCAATTTCAAATTACTTATGAAAATGCCTCAATCAAAACTGGCTTCTAAATGTTTAGCTCTTGAAGAATTATTATAAAGGTATTATGAATTTGAAACAGCTCATTACGATTTATAAAGCAAATATCAAATCTTATTAGAAAAATATGAGAGTATTTGCAAAAAAGGTTAGTAAACTAATGACCTTCATACAACTGCAAGTTAATCAAATAAAAAAGATAAATCAGAAATTGAAATTGGAGATAGAATTGAAATTTATGCGTTGGAGGATATTGAAACTAACCAATTCATTAAAAGTCTTTAAGATTAAAATTTGAGAATGCAAGAATAGTTAAAATAGAGTCAAATTGAATATGAAAAATTAAAATTTAAGTAAATATTAAAGTAACATTAGATTTGATCAAACATATTCATCTCCTGAGAAAGATAATTAAGAAGGTATAATTTCAACTTTTAAGTGTGAAATAAGCCGACTAAATAAATTAGTAATTGAAATTTAAATATTTATAGGTTTCATAATTAAGATTAGAGATTAGTAATTCCAAAACAAGAGAAGTGGATGAAAATTGGCTAAGATAACAGCTTAATTAATAAGAATTATTAAAATAAGGAAAATTATTAAGTCCATAGTATGAATCAAATGAAGTAACAGAATTGTGAGTATTTTAATGATTTTATTTTTCAATTATTTTGTAAATCAATCCTATGTATAACTTAACTCTAATGGATTCATGAATTTATTAATTTTTTAAGATGATTTTGATTGAGTGATTTCTGTTATGAATTTTTAATGTTAAATCAATTTTGATGGAGTATTCTTAAGAATTATATTAGGATTTTGTATTAATTAAATGGAATTATTATTATCTTTAGAAAACTATCTTTAAAAATGATATTTTGAAGATTTAGTATGACGGATACTATTACTATTTCTATCATCAAAGGAGATGCTTCTGTGATTGAGATTTTAAACTTTTTAGATTCTTGTACTTACTTATTTTTCTGAAATTTCCTTTAATTTTATTCTTAAAGCATGTGTAGGTTGTAGTATAAATTCTGATAAAGTTTTAGCAGACTAGATGATTTTTTATGCTTCTTCATTTTTTTTGAAAAACTCCATTTCTAGACTTAAGTTATGATATGCAGCAATTAAAATTTAGGCTCTATCAATTTTCAAATATTCATCAAATTAGAAATTAGTTCTCATAATATATATGCATAATATACCCTTCAGATAGTAAATTACTCTGCATTTTTTAAAGGTTTAATTAGTTTTACAATTCTATATTGTATTTCAAACCTTCAATTAATAATTCATGTTATAATAGTATTATGGATAGATAGATGTTCTACAATGCTACATCATGGCATTCTAAAGATGATTAAATGGCACTGATATTTAAATAAGTGTTTGCTAAAGATGAATCAAGATTTTATCTTTGATATAATAAGATTAATTACGCATATTACATTTTCAAGGCTTGGTTTAAATAATTTAAAGCTCTTTGTGGTTAGTTTAATTTTTAATGATATAAAGCAAGATTATTTATAGTTTGTAACTAATATGATTTTGCATATATACTTTAAGGTTTGGTACTAGAAGGCATATTTATTAAGCCTTCTGAAGGTGATAATAACAAGATTCTAATTTGTTTTATTTTAAGTCTGACTCTGCTTTTTGATTTAGCATCATTCCAAGTTATTATTAATATTTAAAGACCTAGAATGAGGATTTGATTTAGATACAATTTTTTTTTATCTGTTTGGGTCAGATTTAAAATGCCTGATTTTATTTTCAAGTCTTGAAATAGAATCGACTAGACTAAATTCGTTGTTATTAATTTAATTTATCATTGATTTTTATAATTAGAAGATTAACTCACTAAAGGTGGTGGTGAAGATGGCATTTCTTTTTTATTTTTTGATGTATTTCCAAGGAAATTATCATTGAAGTTAGATTCCAAATAATCTTATGATGAAATACCTTACATATATGTTTAATTCTATTGAGGATTTTGTTATTGGGAAAAATTCATAAATATACCTGAATTACCCATAAATGCTTATTGTTGATATTAGCTATAATTAATAGATGGTTGCTATTAAGGTTGTTATTAGATTGGTTTAGCTTCTTGCTTTATCTATTTTCCATCTTAACTATTATAAGCAGGAGATATTTATATGATCTAATCTACTAAGGCATTATAATCTTATTGTAATTCTTGTTTTCCATCTTTAGGTAATCTCATTAATTTATTATACAATTTATTTAAAACTCTGGGAACAATTTTCAATGAACAATTCATGTATTTCTATCTCCATAATTCTAAAAGTTATTTTTTAAAACTATGATAAATTTAAATGTTTTTATTACTCTTTCTAACAATATTATTGAATATGATCAGTTATTAAAATTATTTCTTAATCATTTGAATCATTGAAAAAACATTTGATTGTATATCCACAACATATTAAATATAATAATAATTTCTTGAATCCTTCTACATTCTAATTCTAATTAAATTATTTTAATATTTAATTACTTCTTAGTTGCTCAAAAAATCTTATTTAAAGTAAGCTTAGAAATCTGAAATCAATTAATCATCATATCTCCATTTCTATTCTTCAATTGTATGTAAAAAGAATATGATTTCTAACTCATTAAACATAAATTTTTTAGTAACACCTCTTAACATTTTAAATAATGGATATTGAGTAGCTATTGTGGCTGCTGCATCTAATTGTGAAAATCTGCTTAGTAAAACATTTGCCAAATATGAGTAATCTTCATTCGCATATCTTATACTCCTTGCATCATATTCTTTCTGAAGCACTTATTTCGATTTCCTCTATTCCACCTATATTATAATTCTTATTAGTTACTTCAACACTAGTGATTAAGACACCACCTAACTCTGAGCTTTAAGTAATAACTAACTTTTTGCCTATATTATCATCAACGTGATATCCATGGATATAAGGTCTAGAATGATTGCTCACTATAAATGTCTAATTTTGTTTGCTCATCTAAAAATTAGCTGCATAATAAAAATATATGGTCAGGTATGAAAGGATGATAATAATTAATTAATTTACCTATGCTGTCTGAGGAACTCTTAAAGGAAATGATCAGAAAATTAAATAATAATATCTAATTACAAAATATATCTCTTATATAGGTGTTTCAATTAAAGATTCCTCAAAAAGCATTCTTTTTCATTTTCATTATTTTAATATTTTAATCAAACTCTTATACTATTAATATACCATCTTTAAGGAGAAGAATACAAATCTGAATTCTATATTTTATTTTAAATTTGTCTCAATTCTCTTATCGATTCTATTAGAATTAAATTATTTTATCTATTTTAAAGAAATTTAAAACATCTTATTGTAGTATTATAATTAAAAACTCAGAATCGAAAATAATTAAAAAAAAAAATATTCTATTTTTTAAAGGAAAATGATTTTAATATTCAAATAATCTCATTTTCTTTTACTTGTTCTTTTAAGTCTTAACAGAGATCAGCCAATTACTTATCTAACTAAGTAGATTTAAAATATTTATTACAGTATTCATTTCTTTAAATAGGTCTTCGTAATTTTCATTTGCTTATCTAAATAAATCAGCAAGCTATTCCTAATTTTTTTTTTCTTCATCGGAAATACTATTTTTATTTTTATTTGGATACTCTTATGGATTTTCTTATGGTTTTTTTTATGGTTTGTCATTATCATTTTTACTTATATATGGTTTCTATTTTTCATCATATGATTAACTTGAACAACTATTTCCCATATTTAGTATAATTATATTAATTTATAAAAAATATTAATAATTATTTATTTGTTTTTAAACATAAGTATAAATATAAATTTTTAGATAGATAGATATATATATATATATATTTTAAAATCTCAAGTAAACTCATAATTATTTTTTGAATTTCATCTAAGAGGAATGATTAAATTGAGAATTCATTTTTTGAGGATCTAAATATTAGAATGGTTTGTCTAAACATTCTTTAATGAATAATTCCCAATTTTCTGGTTTTATTTTTTGTTTTTCAGCTTATTTCCATAAAACTGATACAGGAATTTTTTAAGCTGGATTAGATTATGGATAATTTAATTTAAGATTTAGAACTTTTGAATAGAAACATCTTTGAGCAAATGTTTTTGGATTAGATTATTCATCAATACTTTCAGCATATTGTTCACTAATATGTGTTAAAATTTCACTTTTTTATTATTATTATGTTAATCCATATTGAGAGATTGGGCTATTTTATGAAAATTTAGTAATATAAGTCATTCTGGGATCAGGTGATTAACATTGATTAAGTTTATTAAGACGATTAAATTTATCAGATGACTCTAACTTATTTTGAATTAAATTTTATAAGTTGTTATTACTAGTCGTTTGAGTTGAACCTGTTGAATTTTTGGAATTTTTTGAGATGAAAGTAGTATTTTATTAAGGATAAAAGTTCTATTGTGATTATGTAGGTCTGATTGCCTTGAGGTTTAATTGATTTTGAATGATACTCATCCTTTATAGAACAAGTGAATGTAATCTTTCAATGTATAAAGATTAATTTATAGATTGACTTGGTTCTTAACTTAAATTAAGTAATTCTTTTTCGAATTCCTTTAAAGATGCTTCTTCTACACAACCAATTGTATTGATTTAAGTAACCAATTCACAAATACGACATAATCTTTGAGTGTGTTTGTACGATTTGTTCTATAAATTAGCTTTCAATTTGCTTAATTTGAAATCATTCTCTTCAAAAAATACAGTTGATTATGAATATTTAAGAACTTTGTTAGAAACTTGAGTGCAAATTTAGGCATGTAAATCAATTTTATCAAAGGGTATAAATTCTTCACAATTAATGCAAGGTGCCAAAATAGTACTTTTTTCTTTGGTTCTGGTTGGAACTGTAGAACTTTTATTGGTTCGGAACATCTATAAAAATAATAATGAATTAAATTGAATTAAATAAATCTAAAAATTTTGAATATCTATAGAGATGATGTATTAATAAAGTATATTATTATGTATACATAACATAAACTATATCTTAAATATTATATCTATTTTTATAATCATACTTAAAAACATATATTATTATATTAGAATATAATATTAATAAATATGGATAAAGATGATTCAGGCTCATTATTAGAAATATCGGAATCAGATCGATAAACTAATTTATTACTCTCTAATAACTTAACAGACATCTTTTGTTCAGATTATTATAGTCGGTTTAAAAATAGTACCAATATAAATGAACCTTCTATGACAATGTCTAGAGTTTCATAATTAGATAAAATTTCAGAAGATAATTCCAATACTACTCATATAAAAATTATACACATCACTGAAAGGTTGACCTCTGAAATCCAAAGAAATCAAGTACTCCTTATTTATTATAAAGCTGTTAGAAAATAAAATATCTGTATAAGATATAAGAATTAAAGAATTGCAAGACTAATTATAAGCAAAAGAGTTTTAACTAAAAGACACACTTAATTTAAATCTAAAATTATAAACTTAAATAAACAAAGAGCAAGATAAGATAAGACAATATATCAAATAAAATAAAGAACTCAAATTTATAATCAAGTATCACACTATTTATTTTAGTTCCCTCTAAAATCCATCAAACATTTCAGACCTAAGAACTGAAACCTTATAATCTACTTTAGAATGTCCTTCAGTTAGACCTATATCTCAAACAAGAGGAAAAAGAGCATAAAATAATTCTCACTCATACTCTTCATCAAAAGCAGTTTTTACAAAAATGCTCACTGAAGATTCATAATAGAATTTGAATGAAAAAATAAAAGAAGCTCTCTCATTCTTAAATTAAAGAGTTGACAATTAAAGGAGAGATCAAAAAATTAATGATAAATCCAAATATTATAGATCACAATCTAATTTTTGGTCAAGTGTTACTACTTCTCCAAATCCTGGAAGAAGCAATCATACTTAGAATAACATAAGTTTAACTAAATTATAAAGTACTGATAAAAAATTAGACAATACTTTAATATTACTTAAAGCAATTAGATAATAATGTAATCAAATTACAACATAAAAAAAAGGATGATGAAATCTAAAATTTAATAATTAACATTAAACTTTATGAAATATTTAATATATGTTATTTATTTTAATTAACTTATTAAAAAGAAACACTTTAATTATTATAATATTACATATAATCAAATTTTTAGTTAAACTTTATTCAAATGAATCTTTCTTAATATTTCAATATAGTAATTAAAGTTCATTTAGAAATTTATATTTTATGTATGAATAATAAATTTTAATATATAACTGAATTAAATTAATTATTAAATGTCAAATTATACTAATGTTCCTTAACATAACTTTTTGAACAAATAATACTCTCGTCTATCACCTAATTCTACAGAATGGGCTCGTATTGAATATTTATTGCAATTATCATCTGGTTATACATCTGCAACAGTGAAAAATATTTGGACTATTACAAATCCACATATGACATAAACTTTTGAAAAAGCAAGCAAAGTATATATATTTATATAAGAAATTAGGGTTTGTTAACATTAGATTCTTGGTTAGAGATTTCTTTATTGGATGAAAATAATAGGATGGAAAAAGTTTGTACTAAAGGATTTGAATTTCCATAGACTGGACTTCGTTTTCCAACTGGACATATTAAACTATAGGATAATATATAACCTGGTAGAGTTTATGAGTTATTATTATTAAAGATTGCAGGTAACTACTAAAATATTTAGGTATTAGTTGGAAAATCATATTGTCTTCCAGATAAAACATCAATGAAAGATAAATATAAGTTAATATAAGGATTTGATAGCATATACTTATATAATGAAGATGAAGATTCCATGACAGGCACATTTAAACATGATTATGTATTATTTGATAATGGAAGAGTATTACCATGTTATGTTGTATAATTTGAATTTGATTAAAAAAAGGAAGACAATTTAAATGTAAGTTATATTATTGAAATTAGTCTCCATTTTGTGATATTTGTAATGATAATACAGCAACAATATATTGTAAAGCAGATGATATGAATTTATGTTATGATTGTGATGAGGAACATCATCTAAAAGGAGGTAAATTAGTTTCAAAACATTAGAGAATACCTATAAATGAAGTAATATCTTATTTAATTTATTAAGAAACCAAAAACATTTGGTAATTGTTAATAGCATCCTGATTAAAAGTTAGAGTTATTTTGTACAATTGATAGAACTCCTCTTTGTTTATATTGTAAAATAGGTGGATCTCATTCTTCAGGAGAGAGTGCAAATCATCCTTTGGTTAAGATTTCAGATGCATATATGAAATCTTTGGTTGAATCTAAAGACATTGATCCATTAATAGAGAAACGAAAGAATTAATTGGCAGAATATCTATAATAAATTGATTATAGTATTAAAGAAGTTAATAAAAATGCTTCTATTATTGAAGGCAGGATTTATTAAGTGTTATAAGAAGCCTTATTATAATTACAGGAAGAAACATAAAAGAAAATGAGTTATTTAGTTGGTGATTAATTAGAATTAAAGAGATAATATGATTAAATATAATGGCTAGAATCATTTCTTAAATATTAATAAGAAGTATTAACTCCTGCTGATTATCTTAATGCTTGGTCAAGACACATAGGACTTAGGAATGAAATACTCAATATTTCTAATGTTCCATAATTAACAATCGTGGAACCTGATTTGAGATTAGAAGGTAAGTTAAGTGTAGTAAGTGATTCAGTATAATTTAAAGATACTAAAGAATAATAAGATGAATAAGATTTTATTGATTAGTAAATAAATTTATTAATTTTAGAAATTCATTAATAGGTACAACTAGATTTAGATCTAATATTTTTGGCAAACATTAAGTAAGTGATAAAAATCAGAGATTAATGAAAACAATTATTCAATAGAATGTTTAAAAAGAAAGTTAAGGGTAATAATTACATTATTATGTAGACCTTAATTATTATTATTACAATAAAAACAGAAATTGTAACAATAAGCATAAGCATCTAGGGTTTTCCAATAATTATAAAATGATACTATTTAAGAAAGCTAAATTAATGATTCCTAAAATAGCTCATTTGCATAATGATATAGTTACATACTTGTTTATATAATAAATCAGAACATTACAATTAAGATACTAATGTTGTCTCTTGAGCCATTTTTCAGAGCAAACTGTAATAGCTCTTTTGTCATTTCATCAGAATTCTTTAATCCTTTAGTTATATCAATTGCTTTCTATAAGAATTTAAATTAAAGAGAATTACTTAATCATCTACAACATCCCAAAGTCCATCAGAAGCCATAATTAAATATTTGCATTAGGGTGTAATTTCTTACACTTTTAGGTCAGGTTTAACTGAAACACCAACAGTTTTTAAATCTAGATCTCCAAATGCTCTTGTAACTGCTAACTGGCCCATCACTCTACCTCTCACAATTGTACCTCCTTCCCGCCTTTAGTAAGCATAATTACATCATTTAATATTACTTAACTCTAGCTTATTCTTCAGGATCAATTCCTTTATGATCGACTGTCATTCTAACTGCTTTACCATCAATATTCATCACTGCTCTTGTATCACCTAAATTTGCAATATAACATTTTCTTTTATTATCTTCTTTCCTTAATAAAGTTAAACAACAAGTGGCACCTATTTCTGCAGCTCCAACTAATTTTAGTTAATCATCCACTTTTTTGAATATCTATTCAAAATAATCATTCGGTTTCAATATATTAAATTACTTGAAATCTCTCAGAAAGGTCTTTATTTATATTTAAATTAAGCTACTTCTGGCAGAATTTTTGTGATGTATTCAACTACATCAGTCCCTCCATGACCATCAAATACAGCAAATAGACAAGCAGTACCATCTTCAAAACAATTATCTTTATAATAATGGGCTGATCTTATTTAGAGTATTGTATACAATCTTCCATTTGATTTCGTATAGGATAGTTGGTATCTTCTCTATAAGCATATTCTGAACAGCAAGCCAATTTTTGCAAAAATTCAGATTTGACTTTACTATTTATCATTATTAGATAAAATAAATACTTCACTTTAATCCCATAAAATGAATTAAAAAAAGTATGACTTATTATTAATAAATATTCTGTATTAATATCATGATGATTAGAACCGTGTTTCACATGATCTTAATGATTTCACTTGTTTTACTGATATTAATATTAATAAATATTTAGTTGATGATAAAAATTAACACCATCTTTCGAATGAAAGCAATGATTTTAAATTCGTTACTGAAAATAACTTTTTAATATTTAGTTTTTTTAACAAATATATACTATATTTGGTTTATTATGATATGAATAAAATTATCCTAAATTTTTTTATCATTTTTATTTAAAATATCATTTCAAATCCAAACTTAAGAATATATTTTTCATTTTTAATAAAAATTTTATCTTATTCATCATAATGACATATTTTGACAAAATGTTCATCCTATTATTAGTGGTGTAAATATTCTTAATATTATAAGAAAAGTACAAAGTTAATGCTAATTTTTAACATTTATGCCACTTATAAATCCATCAGACCCTAAAGAAGTATTTGAACAAAGCCTATAGGAAGAAGTTGTTTAAGGCTAAAAGAATGTAGGATTTGGAGTTTGGATTAAATATCAACCATTTATTGATATGACAGATTTGAGTATGTATCCTAATATACTACAATAGCCGATAGGACTTCCTAAATAGTTACATCTACAAATGGTTAAATTATTATTCAGGGAGGATAGTTTATTTATTCTATGGAATAAAGTGTCAATAAGTTTAAAATGGTAGTTGTTTCAATTAAAATTGATACAACTGCCTAAACTATATAGCATAATATATTTTATTCTTTTAAATCATCCATAAATACTTTATCTTTTACATTTGATAGTACAATTTATGAAGGTTTATGGGTGATGTTTTATGCATATTATGATTAGATTTTAGGAAAATCTACATTCGGATATTATAATACTTTAGAAAACATACCATCATAAACTATAAATGATATACCTCCTTTTGTAGTTCACATAAAACATAACATAGGTGGGTTTTATCAATATACAAATTAAGATGGAGCAATTGTTGTATTAAATCAATTTACTGGTTTCATGTCTACTACATTTACAACTAAAGAAGAAAATATGTTTTCAAATCTTGCATCTTGTGACAATATTCTTGAATATGATACTTGTTATGATTATTCATACATTGTAAGTGAAAAAAATAAAGCAATGAATGGTATAGATATTATTAGAATGTCAACATATTCAATTAGAGATCCTAGGTATGTATTGAAAGGATGGCTTATACTTGAATAACTAAGCTAAGCAGAATTAAAAACTGTGATATTTAGAATAACAATCAATAAAGATTATAGTGATGATATGTATATTGGAGATAGGGAAGTTCATCTTTAATATTTTTAAAGTAGTTTACCCTTTAGAAATGGTTTTGAAATTTCAACATATTCTTATACATTCCCAGCAAAAGGAAGGTATAAGACATAAGAAGATCACAAAATTACAAAATTTGAAGAATAATTTTCAGAATTATTTATAAAATGGCATTATTTCTAATATGAAATTGGAACTTAAAATAATAATGGAAAACCTATGCTCTCTTTATATTTTCCTACAATTTAATAACTTCAACAATATAAATGGTCTCTACCTGTTAAACATTTTACAGGAGTAGTGTATTATGTATCTTTAGGAGGAGATGATTATTCACAAAGAATAATGAAAGGATATGTGAGTGATGTAGTAATAGAAATATTCTGTTAACCAGTTGAAGCATTATTAATTCCATCATGTCATTATACTTGTTTAACATGTGATGGTCCAACATAATATAATTGTTTAAGTTGTCCTGATAATAGTTTTAGATAACTTTAAGAAACTGAAAAGACTTGTTTTTGTTAATAGAGATTTGTTGATTAAGATGGTTAATAAGAATGTAAATCAATTTATTAGGCATTTCCTCATATTACTAAAAGTGAAGTTGAATTGAAATGTTCAAAACCAGGATATAGTAATTGTGTTAATCAAAATATTGAATGTAATTTTGGATATTTTTAATTTGAATAAAATTGCATTTAATGGTAATATATTTGTCTATTTTAGTCCAAATTATTTTGATATTTTTACTAGAACAACACTAGCATGCTTTGATTGTATAATTGAACCAAAGAAATTTGCAAAAACACTTAAATGTACTCAAGATGCATAAACTTATCATTCTCAAACTGAATATACGTTTACTATTTCTAAAAGAAATATTAATGATGTTAGTTATTTTGAAATTACAAAGGATGGAAATAAAAACTATACTATTAAGTTATGCAAAGGATTTATAGGGAAAGATACTTGTAAAGAAGGATATTTTTATGAAAATAATTAATGCAAATAATGTTTAGATGGTTGTTAAACTTGTATTTCTAATTATAGATGTAATGAATGTTTACCAGGTTTTTATTCTGACTATGAAAAATTATGTCATAAATGCCTTAATTGTAAAACTTGTTTATTAAATAATGGAATTGTGTGGTGTAATACTTGTTATGGAACATAAGAATTATAATTTGGTAAATGTATATCATGTGGTGTTAATTGTAAGAGTTGTAATTCTAATGGATATTGCAACTATTGTAATGGATCACCCTCTTAATATTATATATCTTTTGATGGTAAAAATTGTGAACAATGTAATATTGAAAATTGTATTTATTGTTTTCAATATATGATAAATGGAGGAGTCTATACTTCTACTTTAGATATTTAATTTAATATAATAAATTTTGATGTTAGATAAGTGTTTTTAGGTTGTGCTTTGTGTAAATAAAACTATTATTTTAATTAAAGTACTTAAAAATGTGAATTGAAACCAGTTAATGAAGATTGTGATTTTGCATTAATTTTAAATGATTCTACTCAAAAATGTATAATTAGTTCAAATAATAATGATGCTGTCTAATATATTGATTGTCCAACTCTATAATTATGTAAATAATGCATTAAAAATTATATTGAAAGTGATAGTTTTTGTATTTTATGTGAAGATGGCTATTATTCTGGTGTTTTAACAGGCTAATGTTAATAATGTATACATACCTGTAAAACTTGTATTCAATAAAATAAGTAATATCGTGATTTCTGGAAATGGTAAATTAAAGCCTTTTATCGATTCTTTCTGAATTCTAATAATGATCATTCTTTTGAAACCTATGCTTCCACTAATGCAGAAGCTGATCTAGAATTAATATGTACTTCATGTTAAATAGGATATGTTTTGCATTTAAATAAATGCATCAAGGATTGTGATGAAAACTGTAAAAAATGTGAAATTATAAATGAAAAATCTATTTGTGTTTAATGTTATGAAACTTCATCAGGGTTTCTTAAAAGCTTAAATGCTTTAGGTTCATGTTTAACATGTCCATCTAATTGTTTAGCTTGTTTAGAAAGATCTTTAGAAGATATTTATGCTATAAATCCTTATTTTATTTTAACTAATTCAAATGTCTAATTTACTCGAAAATGTTATGAGAAGTCAAATAAGATTAATTTATAAGAAAACTATTTTTATGATTACTTCACTTAGATAATATCAATTTGCAACTAAAATATTTAATGTTATAATAAAATTTAAATTTAATAAAATATCTTTTGTGATGAGGATGATTATTTTTACAAAGAAAGAGAATCAAATGATGAATTTTTTATCTAAAAAAATATTAAGATTAATCAATTTTTAGATGATACTTACTTTGGTTCATTTGAAACATCTTCTCTCTATTAATATTTAAATGAGATATCAGTTAGATATGTTGAATATTAATTTACATTTATTTAAGGAAATCAACCTAATTGTCAGTTTAAAGATGAATTTAAAATTTATTCAACCTTATAATAAAATGTATTTGCTATATAATAAGTTGATTTAATATTAATTGGATAAAGTAATCCAACCCAAATATAAGTTCCTATTGAATTTAAAATTAGTAATTATACTACAGTTACTTTTCAAAATATCAAGTTTAACATTGCAAAAAATCAAGATATACTAAATACTTACTCTATTTTATCTTTGTTTAATATGAAATCGAAACTAAATTTAAAATTGATAAACTGTGGTTTTATTACTTAGAATGAAACTGATAAAAATTATTCTTTTACAATCAATTCAAATATTCCTTATTCATTATATATATAAGATTTAATTATTTCTAACTTTTACATTTACCATTCTGATATTTTCACATTAAAAGCTCAATAAAACATTATATAGAATATTATTGAAATACATAATGTTATTATAAAAGACTCTTATTTTTTCAATTCAACTTTCATAAAATATTTAGCTCAACTGAATGACTTATCTTTAAATTCAGAAATTAGTGAAATTTAAATTAAAGATACTAAATTTATAAAATCAAATTTTATTTATAGCAGCAGTTTATTAAATTATACAATTGGATCATTAGATATTAATTCTATTACTGTTGAAAATACAATGTTAAAATGGAATTCAAATTTTCTTGTACTTTCTTGTGCTGATTAGTCTCTAATATCTAACTTAATTTTAAATAACTCAATTCTAGATTTTGGTTCAAGCTTTTATTCTTCAAACATAATAAATCTTCAAAACATTATTATCAATAATACAAGTATTATAAATAGTAGTTTAATAACTAATAAAGTAGATTATACAAAGTCTAATTATGCATTATTATCATCATCAAATGTATTTCTGAAGAATTTATAAATTCTTAATGTTTAATATGAAACTTAATAGTAAATTTTAGTAATCATTTAATATGATGAAATAAGTAGTTTAAAATTTTCATTAATAGAATTCATATTACAAAATTGTTAAATAACTTTTAAAATTTAAACTTAGTAGATTTCTTACGAAAATTCAATGATTTATATTGAATGTTAAATTTGTTTTTTGGAAAATATTAAAATAGTTAGAGGATATGGATTACCAGAAATAACTTTAATGAATTCAGAAAAATTGGATATTAAAAATTTAGTTATATCATAAAATTCATAATTTTTACCAAAAGCTCTACATTCTTCTTTTGAATGTGTAAATTAATTTGCTATTTTAAATATGCACTTTTTCATATATATTGGATAATATAAGGATGTACTTATTGATTAAGTAAGTGTTTAAAATTGCTTAAGCTTTAATAGTCCATTTATTATATTCTAAGGATATGATATTATGTAAAAGTTACTTACTGAAACAATTATTATTTAAAATATCAATTTTATTGAAAATATTCTCATTATTTATGATTCAAATCAGCATACATCTTTGATTTCAATTGAGTCTGAATAAAAATCGAATATCATTTTATCTCTTGCATATTTTGCTTACAATCATTTAAATGAATATTTATAGGATTTAACTAGAGTTTCAGCTACAACAATATTCATTACATTATAATAAGGTATAGTTTTAATGGATTAATGTTAATTTTTCTAAAATATTGTTACTAATTCTAGTGATGCAATCCTTTATATTAAATCATCAACTTTGTAATTATAAAATTCTTAATTTTAAAATAATGGTTTTATTAATCTATCTAAAATTAGTAAGCATATACTATTTTCACCATCTTAAGATTAAAATAAGATGGATTACTCTTCCATATTTTAAATTAAATCTAATGGAGGAAATGGATTATTTATTATCCAAACCTTAAATGTAAATAATATTACTATTAATACATCCTACTCATATAATGGTGGAGGATTTTTTATTGCGACTCAAGGAGTAAGTACAATAAAAATAGCTAATTCATTTTTTTACAATACAATGTCTTCCTTAGATGACTCAGTTTATGCTATAGGTGGATGTTTATTTATTGATGCATCTTCTTCACAAATCACTTTTAAATTACATGATTCTATAATTGATACATCATATAGTCGTCATGATGGAGGAGTTATTTATATTACTCCATCACTCAGTTATAATTACATAGACATTTATAATTTAATTGTAAGAGAATGTTTTTCATTTTAAAATACATTTTTCTCATATACTCTTTCTAAGATAGAAACAATTTAATCAAATGTTATTTTTAAGAATATACAATTTTATACAACTGAAGATGGTTTTTAAAAATACTTTTCTTTAATTTAAGATTTATCAGAAGATGATGCTTCAAATATTGCTCATTCTAATCCAATGATATTTATATAATATGGAAACATTAGTATAATTAATTGTAGCTTTCTTTCTACTTTTATGTAATTCCTAATTAAGATTGAATAAGCTGAAAATATTATTTTTTCTAATGTAAAAGTAATTAATAGTACTGTTTTATAGTCACCAATATTCAAACTAAATTTAAGAACATGTAATAAATCAATTATATTATTATTTAGAATTTCGTGGATAGTTATAAATTTCTAATTTATAATTAACTAATGTCATTCAATAAACAAAAAACTATACCAATTATTGCACTTAATTAAATAGTACTTTTCATTTTGAATTGCAATGTCCTTCTTATTTACATTAAATTCCTTTAAAATTGTATGAAATAGATTAAACAAAATAAAAAGAAATGCAATTAAATTGTAATTAACTCTTAATATACTCAAATAAATAATTTAATTACAGTTTAATTGAAATAGATAACTTTAATATAACTCATTAATTAAAAGTTGCAAAAATGGAGTTATCAAATATTTTATGTGAAAACTGTTAATTTGGAATATTTAGAATTCTTGATATTTACTAATAGGATAAATAAATAATGAAGTTATCTTAAATTACTATTAAAAATAGTAGATGCGGAAATACAGGTTGTCTCTCAATTATAAAAAGTTTCAATGAATAAATCTTCAAAAAGAATTTATTGGGACTGACTAGAATACTTTAGTAACATGATTATGATAACCTAAATTTTAAATTAAACCAACAAATTAATATTGAAGATAGTTTATTTTTTAATAACACTTCATTTTATGGAGGATCTATATTAATAGTAGAACTTGGTACATTAATTAAGAAATGCATTTTTGAGAATAATTCAGCTTAAATAGGAGGAGCTATCTATTATTATTCATCAGAAAGTTAAATTTTTCTTCTGGATTCTTAAATTATACAAAATTCTGCTAAAGTAGCTGGAGGAGTGTTCTTAAATTAACAATCTTTGTAATTAACAAAGGAATTAGATTTTCAATTGTTAAACAATAATTCCACTATGTATGGTTAAGATGTGCTTGAAAATCCTCGGTCATTAACTCTTTCTATAGATGGAGGATAAACACTATTATAAAAATCATAAGTTTAAGTAACTGATAGCAGTATTATAGAGTAAATTATTATTAAGCCTTATAAAGTATTAGGTTATTCATAAAAAATGATGTATTTAACATTCCCTTCTGGTAGAATGATTGGCACTTATACATATTTTGATTAATATACATCTACTATAATTCCATATAATCTAACATTTAGGATAATAGCTTTAGATAAGTTCAATAAATAAAATAAAGGATTATCGAATTCATATTGTACTATAAATCCTATTGCCTTTAATATATCTTCTCAAACTGAAGAACCTAATGTTAATTACAGTCTTTCTTATTAAAATGTTACATTTAATGAAACTTCTGGTGATTACAATTTAGATAATTTAGTAATATATTTTAAACCAAATTTAACTAATAATCTTGTTCTTAGATTATCTATCGAATGCAATTAAATAATCATCCCTTTATATAATGAGGAACCTCCATTTCAAATCACTAAAAATATAANTACTCAAATAAATAATTTAATTACAGTTTAATTGAAATAGATAACTTTAATATAACTCATTAATTAAAAGTTGCAAAAATGGAGTTATCAAATATTTTATGTGAAAACTGTTAATTTGGAATATTTAGAATTCTTGATATTTACTAATAGGATAAATAAATAATGAAGTTATCTTAAATTACTATTAAAAATAGTAGATGCGGAAATACAGGTTGTCTCTCAATTATAAAAAGTTTCAATGAATAAATCTTCAAAAAGAATTTATTGGGACTGACTAGAATACTTTAGTAACATGATTATGATAACCTAAATTTTAAATTAAACCAACAAATTAATATTGAAGATAGTTTATTTTTTAATAACACTTCATTTTATGGAGGATCTATATTAATAGTAGAACTTGGTACATTAATTAAGAAATGCATTTTTGAGAATAATTCAGCTTAAATAGGAGGAGCTATCTATTATTATTCATCAGAAAGTTAAATTTTTCTTCTGGATTCTTAAATTATACAAAATTCTGCTAAAGTAGCTGGAGGAGTGTTCTTAAATTAACAATCTTTGTAATTAACAAAGGAATTAGATTTTCAATTGTTAAACAATAATTCCACTATGTATGGTTAAGATGTGCTTGAAAATCCTCGGTCATTAACTCTTTCTATAGATGGAGGATAAACACTATTATAAAAATCATAAGTTTAAGTAACTGATAGCAGTATTATAGAGTAAATTATTATTAAGCCTTATAAAGTATTAGGTTATTCATAAAAAATGATGTATTTAACATTCCCTTCTGGTAGAATGATTGGCACTTATACATATTTTGATTAATATACATCTACTATAATTCCATATAATCTAACATTTAGGATAATAGCTTTAGATAAGTTCAATAAATAAAATAAAGGATTATCGAATTCATATTGTACTATAAATCCTATTGCCTTTAATATATCTTCTCAAACTGAAGAACCTAATGTTAATTACAGTCTTTCTTATTAAAATGTTACATTTAATGAAACTTCTGGTGATTACAATTTAGATAATTTAGTAATATATTTTAAACCAAATTTAACTAATAATCTTGTTCTTAGATTATCTATCGAATGCAATTAAATAATCATCCCTTTATATAATGAGGAACCTCCATTTCAAATCACTAAAAATATAACAAATTATAAATTATTAATTGATATAAAAACATTAAAATGTTAATTAGGTGAATATTAAAATGAAACAACAGGTGGTTGTATATTATGTGATACAATATAAAATTAATATTAAGTAAAATGGAGTGCATAAAATTGTAATTATAAAGATGATTAAACTATGAAATCTATAGAATCTTCTATGATTGAATTAAGATCTGGTTATTGGAGAGCATATTATTATTCTTAAACAATAGAATATTGTTATCATTTAATATAAAATTGTTAAGGAGGATGGAAACCAGGTGATTAATCATGTATATTAGGACATATAGGTGCATTATGTGAATAATGTGATTTATATAATATAATTGGTTAAGGTTCATATTCTGTAAGTTCTAAATATTCATGTGGAAATTGTGATTAAATTGCATTTAATATCATTACTATTTTATTAATAAGTTTATGGACTCTTATTTCAACTTTGATGTCTGTTAGTAGTACTGTTGAAATGATTGATGAATTTGTTATTGGACTCAGATTAAAAGCTTTTGGAGTAACTGTTGCCATTAAAGAAGCTTCAACAGCTATACTTATAAAAGTGTTTACTAATTATTTATAAATTGTATCTACAATTTCTACTTTCCAACTTTAAGTTCCTATCGGATTGGCCTCAGTTGTTAATAGTGTTGGCAATCCTATTGAATCAATGGCTTATTCATTAGACTGTTTCCTAGTATCTATTACTGACATATCAATCATTTATTTCAGAATAATTTGGAGCCTAATTATGGCTGCTATGTACATTACGATATTTTTTGGGTTAGGTGGTGTTACTATTCTAATTAAACGTGCCAAGATAGATTTTTCTTACATTTCTACTTCTCTCATATACTTATTCATTTATTTATAACCAAACATTATAGGAGGACTTATTTCATTATTATCCTATAGAAAGATTTCTGATGAATATTGGATCTAAGGTAATGTAGCATATAGATATGATACAATATCACATGCCAAATGGGTGATTGGTTTTTGTTTTCCTCTTTTGATTATCTTTTGTTGTATCCTTCCCTTTCTCTTATGGTTTGGAGTACATAAAAATAAACATTAATTAGATCTAACAAAAGTAAGAAGAACTTGGGGATATTTGTACAATGAATATAAAACAAATGCTTATTATTGGGAAACAATTAAAATTTTATAAAAAGAGGTAATAATTATTGTACTTGCATATTATGATGATCACATTGCAATTAAAGCATCTTTAGTATTTTTAGTATTATTTGGATATAGCTATATGACAATATCAAATAAACCTTATATGACTGGATAATTAAATCATCTAGACACTCATTCTATTGTAGTTTGTGCTGTTTCAATCATTTTGGGTAGTTCAATATATACTGCTTAATAATAAAATTTATAAGAGATAGTTTGGCCCTTTTATATTATAATTGGTATTTTAAATGGTTTGTATATTACTAAAATGCTATTATAGATTTTATTTGCATATTTTAAAAAGCTAAATGATAAAATTGATATTCTTAAAGGCTTTATTACTAAGAATTTTCCAAAATTTGCCAATTAACATCCATATCTAAAGTAGATCTTTGAAAGCCGTAAGACATAATAAATAAGAATCAAAGGAAGATATGCAAAAATTCGAGAATATCTTTTCCCTTAAGCTAGAAAGATAATAGAGTTTAAAAAGTATTATTATATATTTTTCTTTAAGGTAGAATAACTTTGAATTGCCCTGTATGATTGATACTTAAAAATCATAAGATAAATAGAATGAAAATTAAGAATTTGGTTATGGAGATATATAAAGTTTGAATAGTCCCAAATAAAGTGAAATAATTACTGAAAGACAAAATTTAAAAACATTAATGAAGTATCCAAATAATATCTTGAATGAGAGATCATCTGTTTTTTCGTTTCCAAGACCAGCTGGAAATAGAATACATCCAGAATCAGATTTCGAATTAGAAAGTGCAAGACAAAGTGCTGATAGATAGATTATTTGATTAAATAAAAAGAAATATTTTAAATTTTACTAACTTCTAAACTAGAATATAAATAAAAAATATATTATTTAAAGTTTAAATTATTTTTTAGAAATACATATATATATATATATATATATATATATATATAGATTAAGTTAATAAATTATATTTAAATAATATATAGTTCATTAAAGTATTTAAATCTCCTTCGAATTTCAACTTTGAGATTGATGGATGCTTGATTTTAAACTATCTTAATTCAAATAATTAATAATTAATTCTGGGTATACTTTAGATGATTATGGTTTTTTAAATAAAGAATCAACATTAGCTTCTTTATCATAATTACTTTCTGGAGATAAGGGACTATTTACACCTAAATTAATCCCATTATTTTATTCTCTTTTTGGTTCAATTATATCTTCATCAAATTCAGATAATATTGTTTTAATTTTACAAGGTAAATCTAAATTATTTTATCTAAAAGATTATATATATATAAATTTACTTTTTATATTATAGAATCTATTTTGCCTAAGGTAACAAATGATGTTTAATTTTGGCAAACCTTCCTTTGACTCTTGCTTATTACTTTTTCCTGCTTTCAAATAATTCTTTTATAAAAGGATGTTTTTGTATTAAATTCGGAAAAAACTTTATAATTAGTTCCTTAATTTTATCTATTTATTCATGCAATTTATCGAAATAAGCAAACAAAATTTTTATTAACATTTTAATGATAAAATATGCATTTAAAATACCAATAATAATATAAAAGGGCCATACTATTTCCACTAAATTAGATTTTTAGGCTGTATTTATAGAACTTCCTAAAATAATTGAAACTGCACATACTATTGTTGATTATGTATCTAAATAGTTCAATTCACCACTAATATATGGTTTTTATGATGTTGTTACAAAACTGTAACCAAATAATACTAAAAATACTAAAGATGCTTTAATTGCAATGTGATCATCATAATATGCAAGTACAATAATTATTAGTTCTTTTTATAAGATTTTAATGGTTTCCCAATAATATGCATGTATTTTATATTCATTGTACAAATATCCCCATTTTTAACGAACTGCTGTCTTATTTAATTAACCTCTGTTTTTCCTTACTCCATACCAAAAATATAATGGAATCAAAATACTAAATAATAATAGTAGAGGAAAACAAAATGATACTAACCATTTTGCATGTTAATATGTATCATATCTATAAGAAACATTACCCTAAATCCAATATTCATCAGAAATGATTCTATATGAAATGAGAGATATTAAGCCACCGATCAAATTAGGTTGTAAATAAATAAAAACATAAATTAAGGCAGTTGAAACAAAAGCGGTATTATATTTTATTGATTTTGTCAATATTTGAATGCCCTGAATTATAAAAAAAGCCTTAATATATGAGGTGGCCAAGAGCAAACTCCAAATAATTCTAAAGTAAATAATTTCAATGTCTGTAATTTGAATAAGAAAACAATCTAATGAATAAGCCATTGATTCAATAGGATTTCCTACACTATTAACAATTGAGGCTAATCCAGAAGGTACTTAAAGTTAGAATGTTGCAATAGTAGATATGATTTGTAAATAATTTGTGAATACTTTAATAAAAATAGCAGTTGAAGCTGGTTTAATTAGCACAGTAAACCCAAAGGCTTTTAATCTTAATCCTGCTATAAATTCTTCAATCATTTCAACAGTACTGCTAACTGACATCAATATAGAGATAAGAGTCCAGACACTTATAAAAAAGATTGTTAACACATTGCCTATTATTTAATCACAATTTCCACATGAATATTTAGAACTTACTGAATATGAACCTTAACCAATTATATTATATAAATCACATTATTCACATAATGCACCTATATGTCCTAATATACATGATTAATCACCTGGTTTCCATCCTCCTTAACAATTTTATATTAAATGATAACAATATTCTATTGTTTAAGAATAATAATATGCTCTCCAATAACCAGATCTTAATTCAATCATAGAAGATTCTATAGATTTCATAGTTTAATCATCTTTATAATTACAATTTTATGCACTCCATTTTACTTAATATTAATTTTATATTGTATCACATAATATACAACCACCTGTTGTTTCATTTTAATATTCACCTAATTAACATTTTAATGTTTTTATATCAATTAATAATTTATAATTTGT